TGTCTCTCCATCCAAATCCATATACATACATAAGGGAGCATAAAGCATTTGAAACATAACATTCAGGAACGTCTAAAAATAAAATATTAGTAATTGTACAACCAGTTTTGACTACTATACAACATTCAAATGATATAACGTAAAAAATGTTTTAAAAAACTTCTTTATGCCCAGAAAAAATCAAATACCATTTATTTGATAACACGAAGTTAATTGATAGTGATTAAAAAACACAAATCAAAAGGTGTAATTCCATTTCAATTAACATTTTTGTAATCAAAAAACCTCCACCTAGTGTCTCATACCATAATGAATTGCCTTAGAAAGCGGCACATTATTATTAACCACTCAATCGTTGATTTACATGAAATCCTACTATTAGTTTAGTAAAAATTGGCAGAAGTATAATGATGATATGTTATTTTTATACTGAAATCCATCTATTATTTAAAAAAAAAAAAAAAATAACTACAGTCTTTGTTGGTAATTACATTGCCCGTTGAAATACAGACTAAAATCTAATCTGAATTCTGGATTAAGAGAATATAGGCATATTTATTCGACAGTGGAAATAGCAATGTTGTCTAATTTGGGTAGCATTCATTGTACTAGCCACTGTCACAATGCATTGTGCACGAAAAAAAACCAGGTGTGATCCTGCTGCTGTCATTAAAGAATAGAATTTTAAAATGATTAACAAAAAATTATTAAACATAAGATTACAAATGTTAAAAAGACATGCCAAATCATTATAAGCTATTAATGAACTTGTAACGTAAAACAATGCCAAATAAAAACATATATTATTCAGTTGTAAGTTTAAAATAATTGCAAGCAAATTCAATTCTCTTTTAAAAAGACCAAGTTAATTTTAACATTAATGGATCACTAGTCTGCACTTCAGAAAACAATAACAATGTGACAACATAATTGTGTGCATGTGCAAATAATATCATCAGTGCAGGAATAATTACCCAAATAACTTGGGGAGCAGTGATGGTGCTATAAAAATAAACAATTTAACCAGTGCAGTTATTAGTCACCTGGAGCATAGTCACTTCACCAAAGCACAGGCATATCAGTGAATAACATAACAAGATGACAGTGCACACAAAAAAAGTATTAAATATTTTACCCTTTTGTTGTACTGGTAGCAAAGAATTCTACAGAGAAAAGTGAGAAAACAAAACTCTCATAGTGTAGTATATGGAAGTCGATACTTAATTCAAGATATTGAGCAGATACCACATTTAGAACACAGAGTTGAAGTTGATACCACATTCAGAATATGAAATTGATACCAGATTCGGAATACAGAATTGAAGTTGATACGGGATTCAGAATATAGAGACCACATTCAGAACACAGAGTTGAAGTTGATGCCACATTCGGAATACAGAACGGAAGTTGATTTGGAATATAGGATTTAAGTTGGTACTGGATTTGAAATATAGAATTGACATTGTTACTGGGTTTGGAAAATAGAAATTAAGTTGATACTGGATTTAAAATATAGAATTGAAGTTGGTATATATTTGGAAAATAGAACTGAAGTTTATACTGGATTCGAAATATAGAATTGGAATACAGAGAGCTGTTAAATTAAGAGCTTACTTTGACTCAGCAACATGTGAGTTTTACTCTATATTCCAATTCCAGTATCAACTGAATCCAGTATCAAATTCAATAGAAAACACTGTGATAATTTTGTTTTCTTTCTTCTCCCTGTAGATTTTTCTTTTATATATGTACAACAAAAGGGTAAATTATTTAGTACAGGTTTTGTGCTGTCACCTAAATGTTAATATTCAATGCAGAAATAATGGTCTATCATTTTTTTAAATAATTATCATCATCATACAAACACCTCAAGAGTAGACAATTCACACTTCAGTGAATAATCCTGAGAGAGTTCTGGTTAGAATTGTTTCACTAAATAATTCAAGTGTAGGAAAATGTGTGAGCATCCACCCAAATTAACATAAATTCAATACTTTCCCTCAGATGATAAAACACACAAAAAAAATAAAGTAAAATAAATAAATTAGAAAAGAAACCTTGTAAGATTTTAACAGTAGAAAGCCAAGACTTTTCTTGATTAAAGTAATTCCATAATTCAGATATACTAGATAAATGTCCATATTCCTCTAGCCAGGTTATTCACTAAACAATGAATTGCTGGGAATTTAGGGTTGATACTTATTCCAGTTCAGATATTTTTGCCCCATATTTTGCAGTTCCTGACAAGTCTGGGTGTAGTGAACAACTCATTAGACACACCTGGGTAATCCCTAAACCCTGGGCTGCTAGGTGTGCCTTGAGGAGAGGGTTGAGGAGCAGTGCTCTATATGATTATACACTACCTTTCAAGAAACATAAGACGACTGAGGACCACAAGCAAAAATGATCTTCTGAAGTGTCTTTTCTTTTATTTTGTTTTGCAGTGCCATGAAAATGTAATCTATCATTTTGACTCTGGTGCTCCTTTTCATAATGGTAGATGAACTGATTTCACGGCTAGTGCTTACGTTGGTCACTCTATCTGACAAAGAGGGATTGTAATCTATATAATCCACTTCCCTATTCCTCACTGAACTGGACTTTGTCTACACAGCATCCAAGAGGGAGCAAGAGATGATGGTGGGCTCTATCGTATATGCCTGACCTGCAAAGCCCTTTGAAATATATAGTCAATATAATTGTGGCACGATTAATTTGAGATGGCATATGACATTGCTTGAAAACCCGTCAGATATGTTTTTTTATTTTTTTTATTTTACTGCCTGTATATTCTTGATTGATATATCACTGATGCCAGTTAAAAAAAAAGTAAAAATAATCTAGTAGATGAGAAATAGACTTGTGCAAACAATTGTTTCTGACTATTCATGATTAGTCCATGTGCCATTTATTTTTTTTCTTCCCATCATTACTCTTTTGTTTTAATGCCACATTTGGAACTCTGAATTACAGCATTGGATGGACTGGGAACTTTTCATATCAGTAGCTTCTGGTTGTGTTCTCTTTCAGTAAGTACATTGGAGCATACATATATGTCACAAGGTAAATAATATTATCAACAATTCCAATAATGGGGTATCTTTCATTTAATCGAGCACATAAAAAGGCATGATATGTATGTATTAGTTTTTATACATTTAATAACCATTTAATATAATTTCCCTTTGATGATAACAACTTATATTTAACAAACTCAGGGAAGTACGAACTCATACCCAATTATAATAAAGGCAATGTTTTACTAGAAAAGTAAATTGATTGTTGTTAGCAAATGATAGAGCACATTTCGGGGTTCAGTTGGCTAATATAAATTGAATATATACAGTTTTTCTTAGTATTTCTGAAACTCCTATATTGGGTTGAATACATTGTAAAATACAGACACTGTGACAGTTTCCCATTAAAGGGACATTAAAGAGTACCTATCATATCAAATACAACTTAAACTTAAATAACAGGGAATTCAATTTTAACCTAACATTGTCCTGGCAAATGTCTAGATTTATTTAAAATCAGAGGTTAAAAACATCCCTCTTCAGTCTGTGCCAAATCGGTACCAATCAACACAGAGATAAGAAGGCAGTGTTCTGCATGTCTGTTATCAGGGAAACCCTCCTCTGCGCATCTCTCCTGCTTGAATTCCACCTAAGGGAAAGCAATGCCTGCAAGGGGAAGTAGGGAGAAGGGGCAGGCTCTGAGTGATAGCAGCACCAGCATGGAAAGAGGAAAGAAACAGCCAGAATGATTTATTGCAGCAGCTTTGGACAGGCAATCTGAGAATGAAGAGAGAGAGAACAGATAAGTTTTATTTACACAAAGCCAAGATAAAGAATTGAGGATTTTTAACCTGTTATGGAAGGCAAGTCTGTGCTTTCCATACAGATGTACGCAGGAGAGGTGGGTTTTAGAGCAAGCCACTGAAAACATGATTGATGCAGGAGACAGGGGTAGTTGGAATAAATTAAATATGAACTTTTAACAGGATTATACTTTATATATATATACTTATACTCTTGATTGCTTAACATGAGTCAAGCCAGATGGTTGGGAAACTGCAAACCTATATCTGTCATGTCAAGTTCCTTTTAATGCATATAATACAAATTAGATTGCAGCAATTACCATCTCCAGTAAGTGTGACAACATTATTTATGTGAACTTTGAAGTTGTAACATATGGGCAAGATATATTTGCAACACAACTATGGCCCAAGGGAATGATTATAAATTACATGTCTGATTTGAGCACAATCCAGTGTATCTATTAATATCAATCAACATCTATGACTATGGAAAAGTCCATGTTAATTTTTTAAGTTCATTTGTAATCCATAGGTGCTGAGCCTGATGAAGTGTGCAGCAAGCATAGACACAGAGCCAGATCACCATAGTCAACAGAGATTACTGTATTTGTTAAACTTGATGAATTGAATTGAATTATCCAAATTGTATCAGTCAGCTTCAGCTCACATACATTCAAGTTTCTTTAAATGAAGGCTGTGTAGTGAATAGACCTTCACAATGAATAATTTCTTTTGCATATATAAATATTTAAATGAATTATAAAATGAATAATATGAGACTGGTATAATCAATCCATTGAAATCATAATTTGAGTTCATCATATCTGTCACTTATTGTATGTATGAATAAACAGCAACAATATAACTAAAAATATATTGACTTACACATTTACATAAAAAATATTTTTAACACTTTCAGGTTTTTATTCACTAAATAAAGTGTTATGCTAAACTGACAACCACGCTGCAACATTTAGAGCAAAGTTGTAAATATAGTTTGGTATAAGTTGTCTGTTCACCACAACTCTACATATGTTCTGACCTCTTGCACAATTTAACCCCTTGAGGACACATGACATGTGTGACATGTCATGATTCCCTTTTATTCCAGAAGTTTGGTCCTTAAGGGGTTAAAGGCACCTGTCCCTTTTTTTTTAATTAAAGTTCCTGTAATAGTTTATGTTTTACAATAAACCTCAAATAAGGACGATGCTGAGTGCATTCTGTAAAAAATAGAGAAAGGCATTGCAAGATTAACGACAGTGATCCAGGGTTCAAACCCAAACACCACTTCCTCCAATCCATTGTCATACTGGGGGCGACATCCAAATGCTGGTGGGATCCAAAGCTGCAGGAGAAAAGAAAGAGCATCAAACAGTGCAAGCATGGTTATGTATGTGCTATAATTATGTGTTTAATTAAAGTTAAAAATAAATAAATACAAAAAAATCTGACATGTCTACTATATTCCTAAACTGAGACGTAAAACAGTAAGCACAGTGGCCTTCATGCTAAAATATCGGCAAAACACGACGAAAATTGCAGCCAACATAAATGCAAAAGGGCTAGGCAGCTATTACTGAACAGTCACTAGAAATTCACAGGTGCATTTGGGTGGGGGCTTCACTGTCCACCCACTGTGTTCCAGTGGCTATTCAGGTAATTGATATAGCAGGAGGGCTCAGCATTCCCATGCCCCCACTTGTGGGCCTCGGCTGTGGGCACCCATTTAAAAAACAGGGTGAACAGACAAGTGTCCAACTCCATGCCCCCATGGTGGGGCTACTAATTTAGGTAATAAAGCAGGGGGACAGTGCAATAATAATGAATGGAGGTATTTAGTGTCCACCCCAGTGGTCAGTGGGTGGAAGTTCTAATAATACCCCAGGCTCCACCCATGAGAAGTGGATGGAGGCTCCAATTAATAGTCCCCAGCAACCTACATTCATGAGCTGCACATGGAGGGTTAAAATTGATAACCCCTGTCCTCCCCCGCCAGCTCCCACCTATAAGCGGCAGGAGGCGGCTCTATCTGAGTACAATAATACTGTTAAAAGAAAACAAAAACAAAATAATAAAAAAGAGAGCTTGGCGCAGACTGATCAAAAGAACTTATATGGTTATGCAATTTGAGTCAGCGTGCTCTGACAGGTAAGTCTCACTTATCTCGATACTTGTGTGGGAAGTTTAACAGCGGATATTTCAACGATCACTTATCAGGGGCCATTAAATTGCCAATACACATGACCAGCTGATATGTAATCAAAACTTTAGCATGCCTGTTAGAGTTATGGACTGTTTCCATTGCTCTCAGTAAAAAACAAGATCTAGCCAGTGAAAAGATCAGAGCAACTTGATCCATGGAGTTCTCACCTTCAAAAGTAAGATAGTCCCCTCTGCTTCAGACCTAAAACAGATTAACCTGTTTGAGATGCTCACCACCACTGTTGAGTCATGTTCCTATCTGTTTACAACAAATTATGTTAAATAGACATCTCGTGATTCAGAAAAGCTCTTCGTACTGTTCAAATCATTAAGCACATACTTCAGCCCCTACATCACCTACAGAACCATCCTTAGTTAGTATTTAGAAACTTTAAAAATTTGCCCGATGACATATCTGTCCATGTGTCCTTTAGTATATGCATATTTATATGTTGTGTTATATTGAGAGCTGTAGTTATTAAATCAGTATTCAATTAGAACACAAATCAAATTAAAAAAAGCTGCATTAGCAACATTCATGTTTTCGTTTTATATTTTTAAATTAGGCATGAAACCTAATTAATATTTATTTATATAATATTTACACACAAACAGAGAACAAATATTGTATTATAGCTTTGAAATTAACCTTCAGACCACTAGGGGCCAGTGTTTACTAGCTTCCGTACCATATCATTTCCTTTATAGCAGTGTTTCCCCAATCTTTTTTTACTTTGTACACCTTGGCAGCTCATTTACATAAATTGTACCCCTCATATTGGCAAAATGTTTGTAATTAATATAGTTGCTGTTATTTCAAATGCATATATTTTTTTCTGCCCCATCTACCATTTTTTTCTGCCCTAGGCTCCCTCTACTCCTCCTCTGCCCCAAATATATGCCCTGCTTCGCCTGTGCCCCAGGCTCCCCTGCTTTTCATCTGCACCAAGTTCCCCATGCTTCACACATGCAGATAAACAGACACGCGGATACCAACACTGCCACACATGCAGACACACAGATACACACACTGACACACGTACAGATACAAACACTACACACATACAGATGTACACAAGCACAGATACACAGACATACAGATACACATTCTTCTGACACACATGTAGATACAAACACACAAAGACACACATACAGCTCTCACTTCCTCCCAGTGTGGTCGTGCTGTTAAAGAACTGCAGTGCACAACTGAGTCCCTGATGACATATGTCTCTTAGCCAGCTGCACCGGCAGTACTTTGGACCCCTGGGGATATACATACCAAAGGTTGGGAACCGCTGCGCTATAGCTTGATTGCTTTTCTATATTTTTTTCAATTTTGGATTTTTATTCTATTCATATATTCTGTGTATATTTGTGCATATTAGATTAGTGTGCACAGAATTTAAATGTGTACTTTTCTATTTCATAGTAGGTTAAGCAATAATAAATATGCAATAGACCACTACAGATAAAATATAGCGTGCACAAATTTCAAAAAGTATATAAATGAACTTACGGAAATATTACAAAGGAACAAAAATGCTGCAATGTTTTTAAGAATTCTTCTCTTCTTATTGAGCTTTGCAGATCGACATGCATGGATAGAAATATTAGATGGTGTAAGTCTAAGACAATTATTATTTTCCTGATTTTTCTTATCCACACAACCTTCCCCGAGATTTGAATTGGACATGTAGGGAAACTCACTGCAGATAGTTACAGTTTCATTGAACACTTCATAGGAAGGCGTGAGAGACAAGGTACTGCGGTTTGACACGGAAAAAATCCTTTCAACAGTTCGGTCATCATTTTCGTCTTCTTTTCGATGGATACATTCAATGATAAATAAATTCTGAATGTATTTCTCAATAATCACCAGTATTGAATAAGGCAGGTTATACCATGCGTAACCAGGGTGAGTCTCTGCAGAGATTATGGCTAATATTGAACCCCACGATATGAGCCATGACCCACAAGAGGAACCTACTAAAAGATCGGAGTCTAATTTCTTTGCAGGACTTTCGCTGTCATCCAGTGATTTATTTTCCAGTCTGTATATAATGAGGCCTATGATAGCTGCTGTACACATGAGAGTCAATACTGTGATGGCATAGAGGTAAAACATAGTGAGGGCCATCTCACTCTTGCTCTTAGAACGTCCAATTTGAATCAGATATACCACAAGGACACCAATGGTCGTCGTGAGCACAAGCAGCCCCATTACCGTACCAGCTGTTATGCCATGGAACTTAAAATGGATTTTCTGCTGCTGATTGTGTTTTACTGTGCGTCCAATGTTCTTCCATAACACATACAGCATGGTGGAGGCTAAAATATGGTATTCTATTGTAAATGGATACAGGTAGTATATTCCTTGTGAAAATATGGAGCAGACACTTGACGTGCAATTGCATTCTGGTGTATGGAGATCTACAAAGGAGAAAGGTTAGTATAGAAATTTGCAGAAAGTATGCAGTTTTAACATTATGGGAGTGGTAAATAATGTTGCAGAAATATGTGTACTAAAGCATGAATAGTTTCTAAATCAGATGAAGTTTATGATTTATTGTTAGACCAATTCACACCAATTTTATGAGAGTCTACAGGAGAACCAGTCCTACCACACAGAAGCTCAATGCAGATATTATTTTTATTTAATAACACCAATCACAAACTGTAACTGCTAGAAATATTTTAGAAAGAGAGACAAGCAACAATACCTATTTTGCTAGGATAAGTTTTAAAAAAGTGAGACTGTTCCAGCAAAGACAGCAAAGTTGTCTTGTATATGTATATACCTACAGGGTTTGCCAAAGCATGGGGCCAAGACGTGGTCCCAGTTCACCTTGTTCAATGGGCAGGCCAGATGTCTGCCATGTTATAAATTTGTCGACAAGGAAAGATGTATCAGACAGGGCACAGCATAGCAGAACCGCAGTGCTGCAGGATGGCGATTGGAAGAACAAGTTGAGCACAAGGTGTTGTTATGTCCTATTTTATGATTTGCCTGTACATAAGGTGTTTTCAAAATACTGCGCATTACTTTCCCTGAAAATAAAAAAAATCTGGATTCCGGTGTTCACTTTTTGGGTTGTTTTATAGTGCAATAATTCAGCAAATTCCTTACCCATCGTTATGTTTGGAAATCCTAGAGTAATCAATCTCTCTTTATGTTCATTCAGCTGATGCTTTGATTCAGTTAGTATTCCATTAGCCCAGAGGAGGAGGTTGGTGAACACAGCATGGATCAAGCCAAATCTAGAACATAAAACATATGAAGTCAGTTACGGAATGGAAATAAAATTGATTGATATTTCAGCAACATTCAAAGAAACAATACAAAACAAGTAAGGAAGATACAAACCAAACTGTAATAGCTGCAATAATAAAAAAATAAAAAAAACTCTGAATTTATTTATGTCCATGGAATATAAACAGTGCGGTATTGCAACATAACTACTTATTATTTTATTATTTATATAGCGCCATCAGATTCCGTAGCGCTATACAATGGTATAAACCCCCATTCATTCCTCATTCACTCTACTGTTCAATAACAATAAACATATAATAAGTTGAAGTCAATTTAACCTTTGACATGATTAATTACAGAGAAAATTATAATATATTTAATTATAATTCGGGTATGGAAAGGAGTTCAATATATAAGCTATTTCAGAAAATGTGATACTTTTATTCTGATACAAAAAATAATTTTTTATATCACCTTTTCTATTTAATTATTTTGTTTTATTCTCAGGGTGTATAATTACATTTGATTTATAAGATACTAGTCCACATTCGCCATATTTTTTTTATGTATTGAGATCTTATTTGACTTTCTATAGAATCCTTCCTCCCTCTGTTGGTGAAATCTAATCTGGCTATTTATTATTGGCCATATTTGCGTCATTGGGTTTTTTCCAATTTCTGGCTAATGTAAATTTAATTGCCATAAAAATATGAATAATACATTTTTTTGTTCATAATTGCAATTTGGGAAATCAAAATGAAATAATGTCTGGGGTAATAGTACTGCCTGTTGTAATCCTAATTCTAAAAATATATTAGAGACCTTTCTTTTTATTTCTTCCAATTTCTCGCATTTCCACCACATATGATATAATGTACCTATTTCTTTAGAGCATCTCCATCTTTTATCTGATTAGCTATTTTTACATTTTTTTAATTCTATACCGAGTGATATACCATCAGTGGACAATTTAAAAAAAAAATCTCTTGTATTTTAAGGCTGTGATTGATTTTACTTATCTCAATAATTCTATCTCCCCATGTTTCCAGTGTGAACGATTTGTTTGTCGCTTTCCCATTTTTTTATGGAATTGGGTTTATCTATGACCATTAGGTCCTAACCATATGTGTTACTTTAGAAATGTGTCTGTTTTTATAATGTTTATTAATTAGATTTTCAAATTCTGGGTGTTCTTTGATATCTAAGGCATTTAATAAGTCTTATTTTAACATAATTGAACAGTTCTAGATTGGGCAATCCAAATTGAATTTGAATATTTATAAATGATTTTATTTTCCCCAAGGGAGAAATTTGAGTTATATTTTGTAAATTACTTTCTGTCCATTTCGATAAGTCTATGTCACCAATATAGAATTTAATAACTTGAATTGGTACAGAGGGGATTAATTCATTACAAATGCCCAATTTCTTTTTAAATAATTTGAGAGTGGTAATTGTTTCATTTACAATTTTATTTGATAATGACATTTTTTTATAATGTTCAGAACCGATCCAAGCTAATTTAAATAGAATATTACTTTTTGTTTCCAAATGTTTCCAGCTAGGATCAGGATTAATAAAATTATCCCATTTTAAAAAGTGAGTAAGCATAGTACAATCATGTAATTCTATTATATCAGGAAGATTTGTTCCACATGTATTCACTCTTTTAGTTAGTGTATTGCATGAAGCTCTAGGTATTTTATTCCCCCAAATAAATTTCAGAAACAATTTTTTAAATTAAGTGTTGAGCGTCTTACTCTTATGGGTATGGATGTAAATAAAGAAATACATTTTGGTATTACTTATGCTGAGATCGTATTCATACGTCCCATCCAAGAGATCTCTAACCCTTTCCAATTTTGAAAATTTTCATTAAATAATGATAATAATTTCTTATAATTATCTTCTACAATTTTATCTATATTTGATGTAATTAGAATTCCTAGATATTCTATTTTATCATCATAAAAAAACAATTTAAACCTTTCCTTTATACTGAAAGTTAATATTTGTGTTTTGTTCATATTTAATTTGTAGCCAGAATAATTGCCAAAGTCAGATATTAAGTTCAATAAATTTAAAATTGAATCTATTGCATTGGAGAAATTTAGAATGACATATTCCGCATGTAGAGCAATTTTATGATGTTCTGAATGAATCTGCAGCCCTTCAATTTTGTCATTTTGTCTAATTGTCGCTGCTAGAGGTTTCATAGCTAATACATAAAGGAGTGGCGCCAGAGGACAGCCTTGTCTGGTACCATTCCGAATGTGGAACCAATTAGATACCATACCAGGAAAAATAACTCTAGCTCATAGGTTTGTACATAGTGACATTGCACTCTCTTTAAAAAAAACCTGTCAGGCCAAATTTCTCCATTTAGTTCACCCCGTTGAATGCTTTCTCTACATCTTACGCTATAAAGACTGATTGTATTTTTTGTATTTTTAGATGATCTATTATATTTAAGATTTTACGTGTATTATCAGCAATATCGCTACCTGACACAAACCTGTTTGATCTTTATGAATGATTTCAGGGATTATAATTTTTAATCTTTCTGCCATTATTTTTTAAAATATTTTTACATCTAGGTTTATCAGAGAAATAGGTCAATAATTCGACAGGGTGTCTCGGTCCTTTACAGGCTTGGGGATTGGGAGAACATTGGCCTGAAGTAATTCCTGTGGAATGCTTTTACTATTCGAAAATTCAATATATAATCGTTGGTATAATGGGGAAACTGTTTTATCAAATGTTTTAAAAAAAGATTGCAGATAATCCATCTTGTCCAAGTGCTTTGACATTTTTTAGCCATTTTATTATATTTTGGATCTCAAACATTGAAATAAGTTTATTTAGTTGTTCTAATTTATTTGGTTTGAGTTTGGGTAATTTACATTTCTTAAGAAACTCTTTAATTATATATTCACTTATTACTTCCTTATTTCCAATTTCTAAATTGTATAGTGAATAGTAATAGGATCTGAATGCCTCTCAAATCTGTTTAGGAGATTGTCACGTGCGTGGGCTATAGGCCCAGCCGAGACAGTGGGGAGAGTGTGGAAGTGACAGGATTAATGACACCAGACCCCTGGTTACCTGTTGCTAGTCCCAGCAACCACTCAATTAACCCCTGCAATCCCTTCTACACTAAACCCCTTAGTACACTTTTGTAGCGTTACTTACCTTAACCGGGGGCCGGTCGCGGTCCTCTCTTCAAGCCGCGCGCGGTCCTGCGGCTGCACGAGCCGCGCGCGGCTCATCCGACTGCTTCAGATGGAAGGCGGGCAGTGACCGCGTGAAGCGGTCACGTGTCCCGCCTGAAACTAAGAGCGCGCCGCGAGTCTCGGGCGCGCTCTTAAAGAGACAGTGGGAGCCTAATTGCCAAAAGGCTCCCATTGGCTCCTGTCATACCACACTCCCTATACAATTACCTATAGGGGGTGTGGAAGTGACAGGAGCCAATCACTTTGGTTTAAAAGCTATTTAACTTACCTTTTTCCCTTAGCTCGTTGCCCTATCGTGGTTTCTGTTTCAGTTCCCTTTAGCGCTTGTGGTGTTCAGTTGTGTTTTCTCGTATTGACTTTGGCTTCGTATTCTGACTTCGTTTTCGCTTTATCCTTATCTGTACTGTTTGCCGGCTTGCTGTTTTCCGTGTACCAGACCCCGGCTTGTCCTAGTTTACGCTGTCTCTCTGTGCCCTTGACCTCGGTTTGTTCCTGGCTCTGTCTTCTCTCATATACGTCGAGTCCGGCCATTCTAAGGTCCGGTAGACGTATCTCTCCTCTGTATTTGCCTCTGTTTAGCTGGATCCTGCGTGTAGGGGTATATTCTCGTTACATTACGATAGGGCCATGGACCCCGCAGATTTAGCTCAACAGATGGCGTCCCATGAGGCAAGATTTGTAGAGCAGGATCACCGTATGGATCAAATAGCTCAGGCTCTCCAGACGCTCCTAGCTAGAACCGTTCCAGCAACTACACCTAACCCTCCTACGCCCCTTCTCCCTGAAGTATCTACTTTGCCTAATACTTCGGCCCATTTAACACCTCCTCCTAGGTATGGAGGGGACTCTAAGACTTGCAGAGGGTTTATTAATCAGATTGAATTTCACTTCGAAATGTATCCACGTTCATTTCCCACAGAGAGGTCTAAGGTTGGGTTCTTTATGCACCAACTTACCGATAAGGCACTTGAGTGGGCAAATCCTATTTGGGAAGCTAATGGGCCTATGGTACATGATTTCAACAGTTTTCTTACGGCTTTTCGTAGAACTTTTGACACAATGAAAAGGTCAAAGAATGCCGCAAGAGCATTAATGAGAATTAAACAGGGTTCTAGGTCTGTGGCTGATTATGCTATTCAGTTTCGCACTCTTGCTTCGCAGGTAGATTGGACCAACAATGGGTTAACTACTGCCTTTATGGAAGGTTTGTCAGATACGATATTGGATGAGGTAGCAGCTAAGGAGCTTCCTATTGCCTTAGAGGACCTTATCGATTACCTCATTGATATTGATAATAGAATTCGTGACAGGCTCTATACCAAGAACAGGAATAGACGTTTTGTTACACCCATTAACCCCAGAGTTAATATACCAGAGAGTGTTAAAGTGTCTGAGGAGGAACCTATGCAATTAGGGGTTGCCAAACTCTCTGATACTGAGAAATTACATAGGAGAAGGGAGGGACTCTGCCTATACTGTGGTAGGAGAGACCATATGGTAAAGGAATGTCCTTTACTCCCGGAAAACTCTCGCACCTAAGACCTTATAGGGGACTGGCCTTGGGTGTGATATCTAAGTCTCCTAAATTGCCTCCTAACCGCTTGCTTCTCCCGGTTTCTTTATATATGGGAGAGATTTGTATAGTTGACAACATATATGCTCTGGTTGACTCTGGGGCAGCTGAAAATTTTATAGACTCTGGCTTTATAAAGAGAAACAACATTCCCATCAGAGAGAAGGAGATACCCTTGGCCGTTGAGGCCATAGATGGTAGACCATTAAGTTCTCCAGTTGTTACTCATGAGACTGTACCATTACACATGTACACAGGGGTTTTACACTATGAAACCATTCGATTCCAGGTCATCACCTCTCCCTCTTCACAGTTAGTATTAGGGTATCCATGGTTACGTGCTCACAATCCCATTTTTGACTGGGAGACAGGGCAAATAAAATCATGGAGTAAGGCCTGCCACGAGTCTTGTACGTTGGAAGTCACACCTTTGAATTCTATTGAGGTACCTACCAGTCCTCCTTTGTCTATGGTTATACCCCCTCAGTATTTATCTCTAAAGACTGTTTTCGATAAAAGGGAGGCTGAGAAATTACCGCCTCACAGACCCTATGATTGCGCTATTGACTTGTTGCCTGGCACTATACCTCCAAAGGGCAGGGTGTACCCCTTATCGGTTCAAGAAAACCGTGTCATGGAGGAGTACATCAAGGAATCATTAGAAAAAGGGTTTATTAGGAGATCCTCTTCTCCAGCTGGAGCAGGGTTCTTCTTTGTATCGAAGAAAGAAGGTGATTTAAGACCGTGTATAGATTATAGAGGTCTAAACAAAATCACTATCAAAAATGCATACCCTATACCTTTGATTACAGAATTATTTGACAGGCTGAAACATGCCACTGTGTTCACTAAATTAGACCTTAGGAATGCATACAATTTGATACGTATAAAGGAAAATCACGAATGGAAGACTGCATTCAACACTAGATCCGGTCATTACGAATACACTGTTATGCCATTTGGGCTTTGCAATGCCCCAGCAGTATTCCAAGAATTTATTAATGATGTATTGAGAGATTTTATTCACACATTTGTTATCGTATACTTGGACGACATTTTAATATATTCTGCAGATATACACACTCATCACAGACATGTTACGACAGTTTTGAAGACCCTTCTTGCTAATGGTCTTTATTGCAAGCTAGAAAAATGTCTGTTTGACCAAACCGAAGTCCAGTTCTTGGGGTATTTGATTTCCGCTAAAGGTTTTCGTATGGATCCCCAGAAGCTAGCTGCTGTAATAGAATGGCCTCTACCGCAAGGTCTGAAAGCTATTCAGCGTTTTCTTGGGTTCTCCAATTATTATAGACGTTTTATCAAAGGTTTCTCGTCCATTGTAGCACCTATCACCCGTATGACTAAAAAGGATGGCAATACTCGTGTTTGGTCTACCGAGGCACTTCAGGCTTTTGAATTTCTTAAAACTACGTTCGCCTCTGCACCTATTTTACAGCATCCTGTCCCCTCACTGCCCTATATTCTTGAAGTTGATGCTTCGGATATTGGGGTAGGTGCTGTCTTGTCCCAAAGAGAGTCGCCTGAGAAGCCATTGCATCCATGCGGCTTCTTTTCTAAACAAATGTCCAAAGCAGAGAAAAATTATGATGTGGGTAATCGTGAACTCCTTGCTATTATTTTAGCACTTAAAGAGTGGAGACATTTGTTAGAGGGAACTAAGGATCCTATCCTCATTTTTACGGATCACAAGAACCTATCCTACCTTAGCGAAGCCAAAAGATTGTCTTCCAGGCAGGCTAGGTGGTCACTATTTTTGTCCCGTTTCAATTTTATTATCACCTATAGGCCAGGTGATCGCAACACTAAAGCAGACGCTCTGTCCAGACAGTTCAAAACTACTGACAAACAGGAGATTGATGTTACTCCTGTCATTCCCCCAGACAGGATAATAGCTACTACTATTTTGTCTATTTCCTCGTCCCTCTTGCAGACCATACAAGCGAAACAAAGCATGGCACCTAGCGAGAGGCCTAATGATAAACTGTTCGTTGATGTTCCTGAGAGACGGGATATTATGTCATTATATCATGATACTAAGACCGCTGGACATCCTGGTATTTCCAAAACGGTGTCAGCTGTTTCTCGGTATTTTTGGTGGGATTCCTTACGAAAGGATGTCACTGACTATATAAGTGCTTGTACTACTTGTGCCTGTATGAAATCCTCCCGTAGAGTTCCTTGTGGGCTGTTGCATCCGTTACCCGTTCCCGAGAGACCTTGGTCTAACCTGTCCATGGATTTTATTGTTGAATTACCCCCTTCAAATGGTAACACAGTAATCCTGATGATAGTGGATCGGTTCTCCAAAATGGCTCACTTCGTGTCTCTTCACAAGTTGCCCACATCCAAGGAACTGGCTCATATCTTCGCTAGAGAAGTATTTCGATTACATGGGATTCCCGTATCTATTGTATCCGATAGGGGTAGCCAATTTATTTCCAGGTTCTGGAGGGCCTTTTGTTCAGAAATGGGTATTTCTCTCTCATTTTCTTCCGCTTATCATCCCCAGTCTAATGGGGCTGCTGAACGTGCCAACCAGTCTCTGGAGCAATACCTCCGTTGTTTTGTGTCTCACCATCAGGACAATTGGTCTGACCTGCTTCCTTGGGCTGAATTTGCTCGGAATAACGCCACTCATGATTCTTCCGGCAAGAGCCCTTTTTACGTTGTCTATGGCCAGCATCCCGTTGTTCTTCCGGCTGCATTCTCCTCACAGGGCATGCCAGTTCTGGATGAGCATTTGGCTGGTTTGCGTAATACTTGGGAGCAGGTTCAGCGTTCTTTGGTGGACTCTGCTACTCGCCAGAAGGCTCAGGCTGACAAGCATCGCAGAGCAGCTCCGTCCTATGTTGTGGGGGACAGGGTTTTGCTTTCCACGCTGAATATTCGTCTCCGGGTGCCTTCTATGAAATTGGCTCCCCGCTTCATTGGACCTTATCGTATTATACATAAGGTTAATCCTGTTTCTTATGCCTTAGGCCTGCCTAAGAATCTACGTATTCCTAATGTTTTTCACACCTCATTGTTGAAACCTTTCGTACGCAACCGCTATACCCGGCATACTCCTCCTCCCCCTCCTATCTCGGTGGAGGGTCATGAGGAGTTTGAAGTGTCTGCTGTTCTTGACTCTCGTTTCCTTAGGGGTCGACTTCAGTACTTGGTACATTGGAAGGGTTATGGGCCTGAGGAGCACAGTTGGATTTCGGCTGATGCTGTCCATGCACCCCGTCTTGTGCGCTCTTTCCATTCTCGTTTTCCTGCCAGGCCTGGTCCTACCCGCCCGGGGGGCGTGTCCTCAGGGGGGGGTACTGTAGCGTTACTTACCTTAACCGGGGGCCGGTCGCGGTCCTCTCTTCAAGCCGCGCGCGGTCCTGCGGCTGCACGAGCCGCGCGCGGCTCATCCGACTGCTTTAGATGGAAGGCGGGCAGTGACCGCGTGAAGCGGTCACGTGTCCCGCCTGAAACTAAGAGCGCGCCGCGAGTCTCGGGCGCGCTCTTAAAGAGACAGTGGGAGCCTAATTGCCAAAAGGCTCCCATTGGCTCCTGTCATACCACACTCCCTATACAATTACCTATAGGGGTGTGGAAGTGACAGGAGCCAATCACTTTGGTTTAAAAGCTATTTAACTTACCTTTTTCCCTTAGCTCGTTGCCCTATCGTGGTTTCTGTTTCAGTTCCCTTTAGCGCTTGTGGTGTTCAGTTGTGTTTTCTCGTATTGACTTTGGCTTCGTATTCTGACTTCGTTTTCGCTTTATCCTTATCTGTACTGTTTGCCGGCTTGCTGTTTTCCGTGTACCAGACCCCGGCTTGTCCTAGTTTACGCTGTCTCTCTGTGCCCTTGACCTCGGTTTGTTCCTGGCTCTGTCTTCTCTCATATACGTCAAGTCCGGCCATTCTAAGGTCCGGTAGACGTATCTCTCCTCTGTATTTGCCTCTGTTTAGCTGGATCCTGCGTGTAGGGGTATATTCTCGTTACAACTTTACTGCCACCACCAAGACTTTTAAACCCGGGCATCTTAGGTTACCCCACACACAGGAGAATTATAGCATCACAGTTCTACTTTTACTGATAAAACATATATAGTTAACCCTTTTTGGTAACGTGTTTACCTGAGCTTTCCTCTGGAGAGTGAAGCTCATAGAGAACAGAGACACAAGCTGATTAAGTAAACATTTAATCTGACAAAAAGGATTCACAGTGCTGAGTACAAAATACAGAAATAAATGACATACAGATAACAAATTGCAAAACAGTACATAAAATAAAATAGGAGAAAACACAAGAAATTCCTTACATATATTTACCCCATATAGAATTCTTGTGGGAGTCTTAGATGGTATAGGTCTCCTAGAAGTTACTGACAAAAAAAAAAGAATAACTGACCTCCCTGGATAGTCCAACACCCTCATATATCTAAACTAGTTGTTTCTCAGTGGGCAGACCCCTGTGGGGGGGGGAGGGGGGGAGGGGGTTGGTCTGGCAGTCTATTGCCCACTCTATGAAATTCCTTGTGTCCAGCTCTGGTGATGGCTATCTAGATGTTTTATGGTCTAGGCCTGGTGCAAGATCAAAGACCACAATAAATGTCATCCCAAGGTTTACAAAAAAACAACTCTTAACATATATAAACACACATCAAACACCAACTCATGCTTTTGGCATGACAGAGATAAAAGTATTTTATCTCCTATTTTTATTTTGCTTATTTGATTGCTTTTCTTTTTACATTTTACTTGTTGTATTATATTTTCAAGAGTATTGAATTTGGATTTTCTTTCTTTTCTCTTGTTTAGTTAATGATATGTAAAGATTTGATTAAGATTCTCTGCATTTCTTTTTTACATAAGATCCGAGTTTTATAAATAATCTTCGGGTAAAACATTTAAATGATCCCCAAATAGAAAAAAATTTAGGTCTCTCCATTATCGTCAATTCCGACAAAATCCTCAGCTTGCTTTTTCAGCCTATCTTTATCCTGTCCAGGAGAGCAGAATGATTCATTCAGTCTCCATGTTGTTTGAGGGGAATATTCTCTATTGCTCTCAATTTTTTAACATATGGGTGCATGATCAGACCATGTTATTGATCCGATCCTTGAGGAAGAACATTTATATAATGTTTGTTGTTTAGTAACGAATAGATCTCTTCTTGAGTATGAACAGTGTACCTTTGAAAAAAATGTATAGTCTTGTTCTTGGGGGTGTAATACTCTCCGATGTCATATAGAGAGTTTTTTGAAAAAAGTAGACTTGCAGCGTATTTAGATTGAGAATCTATTCTTGCACTAGATGGTAATTTTTTTTTTTTAAATCTTATTTGGCATCAGGAGCGCAGTTGAAATCACCTCCTAGTATTAAAGTACCTTGAGTTATTTGATTTATTCTGTTCATTAATTTTTCAATAATTTTTTTAGGAGACTGATTAGGGCATATATGTTTACTAATATATATAACATATCATTGATTTTGCAAATAAGAATAATGTATCTACCTTTATTGTCCATTTCCTCAAGGATCGGCTAAAATTGTACTTTATTAGAAATTATAATAGCTATCCCTCGCTTTTTTTTTCCCATTAGAAATATTGGCTTGATAAATATGTGGATAATGAGAGAATTTCCATAATTTCTTGGTTGTATTATTCCAGTGAGTCTCCTGGACATATACTACATCTTTTTGATTTTGGCATCACTTATTGAGATAAAATTAAGCATAATTTCTTTTTATTTTAATGTTTAGAACCTCTCGTACCTGCCCTACTTCTTCATATCTTTGTACCAGCTCTCTCTGAAAATTTTTAATAGAAAAAAACGTAAAATATCCTCCAACGTATAAAATAATCATTCGACATTCATACATTGAAATAACAACGTGTAATCAGAAATCTAATTTCTGATCTGACCAATTTCCAATTTAAGTCACACTAAAGGTGTACCAGCTTTCTACAAAATTATTTCCTTAAATTATTTTCGCTTCAATTTCTGTTTCTAATTCTTATGTCCCTCTCTTCTCCCGTCTTGGAGAGAAAACATGTGATATCTCTCTAGGGGATGTGCCCCATACAAGGATAAATCTGTTATTGTAGAAAAAAGCTCTATTAAATACGTTTCAATTTTAGAATTAAGTTGGAGATTTTTAGTTAGAATTTCCATAAAGTCACTTTGAAATTTCGTAAAAAGATCCGCTTGTTGTGATAATTTCTGAGTTATAGAAGATACTTCATTTTTTAATTCCAATGTGTTAGAATTTAAACATTTTTTGATTTTAGTATATAGATTGTCCATCATTAGTAATAAGGATTCATGGGAAAGAGGTGGGTTGAGCATTTGCTCTTCATCATGTGTTATTTCATCAGAGTACCCTAATTGATCTTTGTTAGTTTCGAATGATTTTCTTTGAAATATTTTAGATTTTTAATGAGCTTTATTGTAATAGGAATAGGAATAAGGATTTTTTTCAATTTTAGGAGCCATTGTGATTTTTATCTCTTTATTTAGTTTTTCCTCTTTAATTTCTTTCCCCTTTTTTTCTCCCTTCCTTCTTCCTCTCTTTCTCCTTTTGTTCTCCTTTTTCCCCTTTTTACTTTCCTTCCCTTTCTACTCTATCTTTCCTCTTTTTTCCCCTTTGTTCTTTCTTCTTTCCTTCATTTCAATCTTTGCACTTCTTCTCTTCTTCCCTTCTCTTTGCTTTCTCTTTCTTTTTTCTTTCCCTTTTTTCTATAAATCCATTTTTATTGTATTCCTCTTCCTTTTCCTCACTTTTCTACTCTTTTCCTAGTTTCTTTTCCATTTCTCTTCTTTGTTTTTATGGCAGAATATTACTTAGACAACTCAATTTATAAGATATGCAGTCAGAGAAATTGCATTTTATGCAGAAAAAGCATAACTTAAAATCTCTTTACTTTTCTCCCTTAATCCCCCTTTTGCTTTTCCTTTATCTTTCTTCTTACCTCCTCCCTTTCCCAGATATTAATGCTCTAAAGGAGCTACTCATAGTACTTGTGTAATTTTCTATGAAGCATTTTAATCAGCGCCACCATTCACAATCTCCTGCTTTCCTCAGGCTAGACTCCTCTCTGCATTTACCGCACTCGCAGAAAAAGGTAAGTCTCTGACTTGTGGCACTTGCTTCTCCTTGCGTCTACCACTGTGCTTCACTGCCTCATGGCAAAAGCTTCTCCTCGCATCATCTACCGTGCCTCACACCACTTGCACAGATGTACTTAGGCGGAGATAATCAGCAGGGCTATGATGAAGATTTGTGGGTTCTTGGGTATTTGGAGTTCTGGAGGGGAGGAGGTATGTAGGTTAGGAAGAACTAGTTTTGTTCAAAACAGGGGTAGGGAGGGAAACTCAGTAGCTTGCTTGAAGTTGCTTAGAGTTGAAACGGGATAGCTGCCATCGAAAGCTGGGCTCGACCACAGAGTGTGCACGTGGGTGCACCTTAAGTCATCACGCTCCTACATTGCGCGCATCTGCCCCTACTTAACGCCAGATGCGACTAAGGTGTTGGTCCATTCCACTGTCCTTTCTCACCTTGACTACTGTAATCCGCTTCTCAGTGGTCTTACGTGCTCCCAACTTGCACCGTTACAGTCAATAATGAATGCGGCGGCGAGGCTCATCTTCCTGTCCGCCCGCACCTCCCATGCCTCACCCTTCTGTCAGTCCCTACATTGGCTTCCTATAAAATATAGAACTCAATTTAAAATTCTGATTCTTGCTTTCAAATCTCTACATAATGCTGCTCCTACCTATCTATCCTCCCTTATACACAAGTATGTCCCGTTTAGGCCCTTACGATCTGCTGAAGACTTACGTCTATCTTCTGTCCGTACTTCCACCTCTGATGCTTGCCTTCAAGATTTCTCGAGGGCTGCACCGTTCCTGTGGAACTCGCTTCCCTCCTCCGTTAGATGCTCACCCAGTCTCCACTCCTTAAAAAAATCATTAAAAACCCACTTCTTCATAAAAGCGTATCAATTTAACTGTTAATAGCTCCTGACTGATTCCTCTTCTAATACTATGCTTACCTTTTTGTGTAATTTTACCCCACTCTCTCTAGCATGTAAGCTCATTGAGCAGGGCCCTCAACCCCTCTGTTCCTGTGTGTCCAACTTGCCTGGTTACAACTACATGTCTTTTCGTCCACCCATTGTAAAGCGCTGTGGAATTTGATGGCGCTATATAAATATCATAATAATAATAATAATAATAATCGACTTCATAATTTATGTCTTGATTTTAAACTTTTTTTTTTTTTTTTACATTTCACAGTAAAATGTAACTACTAATTTTAAAAGGGACAAAAGAAAACAATTTTTTTATATATATATATTAATGTATTTTTTGGCTAAATAATGTTCATGCTGTTCAAGATAAAAAAAAACATTCTATGGGTGAACACATATAAAACATGCAGCACACATATATGAGGTGCATGTTATTAGGAGTGTCTTGTCAACTAAGGTCACTGTTAAATAATTCATTTGTTTACAACAATACAGCAAAATAAAAACCTTGAATGGTTTAATAAGGCAAGTGTGCAACAGCTAATGGGACAACATTTAAATAACATTATGGTTATAATAGTTTTCCTTTAAACAATGCATCTTGTAATAAAAGGAACTACTCAGAGTCCGTCTCTGCTGCAGATTTTCTCTAATTCATAATTAGATCATGTGCGGGACAACGTAAAAGATATTTTTAATGGGGTCAACAGGCACTTAGCTGCCAATCCTGTCTCTATTTCAATTTACTATACATTTATCTGGGATCACTAAAACCTCAAATGTATCTCATAAAAGCTCCCAAGGTAGTTAAATGCCACTGTGGATAATAATTTTTTACCTTTTATTCTGAGGCCCTGCAATCAGTATTGTATTCCTCTCTTGTCTTCCTGGGGGACAGTCCTTCATCCATCATTAGGTGTCATACTCAAATTTGAAGATACCACCAATACCATTTAACAATGAATACTTCCCTAAAGCACTTCCAGCTTCACTTGTTTTGAACTATCGTTTCAAGCGGAAGTAAGTGCTTCTAACAGAAGATGTGGTATTTGATATGCATGTGCCATGTGTCCCTATGCTTCGAGAAGCATTGATGGCAGACTGCAAGGATTGCCGAGTATGTGCTTTGAGCTCCTGTGCTTCTCAATTGAGAAGTATCTGAATGAACATATTTTATCGGTAAAGACAACTTCACTAGAAGCAGATCAAAACTGTAGCAAGGAGTTTCAAGTTTACTTGATTTGTTAGTCTTGCAATGCCCGTATGTAGGTATGGACAGAGGTGTAACTAGAAACGTGGTAACTAGAAACCGGGGCCCTGCCCCCAATACGTCTGAAGTGACAGACCCGGTATCAGCTGTGACCCCTGAGACCGCGGTAGTTCCACCACTGGGTATGGAAGGTGGTTATTTGCACACAAAAATTAACCCTCCAATTAAAAAAAATATGTCTTTTGTACCACCGACTCACTAGTTACTCATGTCTACTCCATTGGTTCTGTTAGAAAAAAGGATTGGGAGTACCACCAAATTGCTAATTCATCAATTCAACATCACAAATCATCCACTACCCATGATGAATAGACAGTTCAAATATTATAAAAACATATCGTGTGAAGGAATACCCCATCACTTGGATTCGGCACCTTTCGTTTATGGATATTAATTTGTTTTGTTTGTACCTACCTGGTTCGGTTCCCGAACGAGGACCACCACAGAATCTCATTAGAACGTGGAACACTAAATATCCAGTACGAAAACCGCGAAGGAAACAATTAATAGAATGCTCCACTGGGTGCCTGCCATTTCGTGCAACCGAACGCAAGTGGTAGACAGAATGGATGGTGGCCATTTTGTCTCCCAAACGCAGGCAGCGGGACTTGGTCGTCGAGTGCCTGGAACTGATTTCACGCCAGAAAATAGGCCTACTGCCTGTTCAAGTTCCCGACCACCTATACGAACAGCGTTCGAGAGATATGGACTACCGAATGAGGGGAGCATTCCACACTTAAAAGATTTTGTATAAACTATGTGGTTTTTGTAGAAAAACCCAATGAACGGAGACCAGCCCTTGCCACAATTTCCCTGGAACCCGGATTTTGGGCTTCGACCTCAAGGCTGGTCAAAACTTTCCAGCGATGGCAATTCAAAACTACCAAACCGATCTGAGTGATTTTTGGATATGATGTTCACTCAGATCAGGGCTATCCGGGGATGTTACTTTTGTGCATTTTGGGGGTACTTTTGGGGTGTTTGAAAATTTTTATGTTTTTCTGTACCTGGAGATAATTGAGTTTGTACAGTTCCTGATTCAATTATCTCTCAGGCACAGAGGAGGAGTTTTGTACATGTATAAATTCTGTGACTGTGCTTGTATTAAACAGTTCTACTCCCAGCATTAAGCCGCGGCTCATATGTAGGTGGATATTTATTACTTTTTTTGCTGGGAATGATCAATTACTATGTTGTTTTCCACCGTTTTTTACTTTTGTAACTTTTCCATAATTTTTTTTTTATGTTATTTTTTTCATGGAGCAAATTCCATTTCTTAACATTTCCACCTTTTTGAACCAAAATTGCATTCTATTTTCTGTTTTTCTCTTTCATCAGTTTTATTGTGGCGTAGAAAATAAAGTAGAATACTCACAGAATAGTTGCACAGTATTCTTCATTAGAGTGACACTTTTCTGACTACTTTCAAAATTAGAACAGATTTTTGAACCACCAGAAGAAGACACTTTTCAACCCACTTTTATAAATCTCCCCTACTATTTTCAATTCAGAAATATTTACCTTTCAAGAGTTTTAAAGGACTGGATTATATCCTTGGCATGGAACCATAAGAAGTAAACCTAAAATAAAGTAGAACAAATTAAATAAACAATAAAAAATAGATAAATAATTGCACGATGAAATCAGTGACATAATTATAAAAAACAAATATTGAAATAAATAATTTAGGATGTCATCGCACGATGAAAGATATGCTACAAAACAAACATACTCATGTTGATTTGTTAGAGCCTATCACATTTGAAATTGGCATTGTAGAAAAGGTATGTGAAAAAGTTAATTTATTTACCGGCTTAATTTAAGAAACTGTCTTAATTTAAGAAATCAATGCTATATGTTATTTACTGAATTGCGTTTAGTGACGCTTAAAGTAAAATTAAGGTGTAAGTGAATACATACTGGGGTTTGTAAGACCCCAGCATGTAAGTAGAGACAATCATTTCTCACTCACTAAAAGAGAATGTGAATTCTCTATAAAACAAATAAATAATTACATTTATAATAAAAACCAGGCTGGGGCCTGGCAAATGAGCTTTCAGATGGAGAGTAATATATTAATATGAGGGCCAGAGTGTGCTGTAAACTATCTCCCTCTATGTTTTATTAGGGCCAGGAAATGGCCAGCCTCTTGCCCCTATATATGTTGAATGCTGCCTTGTCCTCTGGCCCTGAAAATAAACAGGGCCAGCAGATACCTAATCTACATTCCCATAAATGGATTCATGATTTGCATGAAGCAAGATGTGTCCTTCATGACTGTTTATGTTTTGTGACTTGGGGAGAAATTATATTTTCATTTAAATGCATTAGGTTAACATGGATTTTTTGGCCCATTTTTTATAATGATGGTAATGAATGAAGATATAGTGAACAGGAAAAAAAAGGTGAAAGCGCACAAACAGTGGAATATTTTACCTTTAAAAACGTGTATAGGTCCTATTTCAGCAACAGACAGTAACTGTAGACCCTATATATAATATATACAAGAAAACAACATAGTGTATACTGTTGTAACCTATTTACAATATGTGGAGAATAAAAAATGTTCACTCACACTTTCCAGAGCCACATAAGTCAGGCTCTGGACTATAAAGGTATTTCATCCACCAAGGGATACACTGGATCTGATCCTCCTCTTAGATGTTTGTAATAAGTTTTTCTTAGCAGGAACTCAGGAACCAGGTAAGGTGAAGTGTTAAAATAAACATTTATTTGGTATAAAATAATAAAAGCAGAAATGGCTGACACAGCAGCTAGCACAACGCGTTTCAACCCTCCAGGGTCTTTTTCAAGTGCAGTATATCCTCCCATTTGCTGACCCACCTATATATGCCTCCAATTTACCATATTGGAGACAGGTATAGCAGCAGGAAATGCTAATGGAAAAAAAAAGGATGATGGTGCTTCCTGTTTTGATATATATAAATAAAGAGAGAGAGAAAAAAAATGGCGGTGCTTCCTGTTTTGACATATAGAAATAAAGAGAGAAAAAAACAAAACAAAACAAAAATGCCAGTCTGTAATAAATATGGTCCTTCCAAAGCTTCTATCATCCAAATTTCTCACAATATACATACATAGACACCCTACTTCAGCCGACAGTTATAAAAAATTCCTCCTATCTGAAGGACACGATCCATTTTCTACAGATTTTAGAAAAAACAGAATGGGTGGATGGATATCAAATGGTTACTTGTGATGTAACCTCATTGTATAATATCATTCCACATGACAAAGGAATAGCAGCAGTCAAATATTTTTTTAGAAAAATCTGATTTTAAGAAGGAACAAGTCAATTTTATTTTAAAAGGGATTTTACTTATTTTAACCAATAACTATTTTTGGTTTGAAAATTCATTTTATCTCCAGATCTGTGGCACGGCAATGGGCACCAAGTTCGCCCCTAGTTATGCCAACCTTTTTATGGCATTCTGGGAAGAAACATTTGTACTACAGGGCAATCGATGGGGGAGAAGCTTGGTGTCCTATTGTCGATTCATAGATGATATCTTTTTTATATGGACTGATACCACAGAAGAACTTCAGGGTTTTATTTCATATCTAAATACCAACAATTACGGAATAAATTTAACTAGCCAAAACAGCACATTGCAAATAGAATTTTTAGATTTGCATTTCAGTATCCACGAATCAACAATAATAACTAAAAACTACTTCAAACCTGTTGATGCAAACAGTTATATCGAAAAAGCAAGTTGTCATCATAACCCGTGGCTTAACAATGCTCCTAAAAGTCAATTCTTAAGAATCTGGCGAAATTGCAAATTAGATTACGACTATCTTAAACAGGCCAAATATATCAAAAAAAATTTATTGAAAAAGGGTATGATAAAACAATCCTAGAGAAAGAAGTAGAGGAGATAGGAAAATTACAAAGAAAAGATCTTATAAAATATAAGCAAAAAACAATAACACAAACAAATGAAATCCCCTTTATCTGCAATTTTAATGGACTCAACAGACGGATACAAAAAACTATTAAAAAACATTGGCATCTGTTAAAGGACGACCCTGTTTTAAATATGATTTTACCATCAAAACCAAAAAGAATATATAGAGGAGCTAAGAATTTTAAAAATATTTTAGTGAAAAGTCACTTAACCCCTAAAAAAAACAAAGCACTTTATTCAAGAATTAAAAGGATTTTATGGATGTGGAACATGCCTCCCTTGTAAAACAACAAAAAGTAAAAAGAGACATTTAAAGGATATAGAAAATATAATTAAAAAACCGTACATTATAAATGACCATTTAACCTGCCATTCAAAAGGGATTAAATATATATTTTAAAATATATGCAACCTTTTATATATAGGCAGAACTATTCGACCACTAAAGGTTAGGATTGCAGAACATATTAGAAATATAAGAAATGGTTTAGAAACTCATAATGTGTCACTACATTATAAACAAGTCCATAACCAAAATCCTGAGAACTTGTTTTTTTGTGCAATAAAAGAAGTTAAAAGAAATTGGAGAGAGGATAAATAAAATTATATTAAAACATTACGAAAGGAAGAAATTAGTTTTATTTTTCATTTTAAGACCCCTTACGGTCTTAACTCAGACTTTGAAGTTTGTCATTTTTAATATAATTTTATAATTTTCCCTTCCTTCCCACTTTTTTTTTTGGTCTATTCTATATCTTTTAAGGAAACAAATAATTTTAGAGTACCTTATAAGACATAAAAATATTTATTAAATTCATAATACCTTTTTTATATATGTACAATTACTATTGTTCTTATCACCATAATGTCTACAATTTAATGCATAACATCTTCTATTCTAGAAATATACTGGCATATAAACTTTGTTTCATGTGTTTTCTGTGTATGTATATTGTCAGAAATTTGGATGATAGAAGCTTTGGAAGGATCATATTTATTACAGACTGGCATTGCTAAATGCTAAATGCATGCATAATGTTTACATTCCTTAAAAGACCGTATCCGTATTGAACTGATACTTTGAAATGCATATATGCATTTACATTCCTTAAAAGACCGTATCTGTATTGAACTGATACAGCATGTGTCACGTGACGAGTACATTCCACGGTTGGAACGCAAAAAATCCGGAAGCGGAAATGAAAACTTCCTTGAATGCCGACCGAGGACGGAAGGAGAGCAAAAAGACCGCCAAAGCAGAGCTATTTAAAACGGATTAACATACAAGATCAACTAGCAACTGAGGAAACCTCTAAACTGGGCGAAACGCGTTTTACACTTCATAAGACTTTACAAAAGGACTTACCTTCAAAATTGTAAGTTTTTTTATCCTTTAATTTAATTAATTTATATTTATTGAACACTTTTCAATAAAGCACTTTATTCACACTGCAAACTGTGAGGATATCCTATTGTTTGGGTACCCCTGCCAGTTCAAGGGAGTGGGTCCCTCTAGCCAAAATAGTGGCTCTCTGTTTGTGAGTGCTTTTCTTATTTACCATTGCACTTTATTATTTAATATTGGCTATATTGCACTATTTTTTCTACCTATGTTTTAACCTTAGGAAGAACGACTTACAAATATTTCATAAGAAAGATACTCCACCTTATATTGTATGTACATTTCTGTTTGTTGTGGGGTTAAAGGGAAAACCCACTAAGGTGTCAGAGTATCTATTACTATTGGTGTTACTCACTGGGATATTGTTATATATATATATATATATACATATCGCTCTCTATAATACAGACACTGACTCGAGTATAAGCCAAGTGGGGCTTTTTCAGCACAAAAAATGTGCCGAAAAACTCGGCTTATACTCAAGTATATACGGTATATCATTAGCCCAAACGCATGAAGTAAATAATAAATACATAAAAAATCATAAAATACAGTTCATTTCAAAATCAATGTTGAGCCCTCTAGGTGTTAAAGTGCACATTTCAAAGATCCATTTGGTTTCTTGTAAACTTTATTTTTTTGTTAAAATCCCCTCCTCTCCAATGCGTAGTAACTCCGGCATTTCAAACAATGTGGGCATAACGTCAACTGAGGTACCAGGTGATCGATGGGGTCCCCCCACTTAGAAGGGGAGACAATAGGCAGAGACTCCTAACGCAAAGAGAATCCAAATGGATTAGCAGCCTTGAGACCCTACACCCAATGGGTCTTAATGAAGATTATGACTTAAAGCAATTTTTATAAAAGTAGGGGTTCTCTGAGTTAGATTTATGTGATTTTGTCCTATAATTTGTGACTAATTGCTTTTGGTCAATACTTTTGGTCACTTTGTCTTTTATACTATCCCTTCTATAGTTTGTATGCCACCGACCACTTCTGGTCTGCTCCACTTGTTCAGTTCAGGGACATGCGACGGATATGACCAATTTCTGGTCCGCTACTTGAAGATTTTTCAAGGTCTTCCCATACTGGAATTAGGGTGCATTTCAGTTCTGTGGTGGGCAAGCATTAAGTATTCTCTTTTGATTTCATTATGTCAATTTTATTTTTTGCAGTACATTCATTCATTTTTTTAAATAAAGATCATTGTTTTCATGTTCTAAGCTTTGTTTACACAGTCTGCCATAGCTTTTGTATAATTTACCCAAACTGATCTGCAGTAGTAATTGAGTGTAAATATTTTCTGTCCACCATATTTTCATTTGTATTTTATTCATGTACATATACCCTTATGTACAGTCTGTTGTTTTGCTGGGCCATATGGTTTATTCTGTGCAGAGGACTTTGAAACAGGCATTAATGTTTGTATTTTATAAATGTTCATTTAGGAACCATGGTGATGTGATATTTTGCACTTTAGCACTTTTTTTGCACTTTATAGTATAGTGGATAAGATATTTTTCATATATAAACATATGGTGTTCTCTTGTCTTTTTATAAGATAGCTTACATTTGTCCTTAGTGCATTTTTTGCTAATAAATTTATATTCAGTTATATCTATTCTATTGAGTGCGGTATCATTTGGTATTTTTTTGTATAATATTATTGAGGATCTTTGGAGGTGACCCAGATACCTGCACCTATTGTGATTGAGTGCAAGTACTACTTGTGGTTTTTTAAATTTTATTCCTATCTATCTCTACAGAGAGACTGTAAAGATGGAGAGCAGACCTTATCCCTCCCACCTATCTTAACTTGGAATCTTCTTGCAATGTTGTTCCATATGGGCATGTGCATTAAACTCAGAAAATATATAGGTTATTAAGAGATTCACAAAGAATGCCCTACTGGGGCATTATAGATAGAATCTGATGTATAAAATGTAGAATTAAAAATGTATTGCTGTTTGTTTGTTTTTTAGCAACCATAATGTGACATAATAGTCAATGTGAGAAAAAAGAAAATGGTCCAGTGGTCCATTTTCTATTTTGTGTTACTATGGCTGGTTTACGTGGTACCAGGTCCATGCACTCTTGTCTAGAGTGAGTGCTTCTTCCTCCTTTCTCTGTATGCAATTAGCAAAGTGACAGCTTTTCTTTATATTAATCATAATATAAATAACAATGCTTGCATCATCATCATCAAGGTTAAACATTCTAGTTATCAAAAATGTCAGGTGAAGTTTATAGATGGTGGGGCACTAGAGTTTAATCTTGGAACTGGACTCTGTCTCCTGACTAGTTGGCCCATTTAAATCCATGTTCTCAACCTGACTCAGTGAAAGATCAAGGTCAACACCATAAACCTATACATGTAGATACCCAAATTTGGAAAACAATCAATATTTTAAAGAAGTTCTCCCCCCAGCTGTCTCTGATTGGATGACTTCACAATTCCTAAAACTTAACTTTTCCAAGTCCAACCTCCATCTGTTTCCTCCCTCTAAGACTGCATCTGTACCTTTTTCACAGACAGAACTATCCATAACCTCTACCAACAAGCACATTGTCTTGGAGTGCTCTTTGACTTTGACCTTTACCTTACATAAAATCAATCAATCAACAAATCCTGTCGCTTTCACCATAAGAACATTTCTCGACCCTTTCTCATTCAGGAAGTTATCAAAATGCTTGTCCATGCTTTCATTGTTTCCCACCTTGTTTATTGTAACCCTCTAGGTATTGGCTTGAAAAGTGCTCAAATTGTCTCTCTACAGTCCACTTCTGCCAGACGTATCTACCTTATGCCCTAACACTCTCAAACCTCACCCCTCTGTAAATCTCTACAGTAGCTTCCTGGCTCATTTAGAAATCAGTTTAAAGTACCTACAGAGCTCTCCATAACGGTGCCCCCGCTTATATCTCCCTTCCTCATTAGCAGATATGTTCCAGCCTGGCCTCTTCACTCCACCAACGATGTTACTATCCCGTTCTCATACTAGCACCCCAGACTCTTGCCAGCTGGACCTCTCCATGCTTGCCCCTTCCTTATGGGATGCCCTCCTGTCATGCCCATCGAGCATGATTCCTTGTTTCACTGTTGAAATATTGTTAATAAAAATTATGTGTATGGTGTATAAATTAAATGGTTACTCATTAGAGGTGGTATGGCTGATTACAGCACCAGAAGGGCTAATTTGGATGCTAGATTAATAGGAAACAGTTTTTTGATCCCTTACTCTTCAGCCAAACATACAGCTGTGTCCTTTGGACCAGGTATGAAACTTTGAACCCAAAGGACATTCATGTGTACTTTCCCACAGACCTACTGGCTACACACTGTTTGACTGCTCTGCTTAGAAGACCTTGAATCCTTCTGATATGCTAATTAACAATTATCAAGAGCCAGACTCTGTGCTAAGTTATATTAAAAAAACCTTAAAAAATCATAACCCAGTGATGAATAATCATTCCTCCTGTTATACATATTCAGAATGCCCTACAAAAGATGTACAAACATGACCATTGTACCTTAAGCCATCCACGGAACAAAATCTTCAGAATTTTCAAAAGCAAGTGAAAGATAGAAAAAAGCATATAAAATACCAAAGAGTTTTCAGGGACCTTAAGGAGGGCACTATTATTTAGGACTAAGTGATAACCACACAAACACACTAGTTCCGTACTCACCACAATCTCAGATAACACTAAATGTCGGAATCATGACAATCAGATAAAGAGACTATATCCAGAGGTATTACCACACATATTGTAGGCAAAGGCATTCTTATAAAATGAGAGAAAACTTAATAATTTAGCACAACTCCTTCAACTTATTTTAGATCAAAGTTGGCCGAGACCTAAGAGAGAGAGCTTTCAAGTCAGATAATCAATTCAATCCAGACTGCAGGAAATAATTAGGGCTAGGACAATGCAGAATAAGATAATTAACTTTGCATGTTAAGTACCTTTAATAAGGACATTTATTTATTCATATAAAAATTTGCTTTACATTTGGCACAGAGAAAAAAAGAGCTGAAAGAATTAAGAAATTGGGTCTTTCCCATTCTGACTGTAAACATTTACAAACTCTGATATCTCTATGGCATGAGCAAGATATATTTAAAAAAGAAAATCTTTGACACAAAAATCTACAAGCGAGAAATGAGATAACAATTAAACCCTCTGATAAAGGGGGAAATATTGTTATTCTTGACACCACAAACTATGTCTCTATCACCAAGAAAATACTTACTGATGCAAAATTATTAAATCAGACCCCACAAAAGTATTTCTGGAGAAATTGAAATACATTTTACAAAGGGGGCTTAAAGATAATTTAATATCTAAGAAAGAGTATGATTTCATGCTTATTATAAATCCACGTATACCCACATTCTATAGCCTACATAAAATTCATAAAAAATATCAAGAATTAACAGGTAGGCCTATAGTGTCGGGTAATAATAGCATGACACAAAACGTCAGTATTTACTTGGATCATATTTTAAGACTTTTGGTGGTTAAGCTTCCTTTCTACCTAAGAGACACTAAACAAACTTTGTCCCACTTAAATACACTAACCATGTCTACACATTCTATTCTTTGCAGCTTAGATGTGGAGTCATTGTATAGTTCGATCCCCCATGCTTTAGGATTAAAGCATACACGCTATTTTCTACAACAGAGGGGTATATGTCTCCATAAACACAGCGAATTTGTCATCGAACTGTTACAGTTCGTTTTGACGCACAACTTCTTCACCTTTGATGGTATATACTACCACCAGGTGCAGGGTACAGCTATGGGGACATCTTGTGCGACCTCATATGCCAACCTTCACCTGGGATGGTGGGAAGAAAAAATTGTGTTTATGGACAATTTAAAAGAATTCACTCGATATATTCTCTCTTGGAAGAGATATATCGATGATATCATGATAGTCTGGAGTGGTACTGTGGAAAATTTCTCTCGATTCGTACAGCATCTTAACAAGAATGATCTTAATCTAAGATTTACCTTTGAAATGGGGAAACCATCTCTCAGGTTCCTAGACCTTACTTTGACTCCGGAGGCCAATGGCATCATTAAAACTGACCTCTTTAGGAAAGGTACGGCTACCAATAGCCTATTGAATTGGGGGAGTTATCATCCGACGCCTCTAAAAAGAGGCATACCGACTGGGCAATATTTACGCCTTAGGTGAAATTGCTCCGATATAGAGGATTTTATGGTGAGAGCTAAGGAGTTACATGCAATGTTTAGAGCTAAAGGATACCCCCACAAATGTCTTAAAATGGCGTACCATAGAGCTTTACTAACGGATCGAGGAGATCTCATCAAGGAAGATCTACCTCCAAAAAATCATACCAACTTTGACTCTAAGCAATTGAGATGTATCGCCACTTATGATATGGGGTGGGAACACGTCAAGAGGATCCTAAATAGATATTGGCCGCTGCTTAGACAAGACGAACATCTCAAAGAGGTCATTTCCCCCAATGCGGCTTTAGTGGCACAAAGGGGTAAAAACATCAAAGAATTTTTAGTACATAGTCACTTTAAACGGTCGTCAACAATTTCGACACATTGGCTGTCTAACAAACTTTTGGGGACTTACAAGTGTGGTTGCTGCAAAGCGTGTAACTATATTTGTAAGGACTCAAAAAGTTTTCAAGACAGCTTAAAGTCTGATGTTTTATACCCAAATTCTTTCTTTAATTGTAATACAAAAGGGTTGTTCTATTTGATAATATGCCAATGCGATAAGTTGTATGTGGGCAAGACATTTAGACCGTTTAAAAGATGGATTTTAGAACATATTAATTCCGTTAAATCCAATAGACACATTGAAACCTCATTATCCAGACATGTAAAAATTTTTCATCAAAGTGACCATACGGTACTCAAATTCTTGGTTATTGAACAGGTCAAACTGATCAAAGGAAAGGTAATCTGGATAAACTTCTGAGGAGACGAGAGTGTTTTTGGATATACCGCCTTATCACACTGTCACCAATAGGGTTAAATGAAGGCTTCACTTATTCTCCCTTTATTAGTGATCTCTAAAAGTAGAGTATAACACTATTCTACAAAGTCATAGGGACTGTAATTTTATACTGTGATTCTGGAAATAGTAGTTTCATTCTACACCCCCATTCTTTCTGTATTTTGTATTTGAATTAATATATCCTTCTTTTATGGAGATACCTAAAAAAAAAAAAAAAAAAATTTAAAAATTTTTTTTTAAGACCCCTTCCCCCCCTTTTCTATGTCTAATTGCATATGGAGTCCCCACGATGGATTTGTAAACTGAACAGAAGTACATCTTAGATTGATACTTATAATATAAAAGATGGCCCATTCATTATATACTAAGATCATTGATTTACAGTTTAGGTTAATTTCATGGCCAAAAGGCTTTTAATTGCATTGTTTCTAATCTGTCTTATTGATACCTTATACTATTGACAATAGGTTATGTATTGATTAGAGAATGCACATATAGGTATCCCTCGATGCATTGTATAATCTAGCTGGTTATAGACTGTCATATTTGTGTATATAGTATTAGATATAGGCAGGGCATTGCTGTGTTAAGAACCTCTGGCCTCTTAAGGGCTATTATTTATTATATGTATAGCTTTATCGCTGGAGATAGGAGGAGCCGCCACTATTTTGTTTGACAGCCCCTCCCCGCCCCTAACCTATGGGATAGGGGAGTATGATTTTAATTACGTTTACAGTGGGAGGGTCTCAGTTCTAAGAAGGGACGGCTCTGCTTGCGATCGGCCCGTCCCGCCCCCCACCTGCAACCTGACTGGCTGCACGAATGACGTAGGGAAAAGGGGAGGGGCCATCGGCAGACAGCGGACCCGGAAGATCTCCGCCTTCGTCACGCCTCCTCACACACCTGTTAGTGGTTATTGAGGCGAGTAGAAGACGATGCGGATTGGTCGGGGGGGCTTTAAATTAATGGCAGAAACACAGGTATTTTCCTTCCCTGACGAAGGTGCCACTACACGCACTGAAACGCGCGTCGTTTTTTTTTTGTTTGTTGTTACTTCACTCACTATGGGAGCACTAGGTGTTTAACGCCTTTATTCACTTTAATTTTGTAGCTTGGAGTTTTTTTCTTTTATTTTTGTGGCAAGGGGCAATCTGATAGGTCCTAGCTCTAGTTCTTAGAGATAGCATAGAACACCCTTGAAGGTGTTTTGAGGGATCATAGGGTCATACTAGCTCAGTATCTCTCCTTTGTTAAATTGTTTCCAAGCTTTTTGCTAGGTATTTATGTGTTAATAGTTGAGATCTTCGCGCTCTTGCTATCAGAAGTTTTATAGTTTGCCACTACTTGCTATTTCCTGACCCTGTCTATATACTGACCAACTGATTGCTGCCCTATTACTTTCTGAGTATGGATTTTAGACCCTCTAATCGGATTGCTGATTAACTGATTTGGAAAAAGGTCTATACTATATTATAGAGACTTAGAGTACCTTCAGATTATTAGTATACCCCCTGCCACTCAGCAATCACCCCAGTTACATAGTGCCTTTTATCTAAATGTATCAATAAAGTATTTATTATTTGACTCTTCATAGGCACTTTTTGGGACTAGATGTAATTGCTGTCTGTAGTATATTTTACTAATGTAACTCCAAGCCTATTTCTGGATTGGTTACATACTTTCATAATGTCTTTTTTCTGACTTTGTATAAAACCAGATTTGGAGTCTCATTAGTCTTGGGACTCTATTAGTTATTTATCATTTCTTTAGTTATAACATCGGGCTTAAGCCCTAGGGTGGAGCTGGTACCACCAACTCTGACCGCTGTGTGTCTCTTTTCCCTTTTAGTGAAAACTGTTTACACACAGTTTTGTGTATTCTTTTTTTTTTATTCTTGATGAAGTGGCCTGGGAGCTGTGATCTTGTATGTTTAACCCTGACATGAAAAACATTGTAGAGTTAAACACATTTCCAGTAGCTAGAGGCTTTTCCTGTGCCAGTACAATGCAGAAGTTGCATTGTACTTCCTGTGATAGTACATTGCTACTTCCTGTTGCAGTAACCGACTAATGTAATTGCAACCCCCATAGAAAAGCATTAAGTCTATGCTTTTCTATGAGAACATTTAAAGCCTTCATATAACTGCTCGAATGATGAGGACTTCATCCTTGAAGCTCATAGACTGAGAGGTGTTTTTAGAGAACATGTTATTTTCATGTATTCCTGCCGCTATAGTGTCCAGTAAATGTTTAGGTTCCTCTCCCTGGAGTACTTGAGAAAGTTAGTTTTACGTGCCTTTTCTCCCTTGTCATACTGCACTCTCACTGACTGCTCTGCCTCTTTGGATGAGAGTGTCATGGCAAGGGTGCTTAATTAATTGTTGCACTATAGAATATTGCTGTTTAATGGGATTTGTGTAGTGCATACATGAATTGGCCGCTTGGTAGAGAACAGATGTCAGAAAGAGTTAATATAAATTATATAGGAATGTAAAAGAGGTCAGATGGTTTACAACATGAAATCAACCAAGGCTTCTGCAAGGTGTGAAATGAATTGTTCGTTTGATTAAACAAGGCTTCTGGACGGTGTGAAATGTTGCCCCTCCGTTGCCTGTATGTTTAGTTTCAATGTAAACTAACTGACTTCGACCATATGGCCGGTAACTCTTAATAGATAGTGGATTTCCTTGCTATGTTAATTATCATATCAAAGGACCCTTGTGTCACAGTGTCATATCAGTGTCATATCCAAGAGAAACAAGAATAATTACCCACAGATTAATAATTAAGCCTCATTTTGTGCATATTTAGAATAAGACAAGCACAACCTTCTAACCAAATATAAACATGATTAGTGCATCTTAAGCCATTTGGAAGGACTTGTGATGTCCATTATATTATGTGACATATCTATGGAATAAGTAAAAATTACAACAAAGTCATAGATTAAATTATTATTTGTATGGCAAGTACAAAAGAGGAGATAAAACCAAAAGTTTCTATTTGGATTGGTGTTGGTCTGGTCACTTATAGTTTCTATAGATACACCTTTTCTCCACCTCTGGGCAAGGCTTGGAAACTTAAGATGAGTCAAGAGGGCATATATCCAATGATATGTAAATGTCTATTGTACTTGCTGGGGGCCAAAATCTAATTTTGAGTGAGTCACCCTATTTCATTGCCAGAGCCCTCTTGGACAGAAGACTGTTACTTTTAAAACATAAGTGAGTGAGAAATTAGGATTTCTGTTAAATTATCCTATTTGTTTTTTATCTGTTGTTGGTGTAAATAATTTGTCATCTATTGTTGTATGCACTGTGACTTTTTTTGTTTAAAATAAATATTCCTTTATTAAGTTCTGCCTTTACCTGGTAAAGAATCATGTTACCTGAATAGACCTATTAATTAATTAGTGTTTGGTGCATAGATATTGTGTTTGGTGGGCTTTTATTTTAATTTGCCTGGGGGACCAAAGCATCTCACCTATAAATTGTCTTGGTGGTGGCAGCGTTAAAATAGTAATATTTATATTTAGAGAGATTTTTAGCATTATTTCCGGTCTAGTGCAGACAAATAGTGAACTTTAATCCTTTCACCACCAGAACCAAATCACGCACACTCTTGGGAGTAGGGGGTGTTCGTGACAGAGATCATCACTCTTGATGATCTCGGTCAATGCAATGCTTCAATGCAATGCATTGGAATGCTAATGTGCACACACAGCCGGACACTTACAAATACAGATCTTCAACCTCTTCCCTCCTCAATAAATAGAGAGTGTGTTGGATATTATATATATCCCATCAAGAATGTATTCCTATTAAACATACACTCCATTATGGTGCCACGGGGCAATGGGTGCAGTCCTTGCGGATTGTTTCCAAACTCTGTTTGACAAAACATGAGGATAACTGGCACCTAAAGCCACCGCTCTGCATGGGATATGATGATGCGGAAAGTTTCGATTATTCGTTATTCATTCAAAATATGTGCAGGGGTAAGTAGGATTTGTCCATGCAGAAATGTTAGCAGCCCTCTCTGCACAGTAAGATTGACACAGGCTTCTATATCCCTGTAGCCTACATAAATTTGATCACTTAAAAATTAATAATGGATTTTTGACAAGGTCAAATCCTGTTTGCCCATACAAATAAGAGTGCTTGGCATTGTAGGATGTTGGCTACAATATTGAAGAGCAGAACAAAAGCATGCCTTTCCAACACGGCAGCCACATTTGTAGTGTCAAATGCAATCTAACTAATTACTAATCTAACTAATTACATAAATAATCTTTAGTTACATTTTAATAATGGAATAATACAAAATAGAACTTTAATATATTGAGAGTGACACAACATCCTTTTCTACAGGTTAGTCTTATTTATTCAATCAGACCTCTCTCGCCAGTGCTCCAGTAATGTTTGAGTCTTACATGGTTTAAACAAAGTGATTTCATGCACTTAGAAGTATCAGTTTTCTCCCGTATCAAGGAAAACAAAGAAGAGAAGTGATTTGTTATATGAAGCGCAGTATTGCCATATGGGAAGAAGATACTAATATAAGTGTGATTGGTTTGCTTCTAATGTGACAAATATTATCTAGACAGTCATTTTTGTGTTATTTTATAACAAAAAAGTTTTCTATATGTCAGCAGTGTAATATTCTTTGTTTCTAAAATCCACAGTTGATTTAAAAAAAACAAAAAAACATCTAGGGCTCCTAGTGAACTTTCCTGTCTCTGATCTTTCTGGCTGAACCTTCACATTATTTATGTGTGAACAAAGAAATCAATCAAAGATACAGATCTCTTGATGCCATTGTTTATATCAGGTAAAGCCACCAGATACATTTCCTGCTTGTATTGCTGCTTTAAATGAAAGTGAGTTCTCATTTAAAGGGACACTATAGTCACCTGAACAACTTTAGCTTAATGAAGCAGTTTTGGTGTATAGAACATGCCCCTGCAGCCACACTGCTCAATCCTCTGCCATTTAGGAGTTACATCCCTTTGTTTATGAACCCTAGTCACACCTCCCTGCATGTGACTTGCACAGCCTTCCATAAACACTTCCTGTAAAGAGAGCCCTATTTAGGCTTTCTTTATTGCAAGTTCTGTTTAATTAAGATTTTCTTATCCCCTGCTATGTTAATAGCTTGCTAGACCCTGCAAGAGCCTCCTGTATGTGATTAAAGTCAATTTAGAGATTGAGATACAATTATTTAAGGTAAATTACATCTGTTTGAAAGTGAAACCTTTTTTTTTTCATGCAGGCTCTGTCAATCATAGCCAGGGGCGGTGTGGCTAGGGCTGCATAAACAGAAACAAAGTGATTTAACTCCTGAATGACAGTGAATTGAGCAGTGAAATTGCAGGGGAATGGTCTATACACTAAAACTGCTTTATCTAGCTAAAGTAATTTAGGTGACTATAGTGTTGCTTTAAGTCTTCAAATAGATGTGGTATACAGCTCTGTGTATTGTTTTGTAATGTTGAACACATAACTGATGGCACACTACTGATGAGCAAGTCTCCCATATGCATATTGAATATGCAGAATTCTAGGTTAGACCGTGTGAGGAGGAAGACTTGTATAGACTCTTCATTTTCAAAAGATGTCTTGAGAACCTAAATTAAAGTTATAACGGTGAAGTTATTTGTATATGTTTTTAAATATGCCCAACTCTCAGGATCACTAAAACTCCTATAACTTTATAGACTGTAAGCCCATTAGAACTCCTCATCAACCTATTGTTCCTGTAACATTTTATATTTGTCTAATTTATTGTTAAATTTCCCCCTTTATAATATTGCAAAGTGCTGCTGAATATGTTGACGCGATATAAATGCCCATAATAATAATAATAATTGATGTTAAGTATGGCATTGGTGGAATCACAAGACAGCTTGATCATTTTTGGCAAGGTTAGTTTAAACCATAACTCCTTATAATGTTATGCACCTTATTCTTTACTATAAGCTTGGAAAATTATCTGTGTCACAGTAGGGTATCTGATGCCAATGTAAAATGCCCTATGATTTTGTGTTCCTGAACATGCACGTGTATGTAGAAAGCCATGGGGAAAATGCAGAGAGCTTGCTAGGAACAAGGCCTGTCCTACCTTAAAACATCACAGGCAGCCACCTTAGCAAACTCTCAAGAGGGCGATTTATCAGTGGACACTGCATGCCTTCTATTAGGCTCAATTTAATTATTGTTTAGTATACTGTCTTATCAACAATGTGTAGATAGAAAAAAAAAAGAATCCTCAGCGGTCCAGTGGTGGAGCACATGGTCTGCTCCACCAATTGGTGCAGACCATTATTATAACTTCTTTGTAGTTTTTGTGGGTGTTTATGTTTATTTAATGAAGATTTTAAAAAATACATATGTTTTACCTTTGCGCCTAGTTACCTATTTATACAAAGTTACAGGGAGAGACCTACAACATGGCCCAGTTAGGGCTATATTCCCTGGGAGTCCTGGGATGCATGATGTATTTTTTGCAGTTTATGTTTTTGCCCTATGCATCCTTTGTGCTGATATTGTGTTTTCACACAATTTGATGCTGTTCCGTTGAAATGGTCTATATTCTTCTGTTTGAGCTTGGTGCTTTGGTTTTTGTCTTCTCACACATTCTTCTTTCAGATCCAAAAGTGCACTAATCTAGAATTCTTCAAATGGGATTTAGACTATAGAAAATATAAAGCATGGGGGTCTGCAAAATATATATACAATGTAATGCACTTTTAAGTCATCTTGTTCTTTAACAAATTTTTAATAGTTAGGTTTTATGGATTGGGCATGTTAGTGACGCATCTCATGTTTGTAGATAAATGGTATTTGATAAAAGAAAGTGAAAAGATCTATTGTGTGACTAAAAGGTGTGTTTCACGCGGCTTGTGTATAATCATTTTTGTGTTATGTATGCTGTGTATATGTTACTTAAATAAATCAAGCATATAATTTGTTAAATATTCACAATCATGAACTTCATGGAAAATGTCTAGACATTCTAGATAAAACGACAACATAATAAAACCACGATTTGGCCTTTATCTTTGTTTATGTGTTCAGAATGGTCCAGGTGTTTTGTATGTCTGATCAAATGTCGACCAAATCCTCATTCATCAGTTAGTGTGTACCAGCTGCTCGGCTGCTGTAAAAACATTTACTTTCCCAGAGTTTCCCATGTTCCCAGCAATATATTGAATTCAAAAGGACAATGGGATGAATTGTGGTACCTATGATACATTTAATATGGTTATATGCCCATAAACTACAATAGGAAGGTTAGATTAAACACAGTGCTAAATTGTTCTCAGTTAAAGAAACACAGACCTATGCTCTTTCCCATTTTGACCTTGAAACTTTATCTATCTTCTCAAGTGAGAAGCTAGAGGACCTGTTGTTTTCCACTGGAATATAGACAAACAGGATAGGGATCATTCAACCGGTTTTGACGATCCAAACTCACTACGTAGCCTTCTTATTGTTTTGGTACACAACTCCTCCCACAAAGCTTATTCAAGTATATATATATATATATATATATATATATATATATATATATATATATGTACACACACAAAAATAAATCTATCAACAGTATAGCAACCCAAGGTATTTGCATTCCTATTCCCTTAGACATTAATTAACTGGGTGAGATGGACATGTCAGAATCCCTCCCAGATTTGAGACTTTGTGTCTCCAACTTGGCCACGAAAGGGGAATCGTGTTGCAGTAGTTCCTGTTGTGCAGCACTCACCCAGGAACATCAATGCTAACATCCATGTTAGAGGCCCATAATATCATTCCACTGTACAAGTTGAGAGTTGGTCTGCACATTGTTTTCCCATCCAACCTAAAGCAGCATTGTATATTAGAGGCCAAAGAAATGTACCATTTAAAACTTAGCTAACCACTAGTCACTAAATACTGTTCCCAGTGAAATCTTTACAATATAGTCAGCCCTATCGCGTCATGTCACCATTTCCCCTGCATATAGGCTGTGAGCTAGCTCCTGTTAAGATAAATAGAGTTTTGAATATTAAAAATGTGTTGGAGCTATTATGAACAGTGGCAGGAACAACCGCTAGTGCAGCCGGTGAGGCTGCACCATGGACTGGAAGGAGGGGGGAGCATCGAGACGCAGTGAACATTTAAGATTGAGTGTCTGTCACTTCCTCCCAGATACAGGGAGAGAGCAGCATGGGAGTGAGAGAGCAGGCAAAGAAGTGTGGGACATTGCCAGTACCAGACCCAGAGTGTTAGCACCAGGACCCCAAGGAAGCCATCCTCTTGCACATAAAAGGTATGTTAAGCTGTGTGTGTGTGTATGGGTGTGAGCGTGTATGTGTCAGTGTGTGCATGTGTAAGTGTGTGAGTGTGTGTTTTTTAGTGTGTGTGTGTGAATGCATTTGTTTTAATGTGTCAGTGTGTATCTGTGTTTGTGTATCAATGTGTATGTATATCTGTGTATGTATGTATGTACACTGAACAAAATTAAAAAGCAACACTTGTTTTTGCTACAATTTTTCATGAGCTGAACTCAAAGATCTAAGACTTTTCCTATGTACACAAAAGGCCTATTTTTCTCAAATATTGTTCACAAATCTGTGTTAGTAAGCACTTCTCCTTTGCAAAGATAATCCATCCACCTCACAGGTGTGGCATATCAAGATGCTGATTAGACAGCATGCTTATTGCAAAGGTGTGCTTTAGGCTGGCCACAATAAAAGGCCATTCTAAATTGTGCAGTTTTACTGTATTGCGGGAGTCCGGGGGGTTTGTCGGAAAACCAATCAGTATATGGTGTGACTACCATTTGCCTCACGCGGTGCAACACATCTCCTTCGCATAGAGTTGATCAGATTGCTGATTGTGGTCTGTGGAATGTTGGTCCACTCCTCTTCAATGGCTGGGCGAAGTTGCTGGATATTGGCAGGACCTGGAACACGCTGTCGTATACGCCGATCCAGAGCATCCCAAACATGCTCAATGGGTGACATGTCCGGTGAGTATGCTGGCATGCAAGAACTGGGATGTTTTCAGCTTCCAGGAATTGTGTACAGATCTTTGCAACACAGGGCCATGCATTATCATGCTGCAACATGAGGTGAAGGTCGTGGATGAATGGCACAACAATGGGCCTCAGGATCTTGTCATGGTATCTCTGTGCATTCAAAATGCCATCAATAAAATGCAAATGTGTTCGTTGCCCATAAAATATGCCTGCCCATACCATAACCCCACAGCCACCATGGGCAACTCGATGCACAATGTTGACATCAGCAAACTGCTCACCCACACAATGCCATACACACTGTCTGCCATCTGTCCTGTACAGTGAAAACTGGGATTCATCCGTGAAGAGAACACCTATCCAAAGTGCCAGACGCCATTGAATGTGAGCATTTGCCCACTCAATTCGGTTACAAAGACGAACTGCAGTCAGGTTGAGACTCCGATGAGGACGACGAGCATGGAGATGAGCTTCCCTGAGATGGTTTCTGATTTTTGTGAATTTTGTGCAGAAATTCTTTGGTCTCAGACGATCTTGGAGGTGAAGATGCTGGATATGGAGGTCCTGGGCTATTGTGGTTACACGTGGTCTGCAGTTGTGAGGCCGGTTGGATGTACTGGCAAATCCTCTGAAACGCCTTTGTAGACAGCTTATGGTAGAGAAATGAACATTCAATTCACAGGCAACAGCTCTGGTGGACATTCCTGCAGCCAATTGCATGCTCCCTCAAAACTTGCAACATCTGTGGCATTGTGCTGTGTGATAAAACTGCACATTTTAGAGCAGCCTTTTATTGTGGTCAGCCTAAGGCACACCTGTGCAATAATCATGCTGTCTAATCAGCATCTTGATATGCCACACCTGTGAGGTGGATGGATTATCTTGGCAAAGGAGAAGTGTTCACTAACACAGATTTAGACAGATTTGTGAACAATATTTGAGAGAAATAGGCATTTTGTGTACATAGAAAAAGTCTTAGATCTTTGAGTTCATCTCATGAAAAATGGGGGCAAAAACAAAAGTGTTACATTTACAATTTTGTTTAGTGTATGTGCATATTTGCATACATCTCATTAAAGCACCAACACGACATGCAAACACACCCTTACAATCTAACACACACAATTCAAACACCCCCTTTATTAAAATGTCACAAACACCAACACTACACTTTTTTTTTTTTTTTAAAGCCAACACTTCATACAAACACACCCCTGTATTAATAAGGAAACATTACACAGAAGTACATCACTGCATTACAGTGGCAACAGTATACCCAAACATACACCCTGCACACACATATTTCATACAAAAACATGGTTACATTCAAACGCACAAACACTTCTCGTAAATACAACCTGTCAAGGATGGGCAAATAGTATATCCCTAGCTGGCATAGCATTCTGGTAGTTGTATGACAAATATCTGAGAGTCAAATAGAAGCGTCAAATACTGCGGTTACAGTGCAATTGTAAACATTCTGATTTTCTGGGTGCTAATCTGATAAATAGTAAATTTGGGCACTGCACTTCATATCTGAGAGACAAATAGAACCGTCAAATACTTCTGTGACATAGCAGTTTTAAAAATTCTTATTCTTTAGGTGCTAAAAAAGACAATTTGGTACCTGCACTTCATATCTGAGAGTCAAATAGAACCGTCAAATACTGTGGTTACATCGCACTTTAAAAAAAATTCAAATTTCTTGGGTGCTAAATAGTACGTTTGCGGCCTGCGGTGTGTTTCTTGCAGTCCAATAAACAAACAAACAAAAAAAATGACTATTGACGGTTACATTGTCGCCTGACATAAAACATCTGTTAGTTTGGTGGGTGAACGCAAAGAAGAGCGTCAAATAAGGGACGTGGCCCTGGTGGTGGTGCTGCTGGTGTTGGTGGAGCTCCTGTTGCAAGGAGAGGACGTGGTCGATCTGTGCCAGCTACACACACAAGTGAAACACCTTCCTCAGGTGCGAGTACGCGACAGAATCTTCAGCGTTATTTGGTAGGCCTGAATGCCGCTCTACGAATGGTGAGGCCAGAACAAGTACAGGCGATAGTAGATTGGATGGCTGACAGTGCCTCCAGTTCCTGCACATTGTCTCCCACCCGGTCCCCTGCTGAAAGCTCAAAATTGGCACCTGCAGCCCATGGCCATCTGTCTATCACCTCACCCCCTTGCAAATCATCCAAGCAGTCTGAGCCACAAGTCATGCAGCTTTTTGATTACTCTGCTGGCTGGGTTTCCGTGGGCCATCCACCTAGCCCTGCCCCAGAAGTGGAAGAGATTGAGTGCACTGATGCACAACCACTTATGTGTTAGAATATGGACATGCAAGGACCACCGCGGCACGTCTCTGATGATGACGAAACACAGGTGCCAACTGCTGTGGCTTTCGGCAGTGTGCAGACCGGCAAAGAGGGCAGGTTTGAGGAGTGAGTGGAAGATGATGTGGAGGATGATGAGGTCGTAGACCCCACATGGAATGAAGGTCATGAGAGTGACCTGTGCAGTTTGGAGGAAGAAGAGGTGGTTGCACAGAGGCACCAGCACAGCTGGTGCAGAGGGAGCAGGTTGCAAAAGCAGAGCGGCCGTCCCCTAGACGGTATGCCTGCTACTGCCCACCACATCCAGGGACCGAGTACACCAAAGCCAGCTCCAAGTAGTTCCCTGGCATGGCAGTTCTTCAGACAATGTGCTAATGACAAGACACGAGTGGTTTGCACGCTGTGCAATCAGAGCCTGAAGGATGTGGCAGCCACGCCACCATGTTTGCCACCGTCCCCAAGCATCTCCACACTGTCCCATGGAAGCGTTCAGCTGTCCATCTCCCAAACACTGGAGAGAAAGAGGAAGTACCCCCTAGTCACCCGCGATCCCTGGCCCTGAATGCCAGCATTTCAAAATTCATGGCCTCTGAAATGCTGTCATTCCGTCTGCTGGAGACGGACAGTTTTAAAAACCTGATGGCGGTGGCTGTCCCACAGTACGTGGTTTCCAGCCTTCACTACTTTTCCAGGCGAGCCATCCCTTCCCTGCACAACCAATTGGCGGACAAAATCAGGTGTGCACTGCGCAACTCCATCAGTGGAAAGGTCCACATAACCACAGATACGTGAACCAGTAAGGACAGGCAGGGACGCTATATCTCCCTAACTGCACACTGGGCAAATGTAGTGGCAGCTGGGCCTGAGGCGGATAGCAGTTTGGCGCACGTCCTTCCGCCACCGAGGATTGGAGGCCTGTTGCCTCCTCCTCCGCTTCCTCCTTCTCTACCACCTCCTCATCCGGTCAGCGTAACACCTTCACCACCAACTTCAGCACAGCCAGGGGGAAACAACAGCAGGCTGTTTTAAAACTCATATGTTTGGGGGAAAAACCCCACACCGCGCAGGAGCTGTGGATGGGCATGGAACAACAGACCGATGAGTGGTTGTTGCCACTGAGCCTCAAGCCCGGCCTGGTGGTGTGCGATAATGGGAGAAATCTCGTAGCAGCTCTGGGACCAGGCCAGGTACACAATTGTCCAGCCAGGGCACAGTTCTGGAGGATGAGGAGGAGGAACTGTGTTCACAGCAGGATGGCACCCAATGCAGCTCATGTGCATCACTGGAGCGTGGCTGGGGGGATACGGAGGACACAGACGATACACCTCCCACAGAGAACAGCTTGTCCTTGCCTCTGGGCAGCCTGGCACACATGAGCAACTACATGCTGCAGTGCCTGCGCAACGACTGCCGAGTGGCCCACATTCTAACTTGTGCGAATTAATGGGTGGCCACCCTGCTGGATCCCCGTTACAAGGACAACGTGCCATCGTTAATTCCCTCACTGGAGCGTGATCGGAAGATGCGCGACTACAAGCGCACGCTGGTAGACGCGCTACTGAGGGCATTCCCAACTGACACCGGGGCTCAGTGGAAGCACAAGGCAAAGGCAGAGGAGGAGGAAGAGGTCGCCAACGCACCTGGGGCACCGCCAGCACCTCAGAAGGCAGGGTTAGCATGGCCGAAATGTGGAACCAGCACCACCATCTGATATGGAACGTCTTACCAGGAGGCTGCATTTCAGCAACATGGTGGAACAGTACGTGTGCACACGCCTACACGTACTGACTGATGGGTCTGCCCAATTAAACTTCTGGGTCTCCAAATTGGGCACATGGCCTGAGCTTGTCCTTTATGCCTTGGAGGTGCTGGCCTGCCCGGCAGCCAGTGTGTTGTCTGAACGTGTGTTTAGCACGGCAGGGGACGTTATCACAAACAAGCGCAGCCGCCTGTCCACAGCCAACGTGGACAAGCTCACGTTTATTAAAATGAACCAGGCATGGATCCCACCAGGCTACCTCCTCCTCCATCGCCGCTTCCACCTACACCGCCACGGTGTATACCCAGATATGTCAGAGCTGCTGCAGAAAGTGCGGGCCATCTGTGCGCGCTTTTGGCATTCTCACCCTGCTGCTGCTCACCTGTCTGCGCTGCAGCGTAATTTCGGCCTTCCCGCTCACCGCCTCATGAGACTGTGCGAGACAGGTCAGTTGCTCTGCGGAACAGAGTTTTCTTTTTTTATATGTCCCAATATTTTGGGGGCTACCCCAATTTAAAAAATAAAAAAAGAAAAACAGTGTTTGCTACCTCCTCCTCCACCGCCGCTTCCACCTACACCGGCACGCTCACCGCCTCCTCAACCTATGAGTCACTTGGTATAAACTATGTACACAATAGCAGAGGCTTGTGAAGGCCTTTTCTCCATGCATCAGGAGTTGAGCTCAGTTTGAACAATGAAAGAGAATACCCTGCACTCCAACCCTCTCTCAAATGGATAATTCTGGTGATCGTCCTGACAGCCATGCTTTAGATTTTGATTTATGTTCTTCCAAAGCTAAAATCAAAGATTCCATCTAGTGCTATTTTATGACTCAGCTGTATTTTTACATTTTATGTTATTTTAAGTGAGTTCCCTATCCACATTTGTTTGCAGGGCACTTGTCCTACTCTTACCCCCATTTTACTTCCTTTTGCAGCCCTTTAGCCCTTTCCAGGACTTTTTTAGAGGCATTTTTGTGCCCAAACGTTCGGGTCCCCATTGACTTCAATGGGGCTAGGGGTCAAGTTCGGGGTCAAGTTCGTGCCCGAACCCGGACTTTTTTTCAAAGTTCGTCTGAACCCGCCGGACCCGAAAATCTAGGTGTCCGCTCAACTCTAGTAGGCAGCATTAAACAGAAGGATTCCCTGGGCATCACAGGGATTCTATGCAGGTTGCAACAGTAGTCTGCAATGACCTTTATAGTACAGAATGCTCAATTTAAGGTACAGTAACTTACTGTGTACGTGTATTATACCAATTTATAGCCATTTTGCTTGGGACAAATATGGTATTTTTGCTTCTACTCAATGTTCAGACTCTATATGCCAGATAGGGGATACCTATCTCAAACATTGTATCCCTCAATTTTTCAGAAAAGTATAAAAGTTCTTCACAAGCAGGATTTGCTAAATACTGTCTTTTAGGAACCTGCTGACAGCCAGGAGACAGTTGAATACCCTCATCTAACAGCAGCAACATATATATCAAAAACCCAAGCAATTTTTCTCTAAGCATTCTAATAAATGTGTCCACCTACTGGCTAGAATGCTTCAGAAGAGACGTACCCAACACCACGTACTTAAGGTTCACATGACTCCACATTCAACTGCACAATTCCCTGATAAATTTCTGAAGATTTCTGGCACACTCGGCTAGGAAATCGGGTTAGCCTCTCTTTCACCTTTCTGCCGACATGGGAATTTGTGATGGCCACATTGAGGCATATGCCATTTGTTCCAGACATTTGTAAGTGGGTGGGTGCCCTATTCTATGGACCAACGGGCAGCATTCGGGTTAATGGAGACTTGTCGAGTCTGATGTCTATCATAAATGGGACACAGCAGGGTTGCCCATTGTTCCCTTTGCTTTTTGTTTTATCACTGGAGACGTTCTTGGAGGATGTCCGGCTCAATCAAGGGATACGTGAAGAGGGAAACTGAGAACAAGATAGCCGCATGCCCGAAACTATTTACATTATATCAACCAGATGTCTACCTCCTCAATCTACTATCATTGTTTCGGGAATATGAGATGGTAGCCAATTTGGTGCTGAATCTAGACAAATGCATAATTTTAAATATTACAATTCCAACCTCCCCACTGCAGATAGGCTGGAGAGTGTTTTTTCCATTCCAGTGGTGCTCTGAAGTCAAATATCTGGGAATCTGGATCCACAAAGATCCAGCTAATCTGCATGCTAATAATTTTCTTCCACTCCTCTGTACAATACAATCAGATCCTGGGGCAAGCTATACATTTCCTGGTTTGGCTGCCTTAATGTGGTGGTTAAGATGAACTTCCTTCTGCATATCTATATCTCATGCAGACTGTTCCGATTAAACTGTTGGTAGCGTTATTCTTCTCCTTGGATTTTATATATTAATGAAGAAATATTCACATCACCTACACCCTATAGTGGGGATCATACCACTTCACACATTACTTCTGGAGAAAATACTTAGGCTCCAAAATATGTGAATTTAAACCTATCTAATCCCTGCTTATTAGCTCAACAAACTACACTATATACTTTTATTTTGTCTCTTATATTTTTAATGAGGATACTCACTGCTATAAGGAAAACTTGAAGAATCTATACCACAATATATCGATAGGCGGGAATCATTCGGTCCAGGTGCGCAAGTGGGAGCTGTATTTAAGCTCCGTGAAAGTGTAAGTATACCATTTTTAATTTTCTTTACTCTATCAAGAAGTTTTTAAATTACTACACTGTCAGTCCTTTTTGGTTTTTCCTTTTTTTGGTAATTACATACATTCCCTAAAGGACACCAGACGCTACACCTTCTTTTCTTGTTCCATCCTACACCCTATGGGACAAGAGAGACTCAATTTTTTATGATTGAGCTGCCTTTGAACTATATCTGTATTGTACAAGCACTGAATTTTTTCTTGCAAGTAGAAAATTGTTACACAGGGATCTCACTTGAACTTAACCTGCTTTTCATGAGGCTTGCATATGTGGGGTGTAAGAATTTAGCAGTTGTTATTATTATTTATATAGCGCCATCAAACTCTGTAGCGCTGTACAATGGGTGGACTAACAGACATGTAATTGTAACCAGACAAGTAGACATACAGGAACAGAGGGGTTGAGGGCCCTAGTCAATGAGCTTACATGCTAGAGGGAGTGGGGTAAAGTGACACAAAGAGTAAAAGTAGGGATGTGAAGTAGGTTGTTAGAAAAGAACACACTGAGGGCTTAGTAGGTAAATTTGACAGTTGCAGGAGAGGCGTTATTAGGGACAGGGGATGAAAACCTGCTAACAGTTTATTTGATATGCTTTACTGCAGAAGTGAGTTTTCAATGATTTTTTTGAAGGAGTAGAGACTGGGTAAAAGTCTAACGGAGAAGGGAAGGGAGTTCCACAGAAAAGGTGCAGCCCTGGGGAAGTCTTGAAGGCAAGCATCAGAGGTGGGAGTATGAACAGAGGATAGATGTAGGTCTTCGGCAGAGCGCAGGAGCCTTGATGGGACAAACTTGTGTATTAGGGAGGATGGGTAGATTGGAGCAGCATTATGTCGAGACTTGTAAGCAAGCACCAGAATCTTAAATTAAGCCCTATATCTTACTGGAAGCCAATGTAGGGACTAACAGAGCGGGGAGGCGTGGGAGGTTTGAGCGGACAGAAAAATTTGCCTTGTTGCCGCATTCATTATAGATTGCAACGGTGCAATCTATAATGTAAGACCACTGAGAAGGGAATTCCAGTAGTCAAGACAAGAGAGAACAACAGCATGGACTAGCACCTTAGCCGTGTCCGGCGTTAAATAGGGGCGAATGCATGCTATGTTTATTAGATGGAAGCGGCAGGATTTGGCAATATACTGGACATGAGGGGTAAAGGAGAGGTTGTAGAACTTGCTGCCTGTAGAACACCAAGGCAGCAAGCCTGAGAGGTAGAGATGATAGTAGCGCCGTTGACTTGGATGGAGACAGACATGGGAGTAGCAACACTTGAGGGAGGAAAGACCAGAAGTTCTGTTTTGGACAGGTTGAGTTTAAGGAAGTGAGCAGCCATCCAGTTGGAAATCGCAGAGAGGCAGAGACACGGGTCAAGATGGAGAGGGATCAGGAGAGGACAGGCAGATTTGCGTGTCATCAGCATAGAAATGATAATGGAAGCCAAAGGAGCTGATGAGTTTACCAAGGGAGGCAGTATAGATAGAGAACAGTAGTGGACCAAGGACAAAACCTTGGGGAATGCTGACAGAGAGGGGTTGGGGAGAAGAGACACAGCCAGAGAAAGAAACGCTGAAAGAGCGCTTGGGAGAGGTATGAGGAGCACCAAGAGAGAGCAGTATCCGGTAGACCAAAATTACGGAGAATGAAAAAGAAAAAGCTGTTGATGATCAACAGTATCAAAGGCAGCAGAGAGATCAAGGAGAATCAGGATAGAGTAACCAAATGTCCATCAGTCCCTCACTAACTGGATTGCTTTTGCAGAAGTTCCACTTTGGCATTACCAACATAAATTTCAGCCATATTTAATGGCACTAATTGGATGTGTGAATCCCTTAATAAAAAGAGGTTTCACCAACTTAGGATCCTAATATTCAGGTTTAGGGAGTCTGATCTTATTACATAAATCTCTGCGCAGCAAATGGTTATGCGTTAAGTAACAGTTCCACTTATCACAGAAGATTAATGGAATTGTTTTACAAACTGATATCAGACATATCTCAGTTGCTACCAGTTTATAGAAAGCCTAGTTCACAATTTTGCTAACCAGCTTCTGTGTAGTAGTGGTTACGCAGTGCTGTTGACTGCACATGCTTCCAGTCGCAGCTTGGCTCTCTCCTTCCTGCTTGTGCAAGTACCATGTATGTGCTCCATACACGAGTTGGACACAGTTATTACAGGCAGACTGGAAGTTATAATTCCAGCTGCCTGATGCACAGCTCTAGTGGGCTGTCTTATAACTGAAACAATTTAATGAATATACAATTTTCACATGTACTTTGATATGTTGATGGCACGGTCGTTGGCTATTATAACATTAATTTCTTTGTAGTGTACTGGAAAAAAAAAGTGTCTGTCATTGTATGTCATTAATAAATCGTATAATATAAATTACTGTAAAAACTGAACTTTTTTTCCATTAAAAGCCTGTAAAATGGTACCAAGTTTTTCCAGCGCACATGACTAGCCCACTCTGTTGATTATGAATTTTCAGGATTACATTACATAACAGCAACTCTTCCCCCCCGCCCTACCAGCACATTTATCACACAAAGAAAGGTATTAGCACCAACAGTTTAAAGCAATCACTGTCAAACTGTGGTTATAAGGTCAATCATAATCAAACCCTAGCTCTCAAACAGTCTATTCTTTATTTAGAACAACCAATGTTCCAAATAAAATAAAGCAGCAGGATGTTTTTTATTTTGAAATATGAGAATACATATAATAAAAAACATGCCAAAGTGACACAGAATAAGAAAAATGTAGCAAACAATATCATGAGCACATAAACTGAGCAGCCGGGTAGACATTGCTTGAGATATGCGTAAATAAAAAATGCTTCCCAATTGAGTCAATAATGTGTAAAACACTCAACACAGCTACATAAAATAGTAAATAAAGAACCCAAAACAACCGCATAAAGAGTTAATAAACCCTTTAACACAACTACCAAAAAAAAAAAAAATCTGTTGACAAACTAGGTTAAATTTAGTTAATAAGGCATTGAATACAGCTGGCTAAAACAGGATCTATATAATCTATTTTATACAATTATTAGCAGTTGAAACTCATTAAATATACTGATGGTTTGCAGTAAATGATGTGAAACCTCATTTGGAAGGTTCAAGACATCATAGGAGTCAGCAAGGATATGTTCTTTAAAATGAACAGGTACATGGTAATAACAGGTTTGGATAAGAGGTCTGTAATCAAAGGAGCATGCAGCAGGAGTATGGAATACCATCAATTAAAAAAGGAAAATGTGTATTTTAAGGAACAATACTCAATTCATTGTACTTTAACCCAGTGGCACACAATCATTGCACTTTGAATGCAAGAAACACTAAGTTAAAGGACCACTCTAGGCACCCAGACCACTTCAGCTTAATGAAGTGGTCTGGGTGCCAGGTCCCTCTAGGATTAACCCTTTTTTTTTATAAACATAGCAGTTTCAGAGAAACTGCTATGTTTATACTGAGGGTTAATCCAGCCCTAAAAGCCTCTAGTGGCTGTCTCATTGACAGCCGCTAGAGGCTTGCGTGCTTCTCACTGTGAAAATCACAGTGAGAAGACGCCAGCGTCCATAGGAAAGCATTGTAAATGCTTTCCTATGAGACTGGCTGAATGCGCATGCAGCTCCTGCCGCGCGTGCGCATTCAGCCGAAGAGAAGGATCGGAGGCGGAGAGGAGGAGGAGAGCTCCCCACCCGGCGCTGGAAAAAAGGTAAGTTTAACCCCTTTCCTCGCCATCCAGCCCTGAGGGTGAGGGCACCCTCAGGGGACTATAGTGCCAGGAAAACAAGTATGTTTTCCTGGCACTATAGTGGTCCTTTAAGAAACAAGTAAATAATGGAATTAATCTAAATAAATCTCAGTTTGTGTCAAGTATATCAAATGGTACATATTTTAAAAAGGAGAGATCTTAAAATAAAACAAATCCTACCTGTAAAAGTGTGTGAATTGTATGAGTGACAGGAAAAATCCCTTCTGTTATCGATAGACACTCCGAATATCCAATGTAATAACCAATTTTAAAAGAATCCAAAATAAGAGTAATAACGGCAAAAAGAGTAATACCGCCTAACAAAAAAAATAAATAATAATAATTTGTAAACAGTCAATAAAAATTGGATTATTGTATATTTTTTTATTATAAAAGGAGTTTAAAAATTTGTCACAACTATGTAAAGAATAATTGAGGAAAGTAAAAAGTTAAATATTCAGTCACACTGAAGAGTGGAGTTTATTCAATAAACACGAGTTATTGTGATGATTCAGGAAATGACTTGCAAAATTTAGGCCAATATAGAATATAATAATAAAAAAAAACATAACCTTCAGCTCAAATGGTAAGATTTAGGCTCTAACTGCCAAACTGTGACTTCACATGAATTTTTGCACATGTGATATTTTTGGCATAATCTTGTGATTCAATTTTCAATTGTTAATCTTGAGGTTTATTCGCTAATTGTAGCGAACTGAAAAGCATATTGTAAACTCCATTATAGTCACAGCATGGATATTTGAATGTAAACTTTGTAATTCAGTAATTTAGAGAATTTAGTAAATAAACAACACCGTGTTATTGACATTTTGTTAATCTTTTTCCATTATTCATTTTGTAGTGTACAAGAAATATGGGACAGCATTCACTTAAAATACGGATGTTAGGTAGGATATCAATAAGGCCATATTGTATTGTGTCATAAAAAAACAAATGAGAAAGCTAGAACATAGAATGTCATGTATCAAATAGGCAACAATAATATGTGTGTGAATATATGGAGATATATAATTAGGGTTATGGTGTTCAAGCCAGTATTATGATTCTAATAATTCCATACAATTGGGAGTTCCTACACCTCTCTTCTCTATCCCTCCACTCAGTGGACAGAGTCAGGGGTGGACTGGGCTTGATAAGGGGCAATTGACTCCCAGATGTGACCTGTATGCAGACTGCACCCTGCCTGTAAACACTAGAAACCCTCTGAAGGGGGGCAGGAAGCAGTCTATGTGCACAGTGCATGACTCTCCTGCTCCCCCATTAGGAACATGCGTTACTTCCTGCAGGCTGGAAGATGATCCCCTTCTCCTCCAGTCACAGTACTTAGCTATGGCCCACCTGGAGGATAAGGGGAACTGATTATTTTGTCTGAATTTGTATTTTGTTTGTGTGTATGTAAATAAAGTCACTGTAAAAAGGTGTGAGTGTGTAAGTCCATAATCCCTATATATTACATTTTATTTATAATATAAATTAATATAAATATAATATAATAAAATGCCTCCATTATTATAAATTAAATGCCACCAAATGCATTGAATACATAGTTTATCACAGCAACAAATGATGAGCATTGCTGGTATATTTTGCCCTCTACATAGAAGAAAAGGCAGTGTGGTTCCTGTGCACAGTCTACATTCTGTCGATCTGCCTCTCGTGCTTCCCATGTGTCTCGGGAACCCAGAGGTCGCAAGCCAGATGAACCGCAACCTCTGACTTCACCAAACATGTGCATGACCCAGACAGACAGGATGTCTGTGCACATACACATGGCACATGCACCAGACTGCCTCCCACTAGAAAACAGGGAGGTCCTGAGGATGCCATCTGAGTCCTGAGGTAAGTGAAGCGGATGCCATCTGAGAGATGGGGTAAGTGAAGGGGATGCCATTTGGGTCCTGGGGTAACAGGGGATGCCAGGTATCTGGGTGCAGAGCAAATGCTGGGGATGCTATCTGGGTGCCAGAAACAAGTGCTGGGAATGCAATCAGGATGCCTGAGCATGTTGCTAGAGGGCAGAGATATGGCACAGATTTGCTGGGGGCAGAGATATGACACAGAGAGACTCGGGGCAGAAACATGTCACAGAGTGATTGGTGACAGAGATGGCACTGGCAAGCTGTTTGGGTGCACAGAAGGCAATGGCAAGCTTTTTGGAGGCATATATGGCTCATTGGCATGATATACACATTTTGTGATTTTACTGATCTTTGGCATTATATACAGGGTTTATGTGTTTACTGCTCATTGATATGATATACTTAGTTTATGTATTTACTGCTCAGCGCGGGATATACAAAGATTATCCACTTACTGCTTATTGACATGATATACAAGGTTTATCCACTTACTGCTTATTGACATGATATACAAGGTTTATCCACTTACTGCTTATTGACATGATATACAAGGTTTATCCACTTACTGCTTATTGACATGATATACAAGGTTTATGCATTGAATGCATTAATAGCATTCCCTTGCTGGAAAATCCTTCAGAACCCATTTGACTAAATGCTTGTTCCCTGGCTGGGAACATCTCCCTTATTGATTAGTGATGTCCAAGTGTCAAGTGAGGTGACAATTGCTCTCGGGGCTGCTTCCTAACCACTTTTCACATCTAAATGCCCAAGTACATAGCACTTTCATTTTCTATTCAATTATCTTGTATGTCTATCATCTATTTGTTTGTGCACTTGTGTCTATCCTGATGTTTACGGGTGGGTTGGTAAAATTGGATTGGGCTACTAAACTGTTTTTGCCCCCCAAGCCATAAGTTGCCAGCCATCCCCTGGGCAGAGTTTAAAAAGAAAGTTTAGGGAGGGCTAAGTCATTGGGAGAGATATGTTCTTCATGCTCATGCATGCACCCTCTACTGCTACAGATTGAGAATACCCAGGTAACATGTGACCTGCGTCCCCCACTGGGGGAAGTGCAGGTAAAAATAAGGCTGATGGGTATGCAGTTCTCCAGAAAACTGATGAGTGAATAGACACTTGGAAGACTGTTTACACTGTGCCATTTTAGTGCAAGTGACAGTTAGGAAGACCCTTGTTTCAGGTACAGTTCTACCAGGTAGTATGGCACCTAGAGTCTGACATCCCCTCTCCACTTTAGAAACGTCCACTGCTACATCACCTTCAAGAAAATGCCCTGTTTTGGTTTAGTGTTAGAAAATCCCTATAATATAGCTGTCTCTTAATAAGTAGGATTTTTCCTTTTACATAATTTACTAACATTCTGGAATGTTGGGTCTTTAAGGGGACACTAAAGGCACCTAGGCCAGTTCATCTCAATGAAGTGGTTTGGGTGCAGTAGTCTTTTAGTTTTAACCCTGCAATTTAAAACATTGCAGTTTTTTTTTTTTGGAAACTGCAATGTTTACATTGCAGGGTTAAATCCGCCCCTAGTGGTTGTCAGTCACTAGAGGCACTTCCGTAACATTGATTAAGTAGAACTTGGTCACATGATGTTAAAGCCCCCTATAGGAAAGCATTGAGTTAATGTGCATGCGGCAACATTAGTTCCCCAGACATGCCTTCTCTATAATGTTGCAAAAGGATGAGAGGTAAGCAGCAGCTACATTGCAGGGTTAAATCCGCCCCTAGTGGTTGTCAGTCACTAGAGGCACTTCCGTAACATTGATTAAGTAGAACTTGGTCACATGATGTTAAAGCTCCTATAGGAAAGCATTGAGTCAATGTGCATGCGGCAACATTAGTTCCCCACACATGCCTTCTCTATGATGTTGCAAAAGGATGAGAGGTAAGCAGCAGCTAGGGAACCTCGATGCTGGAAAAAACCTCATGTAAATCATGTATTTTATTTATTTTTATGTAAAAATGGCAGGGCTGTATTTAAATAAGGGCAGGGGTTCTAAAGCATCACGTTTGTATTCCTAAAGCTTTGATGTTCCTTTAAAGACCAGATTGTTAGGATAGCATTGACTGTCATTGGTCTTTAAGGGTTAAACATGTTGCATATTTCACTGTATTACTACAAAGGTACCTGCACTGTCACGCTGTTTACACATAATAATTCATGTTATCTAAGGGGCAATATTGCACTTACATCTTAACCACCTCGCTCCAGCATCTGTATCTTTCTCTATGATTGACCGTCTTTGACTGTAACTTCCAAAAATATACCACAACATCCAGACCAGTTGTATTAGCATCAAAGTGATAAGGTAAGAAAGCAAATCTCTGTCTGTTATCCCAACAGCATGGATAGCCCAAGCAAACATCAACAGCAGTCCGGCCAAGAAGACATTGAACCCATATTGGCTGCTCAGGATCTCCGCATTTTTCTGGGGATAATTATGAATTAAACTGAAATGCAATTTGTTCCCTTTTGGTTTTTCCTGCTGATCTGAAGAAGACAAAATATCTAATTTGTTTTCTTCCGCCATGATTTTTTTTTGTTTTCTAATCTGAAACACAGAAATGTTTTTAAAAATGATAAGTAATTATTTTTTTAGAAGTTACATTTTAAATGGTCAAGAAAAATGTATTAAGGTATTATATGATAACAGTGGTGCTAAGTTCTAAAAGTGGGCGATCGTCATGGAAACCAATGTGATTAGAATTTACATTCTATTGGTGATCGCTCAACAGTTGCAAATATTTTGTGTTTGGGACACCTTTATAAACCTCCTAGAGGGAAATTCAAAATGGAACACAGTGAGATTTACTAAAACATGATCAGAAAAGTGGTGCAATAACTGATGATAATATCATGCCCATTCAATTGGTGATTGCTACAACTTTAGAACTTTGTACCACCTTTAATATCGTGCCACTTGAATAAATCACCCTATATTTTCAAAACCTGAGATATTAAGTATCTGATATAAGAAATAATATATAATATTCTGATATTTTCTTAATAAACAGAAAAAAAAACACCAAATGGTTCTTATCTGGTGTCACAAACTATATTTCTTTAGATCACTTTTATTTACACATTGTTATTTTTTCTTTGTTGGAGTTGTTTTCCAAAAATTATGCAGTCATATAACTATGTATATATTCACTCATGTAATTAGATCTTACACAAAGCATAAGCCATGTTTATACACCTCTTTGGTGCTCAAAGTGCAGTCATCCTACCGTCGTGATAAAATTCTACAAATAATTTAATTGAAAGAAATCTTGAAATTTTGGAAATTATAACATTTGCCAGTGAGATTATGCACTAGGCTACTTTATGTGGCAGCAAACAAATATCCTGTCTAATTGATCTTTTGTAGATTTGTAAGGTTTCATCTCATATATAACAACATAAAGTACTCAAAGTTATTTTTAATGAAATAATAAGGGCACTTGATTATATAAAATAAAATAATGTCTTACCACATCCACAGGAACACCCAGAACAAATTAAGTCCTTCGGCTGCAACAAGCAGTCTACTGTGGCTGAATGTCTCAGATGTGATTTTCTACTGCCTTTTTGTTAAAAGCCTTGGCTTTGATCCTTCTTATAGGGATGGTTTTGTTGTAGACGTCAGAATGCTGGAGCAGAAGGTGGATAGGGTTTCAGTAGCAACACCTAAACATAGTATGGACTGAGTGACAAGGGATTCTTACAGCAGTCTTCCAGGACCTAACAGAAAGAATACAGCACTGTCCTGTTCTGCTCACAGACAGCAATACACAATGTTGTCACTATACTTAGGCATATACACTACTAGTTCAAGTGTAAAATGTACGCAAAGTGTAGGTGTGTGAGCGTACAAATATAATTATTTTGTAGTATCAGTGCTCAAGCATTGTAAAATTGTATCTCAACATTTCATGCAAAAGAACATTTAAATACTAATATTCTTCTCTCTTTTATATATGTTGCATTGCTCTAGTGCCTATGGGTATGCCTATGGGCAAATAATACATAGATATTAAAAAAATGCTCTTCTAAAGAAGGTAATTAGATAAGAAGTCTTTCATAAGTTTGCAAATTGCTTCTGCTGGCTGCGGGCCACTCGTGGTACCTTCAGCTAGTATCGATGCGTGTGGCGGCTTCTGGGACCCGCACTCCACTTGCGGCGACTTGTCTGTGCCACACACCGCTCGCAGCCGGTTTCCATGACCCCGCTCGTGGCTATATTCAGTCCTTATTATGATGCTGCATTTAATTTCGAAATATGTGCATCTTGCAGCCGCTTTGTAGATAACTCCCTAATTCCCACGGTATTAGGGGGTTAACTACCAAAAGAATGAAAGACCTAAATTGGTCATTCAGCCAAATTTACTAATACTAAGTAAAGTGGCTGCTCACTGTTGAAAAAAATCCTAGTACCTCCTCCCGAGCCACGTGAGTGGGGGCTATTAAACTGAAGGGGGACCTAGAGCCCCCCCACAGGCACCCACCCCTGAGCGGCAGGTGAGGGTTCTAGATGAGAATGAGGGGGGGACACCTACTGTCCTCCCCCACAGCCCCCACCCCTGAGCAGCAGGTGGGGGCCCTAAATGAGAATGAGGGGGGGGACCTATTGTCCCCCCCAGCACCCACCCCTGAGCACCAGTTGGGGTCCTAAATGAGAATGGGAGGACCTATTGTCCTCCCCCCAGGCCTCCACCCCTGAGCGGTGGGTGGGGGCCATAAAAATAATGAGGGGGGACCTATTGTCCGCCCTCCGGCCCCCACCTGCCAATAACAATAGGAGGGGACCTATTGTCCTCCCCCCGGCCCCTACCCCTGGGCAGCGGGTGGAGGCCCTAAGTGAAAATGTCCTCCCCCCCAAGGTGACTAGGAGTCCCCAAGCCCCTAGTCCCCCCTCCCACCCAAAACAAAAATAATAAACCCCTACCTACCCCCCTCACCCTAAAAATAGTGAGGGTGGAATAAAAGAAGTAGGTACCCGTAAAAAAATAAATAAAACTTGCCATTTGAGGTCTTCTTTTTTCTAAAATCTTAATTTTTTAACCCCCAAAAATGCTAAATAAAAACCATAATACCAGTAAAACTTGTAAAAAATAAAAAACCAGAGGAAACAAAAAAAAACAAAAAACGGACGAAAAAGAAAAAACCCAACGCTAAAAAATGAATCCATCTTCACCCATGGAGGGCACGGCACAGACACAGGTGACAGGGTGACTGAGGGAGGGAGGGGATGGACCGAGGACCTGACAGTCTGCCTGCCTTATGGCGAGCCTTTTGCCGAGGGCGCTCTAATTACGGGAGTTAGGCGGCTGCCTAAGGCCTCACGGCCACCTAACTTGCCTAATTAGAGAACCACTGGCAAAATGTCGCCCCTGTCAGAGTGCCTCCTGGAGCCATGGCTCCACTGCAGCTTTGGACGGGCCGACCCTGGTGAGAACTATTGGTGGAGAAGGGCCTTTATTTTTGTCATCAACAGTGTGATTCTCTGATATAGTACTATGTTTGTTGGTAGCGAGTTAGATATCCAGGTAGGTTATGATATGTTTCATCCAATCAAAGGACTACCCGGATTGTAGTTGAGCGAGTTAGGCATGCGGAAGGCCTAGAGCCAATGCCTGGGTTTTCGATACATTATTGTAGAATACTATACAGTACCCTACTCCAAAACAGTCAATACTAAGGGCAGTGATAAGGAGGGTTTAGTTAAGGATAAGATAATATCAGCAAATAGAGATTGTTTTTGTTCGCCAGGCATTTGTTCTCCCTAGTGTTAATGCCAGATAGAGTGCTTAGTTTCGTGTAAAAGCAGCTCGTGCACAAGAATAAAAATCAGTGGGGACAAGGTGCATCCTTGATATGTGCTATTTGTTTTCTTGAATAGTGTGGATATGAAGCCTGTGTTAAAAATTTTGGAGGAGGAGTTTGAGTAAAGGCTCATAATTGCTCTTATAAAGGATTGCATATAGGATCAATTTAAACAGTCAAATGCCTTTTCAGCATTGAGGGCAAGAAAGATATTATTTTCTCTTTACGTAATGTCCAACAAATTAAATAGTTTACACGTGTTGTCTGAACCTTTTCTGTTTCGGACAAACGTTGCTTGCTCTATAGAGATTAATGAGGGTATTCGCTAGTTAAGCTGAGTTGCTAACATTTTGGGGTATAGTTTTAAGTAGGCAAGGCATCTTGTCTCTCTATGCACAACCTTGTGGGCCAGCCAGGTACTAAAGATTGCTTTGTGATAGTATGGATTGTTGCAGAAGAATACTGTAATGCTGCATGACAGGCGTGCTCTTACTGGTGCCATGGTCTTGGTGGTCATCTGCAGTGCCTGGGGGTCTACCAGGCATTGATCTATTCTGGAATTTGTTTTTGGGCGTTTAAAAAAAAAAAAAGAAAAGTCCTGTTTAGTGGGATGTGACTCTCTCCATGCATCATGCAGGTCAAACTTGTGTAATAAAGCAGAGCATTTGTGGCTCAGTGCTGTAAGAGAGGCAGGTGGTGGTTTGTTATGTAGGTTTTTCGTGTCGAGGAGGCGATCAGACACAGTTGAAATCTAAACACATGACAAGTCTTCCACAGTGCATAGATCTGATCTTTGCAAAATTCTTTGTCTCCCTTCTTTATTGGTAGGTGATTGGGAAGGATTGGATGAAAAAATTAGTGGGCTCCTTTGGCAAAAATGGGTTTCCTGGAGGCAGGTTATGTTGGTTATCGCTTGTTTCATCTCTTGTAAGGCTAGCCTCCTTTTGTAGGACAAGTTGAGACAGGAATAGAGTGGAGGCCATGGTGGAGGTTGTTTTTGATTATGCTTTTAAGGTCTTGACTGAAGTTTTTCCACAATCGGACCTTGCCCCCTGGATCAGAGTGAGAAGAGGAAGTGAAGAAAAGGTGAAAGAGGAAGAGAAGCAACCAGAGAAATGAGACAGGAGGGCAAGGAAAGCGAGAGGGAGACAGGGACTGCACACAATCCAACAATAACATAACAAAATAAGAAGGTAAGAATTTGCATATAGCACTGTACATGACATTTTACTGTATATTGCAATAAGAGAGTAGGATTGTGTAGTTGTGTAGGTGTAGACAAAAAAAAAAAAATCAGGAAACAATCTAGTCACACTTATACACTCTTGGGTATGGGGGGGAAGTGTCACAGGACTCCCAACTAGGCCAAATGGAGCAGGTTAGTGTTCTCTGACTGTATGGATGATGTTATGCCATGGAAAGAGACTTGCTCACCAATAAATCTTGTGAGTGTGTTGTCTGAATTACATCAGTCTACTTTAGTGCAGTGACTATGATATGTAGGCATGTTGGTGATGTGTAGCAGTGGGAACGGTTATATATTTTGTGTTACCAGGGTAAAAGAGCATTTTAATATTCTTGATAACAATACAATATATCTGCAATGAAACATAACAAGGGTTTGTCCTGCCACTTCTTTTAAACTATAGTCAACAACTTAACAAGCAGCTAAGAAAGGTTTTTTTCTTCATTAGTTATGATTATTTTCTGTGTTTTTTTTTTTTTTTTCCTATTACTGTAAAAAACAAGGCACAGAGGGACTGCAGTGTTTCTACCTGGGAGGGCCAACCCCAAGATAAATTGGAACATGTCACATGAATGTCCCCTTTTGCCTGTTTTCCAGTCTGATGCTACTTTATGTAGGCGTGTCTCTTCTTGCAGTATGTGTTGAGTGTCAAGATGAAGGCCCAACAATTTCTATCAGCCTCGCCATCTGCCAGTGTGCTGAACACTTTCAGGATCCCATTCCTCCACAGGAGCAGTTTGGTGGTGTATCCGCAACAGTATGGCATGCTGTTGGATCGGAGTGTCTTCTTTATTCCTACAAACTCTCTTCACTTTGCCGTGGTCACCGAAGATAGATCTGGGAACACAGAGAGGCTTTAGAATGGGTCTTAGAATGCAGCAAGCTTTCTTATAATATTGCAGCACACCATTATATCTCTGGGCAAATACTTGGGAAGGTTTAGGGGATTAGGAATTCTGCATGCTTGGCCTGTGCACCACTCCTCTACAGGCACAGAGGGGACAAGGCCCTGAATAAATATAGTAAATACTCAGGAAGGCTCTCTTGTATTACCTTGTCTTATATTGTTTCTTCTGAAACAACCTTCAGCAGAGATATTTGCACAATAGACATGTGACTTTAGAAGCCAAAATTTCACTTGTCTGTAAGCACACCCTGGCAATGGACATAATTGGCTTCTCCACTATTGTAGAGCCTATAAAGGGAAGCGTTTGCCTCCCCTCTAACCCTCTCTCCATTATCTTTTGTTTTATTGCTTAAGCGCCTTTCTTCCTTCCCCTCGCCAGTTCAGAGCATACGCATGCACACTGAGCAGGTTAAAAAGTCCAAATAAAGCCTTCTCTATGAGAAGTCTATGACTGGAACTTGTGACTGCTGCCATGATGCCAGACACAGAAAGGAAAGCTGTGCCAGGAGCATTACCTGGTGGTGGATTCAGGTAACATTTAGCGTCACTTCAAAGCATTATCTCAGAGTTTATGGGCTTGGGGCGGCAAAAGAATAATGCCCAATAGGGCATTACTCATTAAAAAAACAAAACTGTCAAAAACTAGTTACAGTAATACTTTAATAATATAATATGTTCATCAGCTGATGTAAGCGTTACAAACATAGTTTCAATTAAAAAGAGAAAAGTTAAATTCATTAGCAACTCACAAGGTTATTCACTTAGTTATAACACGCCCACATTCAAAGCAATTTTGACAAAATGTTCTATAAGCCAGGGTTTAAAGTTTAATCATACCATATGTAAATGGTAATGAACACACATTTTGTGCCTCATTTCATTTCAAATGCTAAAGTTATTCAATGGAAAGCAATACCAAAACACATATTGTACGCAATTGCACTTTTGTTTACACAAAGCAAAGGAAAGAGTTAATGAAAATGGAATTTGAGACTTACACTTTGTTAGTACAGAATCTACAGGGAAAACATTTGGCAATTCACTAAAGAATATCAACAGCACAGCCCCATACTCTTCATCTGATTATTCTACCGTATTTTCCGGCGTATAAGACGGCTTTTTAACCCTTGAAAATCTTTTCAAAAGTCGGGGGTCGTCTTATACACTGGGTATCGTCTTATGGCTGGAAGTTACCACAGCCAGCCATTACGTCGCTGCATATGGTGGGGGAGCTCAAAAAAGGCAGCGGCCGCATCCCCGCCTTATGGAAGCAGCAAGGGCGGCGCTGTAGAAGAAGCCCTAGTATCCTATTACCGTACCTCCTTCTCTGCCTCTAAGGTCTCGCACATGCACCGATTCACTGCAGTCCGTAGGAGCGAGATCTCAGATCTGCAGTGAAGTGGCGCAGGCGCGCATGTGCAAGATCTGAGAGGCAGAGAAGGAGGTAGGGTAATAGGATACAAGGGCGGGCCAGACCAGTGAAAGAGGCATGTTTTCCATAGTCTTGGAGACAGGGAGGGCTGACCAATCCAACCAGCCAATCGCCGGTAAGGTACATCACTTGTCGTGATTGGCTGGTTGTTTTGGTCAGCTCTGTTTTAGTTATACTGGGTACCACATACAGTTCAGCACCAGTATCTGTACCTGTTCATACAGTACAGTACCAGTATATGTACCTGTTCATACAGTACAGTACCAGTACAGTAAATACAGTACATACAGTAAATACAGTACATACAGTGGAGTATACAAATGTCCATCAGTCAAAACCCCATCATGGCTCCACCAGCAAGAAGAAATAAATATGAAGCCAGTTTCAAACTTAAAGTTGTAAACTTTGCCATGGAACATAATAACTGCGCTGCTGCAAGACAATATGGAGTAACAAAAGATGGTTCGGGATTGGAAAGCAAATGAAAAAGCATTAAAGAGGATGCCAAGGGGTAAGTGTGCATTAAGAAGAGGCACCCCACATTGGCCAGAACTCGAAAAACATGTAGCAGACATGGTGAATGAGCATCGCCAAAACGGTTATGTAGTGACACGAAATAAAATATGTTTGTTTGCACTTCAGTGGGCCAAATCTAACCCAGATCACAGTAACAGATTTAAGGCCAGATTCATGGGAAGGCATAATATGGTACTGAGGCAAAAGACGAAAATTGCCCAGAAATTACCTGCAGATCTTGATAGCAAAGTACATAGTTTCCATCGATACGTAATACAGCAGCGCACTAAACATGGCTATGCGTTAAGTAGTATTGGAAATATGGATGAAACTCCAATGAATTTTGATATGGTTGGAAATAAAACTGTCCATCAAAAAGGTGAAAAAAATATTTTAATTAAAACAACAGGACATGAGAAGTCCAGTTTTACAGTGGTACTAGGATGCACAGCTGATGGCTCCAAACTGAGACCAATGATTATTTTTAAAAGAAAAACAATGCTGAAACTCAAGTTCCCTGTTGGTTGTTTTGTACATGTGAATGAAAAAGGCTGGATGGATGAAGAAGTTATAAAGCTATGGCTTGATAATGTATGGAGCAAGCGACCAGGTGGACTTATTCAAAAACATAGTCTATTGGTGTGGGATATGTTTAGGGCTCATTTAACTCCCAGCACCAAGCAAAGGCTTGCAAGACTAAACACAGATGCGGCAGTTATTCCTGCAGGATTGACATCGTTGGTACAGCCACTGGATGTGTGCCTAAACAAGCCATTTAAAAATCGCATTCGAGAACAGTGGAATGAATGGATGGTTAGCGGCGAAAAGTCATTCACAAAAGGAGGAAACATGCGTGCTCCACAGTTGGATGTTTTGTGCAAGTTTGTCATAAAAGCCTGGAATGATATTGATGCAGAAACAGTAATCAAGTCTTTCAAGAAGTGTGGCATATCAAATTCATTAGATGGTATGGAGGACGACTACTTGTGGCAAGATGAAGAGGAAGCCGAAGCTGAGACCACACCATCTGATACAGAATTCGATCCATACGATGACTGCCTTACAAATGTATCACAAGATGTCATTGATGTACTTATGATATCAGATGACGAACAGGAGGATTTTGAAGGCTTTTAAAGGGAAACGGTCACGCCAGCAAAACCTGTAAAAATACAGTGGTTTGCAGTTATGATGGGCGTTGCTAACTCGCCAGGGACTTGCTCTCTCTCTATTGTTTGCTATCTTCCTCCTATCATCATCAGTTCCAGTTTGGTTGACAGCTTAGAAAACAAACAGCATGGCAGCTCCCATGGGTTTATTGTCTTATCCTTCCTTTTAGCTTTAGAGTGAATTAGGAAATGTTTAATCCACTTGCACTGTTTTATGTTTACATGTTTGATGACAACAGCCTTATGTTTATAAGTGACAGTTTTCCTGCCAAGTGCCTGCATGTCATAAGCATTTGAATTAAAATTACCATATTGAAATCAAATCTGATGTTTTTTTAATTTTTATTTGGTGTGCGTTGGAAGAGGGGTAGTCTTATACGGTGAGTAATTTCCAAACTCTATATTTTAACTGGAAAAGTTGGGGGTCGTCTTATACGCCCACTCGTCTTATACGCCAGAAAATACGGTCATTGTTTCCAACTATTCTGTCTTCAAAATATAATTATTTCAAAATACACTGTCTTCTCTGAACTGGCTATGTTGCAAGTTTCTTCAATTATATCTTTTTAGACGGCCTGATAATTGTATATTCTTAGACAGCCAATAATGATAGCATTATACAAACATATTTGGGTCAAATACAAACCATTGTCTGGAATCTACTTATTAATACGACTATACATAGGACACAAGGTCACCCATTTACACTGGAAGAAATGGGATTGAATCTAAGGCAAAGGAAAGTGTTTTTTACAGTAAGACCAATAAATAAGCGGAATTCTCTGCCTGGTTCTCATCCATTTCATAGCTACATAGTCTGATGTATCCTTTGGCTATATGACTAACAATTACTCACACATTTAATAAATAATATAATGTATGAATATGTATGGTGAAATATTTAAATAAAAATATAGAAACCATACACCAAAGCAGAAATACAAAGAAGATTTGCTATCCACTGGAGATCTTACAAACCCAATAACACGAATGTAAAAAATTATGGGTATAGTGGAACCTCCATGTGCGGGACACAGGGAGCAAGGCCTCCTGGTGCGGGAACAAATAAAATAAACTTGCAACAGAAAAAAGGGGAAGGCTAGACTAAACAGGGGAACATAGGTGCAAGTAGGGCCAGCAGGGGACATAGAGCTTATCAGTCTTGGTGCAGCAGCCTGCAACAGCACCATAGCCAGGTAGTGGCACTGTGTGGTACTGCACTAGACTGAAGAGATCAGAAAACTAGAGTAGTATACATAGCACCCTAAGAACTGCAAAGCTAATTGACACATGCAAACATAAATAGTGTGTCAATGAAACAGTTACAAGCAAATGGAAATGTGTTTTTAATCTGATATTCTTTTCCCATTAAAGACTTAGAGTCAACTTTCAAATGATGTAATCACAATTCCCTGCAGATAATTTTTCTTTTGCTTACAAAAGACCACTGTTTCCCAACAGTAACCAAACAGAAATCAGGAAAAACACATGAACATCAAAAGTGCAGATCATTTGGCAAATGGCAATATTAAAACAGAGAATTTATTGCACTCACATAGTTAATAACAATGACAACATTTCAGCAAATCTATGTATCTTGTAGCCCTTTTTTAGCATTTGGTTGAACTGCAGCTCGTATCCATCCCATGTTTCATTGATACAATCAAGTACTTCTCGCACTAGTTTGCATTGATCCACTGTAAATCTCATTCAGAATTACAAGACAAATCACAAGGCATGCCCCTTATCACTTTCTTTCATTGGTCCTAGATCAGCCCTAGTTGCAATCTCCAATCATAGGTCTTCTTGAAAGTCTCTGGGTGTGCCTGACCTTTCTTTGCAACCTTCTTTTACTATTTTGATAGTTGTACTGTTATAGTCCCTTTTAAGTTGACAGTGAGGATACAAATAGCCATACATGAAAACAGACAAGCTGTTTATCAATCTAATATTTAATGCTGACAATTAAAGACTTATACTTTTATATTTTAGTGAATGATTCACATTTTGGCAGGTACAGATTATTATATCATTATTATGTATATTTATATAATCATGCAGTGGTAAATCCCAACATATGCGTCTAGATTTTTTTTAATGATATTGTAAAGTATGTTGACTTCTATATATTTACTTGATACATTCACTGCCCTTACGTATTTTAAACTTTCCATTAACCTCTAAAAATGTCAGCGATTTGCTATTGACTCATTATTGTGTCCAGTGATCTTGTAATTATCATAATTGTTAAATATAGCTGCCTATAACCATACATAATGCCAAATGGTCCCCATCTCTAATGACAGGACATAACTTTATGTTTGTTTTTTGACAGTGACATCAATTAACAATCCGTCATGTGTACTTAGCATACTTTTAACCGACATTATCTACTTCTCCATATATATTATGCCGGAAACGGAGACTGCATCTATTATCTGCCGAACATTGTGAATAGAGTTTAATGAGTCTTTAATCTTTGAAATCACTTGATGCACACACCATAAAATTTACTTTTACAGATATTCACTGAGGCTGAACGTACCTGCTTTGTATATAAGATTTTCTGCAATATTTATTACAAAACTCTGCATGACTTATTTCAATTTAATACCTTATTCCCATAAGAAAAAAAATTATATTTATCTACCCTTGACAATTCTTTTTCCATTCCAATTTGAGTGTACTTGTGTCATTGTAATATTTTACTCATACAAGATTTTTTTTATTTTCCTTACATATTTAAAAAGTTTTTTTTCTATGTTTTTTTTTCCTTGTTTAAACATATAATTACATTTGCTAACACGGAATTCAGAGCTAGCATTCAAATGGGAAAAGCAGCAATTTCACGTAATGATTTCTGTTCAGACAGATTCAAAATTTTTATTGTGTAAATTGGGCAGACTAGATGGGCCGAATGGTTCTTATCTGCCGTCACATTCTAAGTTTCTATGTAAAATGCATAATTTAAGTTTTCAGTTGTACATCATTTACTGAAATAGGAGAAAAAAAAACATTTTACGGTCAATTCTTTTTTCCTTAATATGGTGGCAATACACAAATGGAATGTACTTTCTCAATGGAAAAGTAGTCTGCAAAATAAATATATAAATAAAACAAAAGTCTCTCCTACTTACTATATAAAAACCTCTCTAGGCAATACCACATCAGTTCATAACAAGAGTATGAGAGTCAAACTCAATGTCAAATGTAAATTATCAAAATATTGGTAGGGAAAACTATACTTACACCATATTAAGGAAAAAAGAATTTACGGTAAATAGTTTTTTTCAGTATTTTCTGTCATATGGTGGCAGTATACAAATTGGATATTTGGTACCTATAATACCACAGCCTGAAACACCTTGCGCCCGAAAGCAGCCTCTGAGGATGAGAAAATGTCTAGTCTGTAGTGCTTAATCGAGGTGTTCAAAGTTGACCAGGTAGCTACCCTGCAAATATCTTCTGGTGAAGCATTAGATCTTTCTGCCCAAGAGATAGCCATTGCCCATGTAGAGTGAGCTTTAAGTGAAACTTGCAACGGGAGATTCACTGGCACCATATGACCATTTTATAGTTTCAGTAATCGATTTGTCTTCTTTTCCACAAAAGTTCCCTTGGAAATTGATAAAGAGATGACCCGAATTCCTCAAAGCTGAAGATCAAATCAGGTAGATCTATAAGACTCTCCAACTATCCAACATATGCAATTTCCTTGGCTGAAGAGGCAGAAACTGCAAAAAGAAGGCAGGACAATAGGTTGGTTAACTGCTTTTGGAAAGAACCTTAGGTAAAAATGAAGGCGTTAAGTGTAGGATTACTTTATCCAGATGAAAAATAGTGAAATCTTCCGAAGAAGAAAGTGCCTGTATTTCACCAAATCTCTTTGGTATTGCCTAGAGGGGTTTTTATACAGTAAATAGGATGCACTTTTGTTTTATTTATGAATTTATCTTGCAGACTACTTGTCCCATTGAGAAAGTAAATCCCATTTGTGTACTGCCATTATATGACAGGAAAAAGATTGTAGAGGTTATATGGCATCCCTTTCGGTGAACTTTTATAAAAGTACTGATTTCTATTGAAATCAGTACTTTTATAAATGGTCACGAATATATGGCAGACTCCAAACACAAAGCAATTCAGCAAGCTGAAGTTCTTTATGTACCTGGAGTCTTCCTTTAAATGTCAAAACCTGAGTATCTTTGCTGCCCATGCTGCTTTATAGCAATAGTCTACTTATCTTCTAATGGCTACCTCCAACAGGATAATGGGTTATGTCACAAAGTGCCTGCCCTCTCAAGCTGGTTCCACATATTTGGCAATGGGTTTAGTATACTCAAATGGCCTCCACTGTGCCAGATCCTAATCCAAAAGAACAATATCCACTGGTGGAACAGGGGATATTCACAACATGAAGCCAACAAATCTGCAGGAACTGTATGATGTCATCATGGACCACAACTTCAAAAATAAATGTTTCAGCAAATTATGAAATGGCTATTGTAAGTATATATTCATTACCAATACATTAAAGAAATCTACAAAGGACAGCCAATAATTCATAACTTTCAAAAGAAAAAGAAACTAGAGAATAAATCCAATTTATTCTTTATAAGGTAATGTTTTCTGGTTTCTTCTGAGGATTGCCAAAATCTAAATACAAACCAATATAGGTTTTCTAACTATGAGCAAATGTATCAACAGCATACATAGCAAAACAAGAACAACCAAGTATGCTAAAGTAAGCCTTTGACTACAACATTTAACTTATCTGCCAATTCAGTATTTAGGGCAATGTATTCCAATATATCTTAGTCTATGTACCCGGGTTTCCAAATGTGAAAGGCTTTGATGATGCCTCGTGATGCTTTCTTCTCTCCAATTGGCTCCAATTTCAATACAAATTTGTGACTCAATGTTAACAATTACCTTAGATCCAGTCTCAAAAGCGAGAGAAGAAAATAAATAAATAAAAAATACCATAAACACAGACTAGAGCAAGCCACCAAGTAAGAGAAAAAGAAATACTGTCTCCCAGGAAGGAGGCAGAGTCATCCTCAAAGAAAAAAAAACTATCCATCTAGGTACAGGGACAATAACTATGGATTCCAATGAAAAGAAAGCATTATAAGAGTTTACATCAATGTAGAAGTAACAAGCCATTGGGGCACGGCACTTATACTACCGATGGTAAAATATAAGTGGTGCCAAGGAACTACCACACTCGCATTCATACAGTATGTTATTACCTATGTCATGATTAAATTGAAATAAAAAATGGAGAGTTGTACCCAAAACAAGAGAAAAATTTAATTTAAAAATAATCACTTAACAGCATGGATGAGTAGAATGGAGTTACTCTCTATGGTTATCAAGATGGTGGGTGCGGATAGTATTCTAGTGTTTGATTTGCTTAGTGGTGATTGGCACAGGATGGTGTTGGAACTCACACCCCTTTGGCCTCATCAGATAAAGTCCTATTGAAGAAAATAGTACAAAAGTGATCGGCTTCAGGAATAATTTGTGCTAAAGTGGAAGGTAAAACATTTGCATAGATTTTCTGCCTATTACAATTAACACTAGGACTGTCTGATTGCACAAACCTCAGAACAGTCTCTTTGGTGATGTAAAAATTAATGCATGGAATTAAGTATCTTGGTGTACCTCTAGAGGCAAGTTTTGGTCTTTAGAGTGCTATGTGCCCCATCTATAACACAACTTCTGGGAGAAAAGCTCTAAGAACATATAAGCTATGAAGCATGTATTTTTTTGCTTTGTTGCACACTCACTGTGGATTATGAAGAAATCCATAAAAAGAGAATCTGAATTATTTTAATGCTACCATCTTCAGAGTGCACCTATCAAACTATTCTAGCAGATAGAAACATAGAATGTGACGGCAGATAAGAACCATTCGGCCCATCTAGTCTGGCTAATTTTCTAAATACTTTCATTAGTCCCTGGCCTTATCTTATAGTTAGGATAGCATTATGCATATCCGACGCATGCTTAAACTCCTTTTCTGTGTTAACATCTACCACTTCAGCTGGAAGGCATTCCATGCATCCACTACCCTCTCAGTAAAGTAATACTTCCTGATATTTTTAAACCTTTGCCCTAATTTAAGACTATGTCCTCTTGTTGTGGTAGTTTTTCTTCTTTTAAAAAGGAGAGAGTCTGGAAAATAACTGAGTAAAGCTACCAGGGCTGCTATGGTCTCCAGTACTCCCAAACGTTATCTTGGTTCTTAACCATCAGCTGTAGCTGTCCTGTAGGCCTCACCTTGTCCTACTTCTGTTTGAGTGTGTCTGATCTCTTACAAAGGATACAATCAGCCAGTCCCTTCTTGATGTCGGGTTGAAGATCTTGTGCTCGGCGGATAGTACCTTTTATTATGGTGATATCCAACTGGAAAGACATCCCAGAGAGAATTTTTAAAAATTTGAAATGGATTTTGAAGATAAACTGAAATGAAGTATAAATCAGTCTATATAAACCACTTATCTTTGCTTACCATTTAATAATTTACAGATTTCCTTTAACAGGTTACGTGCATGTGTCAGGAACCCGCCCTTTAGATTAACAGAAATAAGAAGAAATCAAAAACACTATTGCAGAGTCATAACTAGAGTTAATGTATCTTAATCTTTTTAATTGTCAACTCTTCACGCTCACATTCTTTACCTATACTATTTCTAAAAGCCATGTATCTAAAACATAATGTTACTAGACAACACAAACATCAATATGAATCAATACCTTGGATTGCACACTTTAAACTGAACCATTGTTACCATCTGTACATGGGCCCCTGTTCGAGAATCTTTTTTTGTTGATTTGCAGAGTCAGGATACCTAGACATGCTGGCAATTATCAAGACAATGAGGTAAGAGCCACTCTTCATTTAAACCTTTGGATTAAATAACAATTACTAAGTACAATATATTGAGATACTAGCCGAATATAATATCCTTACAGGATTAGCATGACCTCATTAAAGTTAAGAATTTATGGCAAGTATCCTACTTGCCATAATGAGAAATTCTTATTTGTCATTAAAAGCAGCTTAATAAAAAAATCCAGTGTATTATCCTGATTTTGAATGTCAAAGCAATGAGATTGTCAGGATGGGGTAACCCCTACACACAGAGAACAGGGAAACAGTAGTTACAATAAGGAGATAGAAAGAGCAAGATACGTATACCGGACCTTAGAGTGGCCGGGCTTAATGTGTGCCCTAGATAGGTCGAATCAGTATATAAGTCAAGGTTAAGGATTCCAGAGGTACTCATAAAACAATTGAACAGGCCGGTGTCAAGGACAGAAAATAACAGAATGGTCACTACAAAGCCGGGTGTATAAAAAATAAATTTAAAAAATCAGCCTGCACCAAATAACATAAAGGGATGTGACCTGAGAAGGGTAGATGACCTTTATAACTTTTGTTATAAATGGACTTGGAATTACAGGGGCCTGTAACTTTAGCGATTCCTGTAGGCTGCGCTAGGTTGCCATGTTACCCGGCAACCATGCGAGATCGTTGACGTGCAGAACGTAGAGCGGGTGAATGACGCGCATCTGACATTGAGTATGCCACGCGACTCACACTGAAGCCTATAGTGCTGTGCAGCAGGCAGAGGTATGACATAGATAAAGTAAAACTTCAGTAAGATAAGACATATTTGTATTAAAAAAAAAACCCACCATCTATTTATATTCTATATATTTTTTTTTCTAAAATGTTTAAAAATAGTTAAATCAAATCACAGGAAAACTAATGTCTGCAAATTAAAAATATGTTTAAAAATAGTTAAATCAAATCACAGGAAAACTAATGCAATTAAAAAAGAAAAACTTAACTACATACTTCTACATGGTTGATATAAATGCAACAATAACAATTAGTTAGGCAACTAACATGCACTTATGCCCTTTTCATTAAACTTACATTTTCAGTGATGTAGTTTAAGATTATGATTTGTACAAATAAAGTTTAAAGTTTGGTTACCATCTGAACTTTAAAAAACAGATTGAGATATTTGCAGATACACATTTTAAACTTGAGTGAAACAGAATTGTCACAACAAAACAAGCCCAGTGGAGCGCTATTAGAAATGACTTACCCTTATCATAAGGGGTACAAATATAAGATGTAATAAATATCTGGAGAAAGAGATAAATGGAAACAATTTGGTGCAGTATATCCAAAACTTTGTAGGTGGTTAAAAAGATCAAATGTAATTTTAACTGACCATTATTAGATGGTATTTTTATTTCTACATTTTATATATGTTTATAATTTGTTTTTATTTTGAACTGAGTCTTATGAGCTGCAGCATCATTTTCCTGCTTTACAAAAAGAGTTGTGCCCTCTTAAAGGCACATTGCTGATTACACTGAGAGACCAGTTATCTCTGGCTCTCAATAAGGTGAGCAAGTACTTGCACCAATCAATATTGTGATATTTATTTTAAAGTATAATACACTAGGACTTTGTTCCTATTTTATCTCTGCTTTCTGAGTACCTGGATGTTATTATAGAAGAAGTTTGGTATTCTCTTTAAATACCCTCGCCCTTGTGACTTGAGCCTATCCTCCTAAGGCTCTAAGCCATGTGAGTTTGCTACATTTGATCTTTTTAACCACCTATAAAGTTTTGGATATACTGCACCAAATTGTTTCCATTTATCTCTTTCTCCAGATATTTATTACATCTTATATTTGTACCCCTTATTATACGGTTAAGTTATTTCTAATAGCGCTCCACTGGGTGGGTTTGTTGTGACAATTCTGTTTCACTGAAATTACTCCACACTCTTGCATGTACTTGTGTTAAGGTTAGAGGTACCTACACGTGTGTTGAGCTGCTCATTCTAATTGGGTTCTGTACTCTAATATAATATTTTTAAGCACCTTATATTTCACAGTCTATTTGTATTTACACATTTTAAACTCTCCACTGCATAGTCAGGCTGGGTGATACATACGGACAATATTAGTATACATGGAGTCAGCAGTGAATGTCACCCAGTGAAATCTTTTCACTGCTCCATACTAACACACAGCTTTAGCTTGCTATGGGAATATGTGCATAGAAACTATCTACAACACTCTATCCTTTTCATATAAAAATGAGTCAGTCAATGCAGGTTAATGTATCGGGCAACCTGCTTGAGCCACTAATGAGGCTCTAAATGTGCTCCATACAAGGTTTAAGGAGTATGAGAAGAGGGGAAAGGAAGTGCATATTATAAAGCATAAATAGCCAAGCACAAAATAAATCAGAGTTTGTGAATATTTCCAATTCAGCTATTTTGGCCCAAAATGTCAATTTTCCGATATTCCAAGTTTAGTTATTAACCTTATTCGGGGCTCAATATTTACACTGTCAACTAGTCATTGGCAAGTGAAAATGTAGCCCTGGCTAGTGTACTGCTATGGCTTGCAGTGACTAATTATTTTTAAGATCTGGCTAGAAGCATAGGACTGCAAATTTTAAGCCCTGATCCCATTAGTCCCCTAATTTATTGCACTCATGTATAATAAGCAGTATTAAATAAATGCATATTTAAGCCTGTAACATGTTTTAAGTACAATTTCACTTTTCTAGATTATTTTGGTTACTGTTTGAAAATAATGAATTTGATTAGGATCTGGGCTGGCAACTATACACAGTCAGTAAAATCATATACATATTAAAAAAAATAGCAGATATACTTTCAAAAGTTTTATAAGAAAATCAAACCACATTTTATTAACAATGTAGGGAGAAAAAAACCCTGTACAATCAGTTTGAATCATCTATTTTACTTTTCAGGCATCTTGTGTTCATTTCTGTATCATTCATTCTGAAGAGCACTTGCGAAGCTTAGAACTTGTCAATGATGTGACAGACGCATTCCAGATCAACAGTTCTCATAGAAGTAATGCATGTTACACTGACATTAACAGTGACGTTTTGTTAGAACATACTAATTTCAACAATACATCAAAATAGAATCTCAACAACAAATGGGTGCATAGTAGTAGAGATAACTATCAATTTACTTTTTAACCATTTGGATACATAAATATATGTTTCTCCTGCGGCATGTTCCAAGGATGATACCAGGTTCATCTACAGCTCTGAGAATAATCACCTGTGTTAAGTACACAAGATATATGCACCTCAAAAAAACTAAATGATGTAGATTTTTATTGCGTTAGGTAATTCACAAAATTCTAGTCCTTTTCATGCCATGCCAAATATGTATCTGTGATAGAAAGCTTAACAAAAAGCAGACTGCATCTCCACTCCACTTCAAGTCTTCATCAGTACATAAGTAACTACAGAGGGAAAAAAAAGACAATAAAAATACTAAGTAACTCATACAGGTTTTAAACCACATCTCCCAATTAGTAAAAAAAAAAAATAGTATTTTTAGTCTGATTATTTGACAAAAAGGAATATTCTGCACAAAATTAACACGATAAGAGTAAACATTAAAACAGTTTCAAGAGTTAGGCCTATTTTTTTTAGAACCCAATTCCAATGACCCCAAAAAAGCCATGAATCATCTTTCCCATGATCCTGTGAGTGCTGTAGCCCATCTGTGTGGCTCAATGTCAGGTGATTTAGCCACTTCACAGGCTAGAGTACATAGGAAAAGTCCAGTATGTGTTCTCTGCTCATAGGTCTTTCGAAAGCTCTATGGTTACAATTTGTTGTTACAGCTCATTTTTAGGATGCAAGGGTACATAAAATGATTCAGCAAATTGACAAGTCCCTAAGCAACATGGATGAAGCTGATCCATTGAAAGGCGCATCACATCAGTATGTTCACCTTGTTCGTAAGGCTTGGGTAAGTAAGGAAAAGTTGCATTCTACCTTGTAAACAGAGCCTAAGCACACAAGGGATTATATGAAGGAGATTAATTGGCTACCTGTAACTCTCTTGGCTTGTCAGATCTTCTGGCACTAAATTATTCTGCATCATATGTACACTTGTCAAATCAAAGACAATTAACTTCAAACATAGCATCTGGGCTTAGATAAACCAGTGCCACCAAAATCTACCTGTAAATGGGGGTCTATCGCAGATATTCTGTTGGTGGGAACATCCAATACACAGTATCTATAGCCAACTACATATTCTAGTGATTAAAATCACACAGACATGCATTTTGTACGTAAACTCCCACTACTCTTATACAGCAATAATTCTTATACCATTCATCACCCCAAATGCATGAAGCAAAAATACACCACAGACACAAAGTTTTGGTTTTTATAACCTGATATTTAGAGAAGGGCAGGAAATTGTTAAAAAATATTTTTACATTCTTACCTTCATGGGTTCAACCAAGTAGAGAAACCAGCATCACAACTCCCATAAATTGAGTAAAAAGTAACAACGGAGTAAAAAATGACCATGTTGACCATAGGGAAACATTGTAGCTTTGAAAACAAAATATAGACATAAAGCTATGTAAATATATAATGACATACACATTTATATCGCATATACCTCCCACGTATGATTAATAACATTTCTTTATACAAAGTAAATATGCTCCAAACCAAGGGTGAAATACAGGACTTAAAGGTCAATGCACGTCTTAAAGGGTAACTCCAACATTCATGACCACTTATGCTTTTAGAAGTGGTCATAAACAAAGGAATCTGTATATGCAGAATCTCAGCTTGAAATGAGATATTAGAGCTTTTTGCTATGGGGTACTTGCACCCTCAGCACATATGACTTAGGCAAACTTCTGTTTTAGGATACTTAATGTTCATTTTGTGGAAAATATATGTCTCTTGCCAGCACGCACATCGCAGCAACAGACGCTGTCAGCTTCTCCCCTTAGTGACAGTCTAGATGCTGCAATCTTACAATATAGAGTGGATCCCAGTCTAGTCCTCATGCGCTCCTAGCAATAGTTTGGTAAACTCTATGATAAAATGAAGAAAAACATGCAGAATGGGCTGTAGAGAAAGACCTAATTAACAATGACTATTCGTCAGATATTTAATGGAGGCTTAACGTGAATGAGAACAGACTGAAAATTGTGCATGGTACAAACAAACATATTAACATGTGTGCACTCACCAGATCGCTGTGGCTATAAAAGTAGTTATTGCGATGGGAACTAACGCAGGATACCTTGTATCATAATCACTGAACCCACAATGCCATTCCAGATAAATGATGCAATACAATGCAATGGATAAACTGGCAGCTAGCGTAAAAGTCCCAGTGTAAAACCACCAACTGCAAAAATTGGAACATCATTTGTAACATATAAATGTTAAATAGGAATTAGTAAATTAATCAAGTTTGGAAATGTAAAAAAATAAGTAATGTAGAGAACTGGAGAAAGTACAAGATAGTAAGAGATCAGCAAATCCAAAGATTAATAAAAGGAATTTGGAGATTAGTGCTTCCAGTGGCATAGATCTATCTCTCTTCCCATCAACCTTTTGAACTCTCTACTGTTACAGGCATTTGCATGCTCTATTACAACGAGACAGACATTATATTCCAACCTATCAGTAAATAGGCATGTTATTCAGAGCAAGCGATTTCTGTTCCACCAATGGTACAAGTTTTCCTGCTCTCCCAACAGAATGGAGAATTTCTGGAGCGCTGAACCCTTATTAAAGGGACACTCCAGGCATCCAGACCACTTCTGCCTATTGGAGTGGCTAGTGGCTGTCTAGTAGACAGCCACTAGAGGGTACTTCCAGTTTATAGCACACATTTAGCGTCGCTGGACGTCCGCACACTATGTGAAGACCTCCAGCGTCGCTGAAATCCCCATAGGAATGCATTGAAAGCATTTTCAATGCTTTCCTATAGGGAGGTCTAATGCGCGTGCGCTTTGCCACGCATGCGCATTAAGTCTCCCCCGCCGAGCTTGGGCAGACCCGGAACCAGCGCCGAGGGACATTGGCGCTGAATATAGGTAAGTCACTGAAGGGGTTTTAACCCATTCATCAACCTGGGATGGGGGGGAGGGAGGGAGAGAGGACCTGCAGTGCCAGGAAAAAAAGTGCCAGAAAAAAGTTTGTTTTCCTGCAGTGCCAGAAAAAAGTTTGTTTTCCTGGCACTGGAGAGTCCCTTTAAACCAGTGGGCAATTAAAGGAACTCTAAAGTGATAGGCATACATACATGTATTCATTCACTAAAGCTGTGAAAACATAATTTAGCTCCTCGCCCCGGTCAGTAAAGTAATTTATGTAACGCACTTCTATGATGAACGATCAGTGCCTCCATGCAGAGGGTCGAGATGCTGAACATGCACTCACCCAGGAAGGACCTCTAGTGGCTATTTGAATGACTGCCACGAGAAAAGTTACTAGGCAGCAATATAAACACTGCCTTTCTCTGAAAAGGCAGTGTTAACATTAAAAAGCTTGAAGGGACAGGCAGTAGACACAAGAGCAACTTCATTGTTTCCCTTAAATAGCTGTAAATCTTACTTTTACGACGCACCATGTATGTCCGCCGGCGCTGGTTCCGCCTCAATTTGCCTCCTTGGCTGACATCATCAGAATTGACAATCTTAGCCAATCCAATGCTTTCTCGTGGGAAAGCATTGGATTGGCTGAGTTTGTCAATTCTTAAGATCTCAGTCAGAGTGGCGAGGTGGGGAGACAGGGCCAAACACCGCACTGGGCAATCGGCATCTCCTCATAGATATGAATTGAATCAATGCATCTCTAGAAGGAATGTTCAGTGTCTCCATGTAGAGCCTGAAGACGCTGAACGTCAGTGCTGCACAAGCCAGGAAGCACCTATGGAGGTGTCCCCAGGGAGCAATTTAAACACTGCCTTTTTTCTGAAAAAGACAGTGTGATCATTAAAAAGTCTGCAGCGACTTATTATAGACACCAGAACAACTACATTAAACTATAGTTGTTATGGTGACTATAGAGTTCCTTTAAACCAACTACGAAGTTTGGAGTATAATTTACACAAGCATTACTGAGACTATGAAGTTTTTGGAGAAGACATTTATTTTTCTGTTACAATCTGCATTATATGGATGACAGGTGAAATAATTATAGAGGCATATTGCACGGTTACAATAAACATTGTATAAATGATAAATAATATTGCTCAGTTGCAATCTGCCTTATACAGATAATAGCTGCCATTAATCCAAGATCTTACCAGCCTTCTTGTAAAGTATCTTGAACAACTTGAACAAAATCAACATAGTACGTGAGTGAGGCAGCTGCCAATATCCAGAACACAGAATGAAAATTTAGTCTGGGGAGTGGCTTCTCCTTTTTCTTTTCATCATCATAAATATCTACAAAAAAAAAAAAGTATAAATGATATTAAAACTTGTACTACAAGTATGCTATATATATTTTTTTTATATGTGTAACAATGCAGATCACATAATGACAGAAGACCCAGAATTGTGTTAATTTAAAAGATGGTTTTGCCATATTTCAGATTTTGGATATCTAGCTAAAAAGGAGATCAATTCAAATGGGATTGCCATTTTGTGCTCAGTGGGTCAAAATCCATCGGTGCATTGTTTTACGGCTTGGGCCAGTTAGGGTGTTAAATATTTCCACCTAATTATCTCACAGTAAAAGAAAATCTTCCTCTGTATGATGCAGTGCAGAGTTAGTACTCTGGCTCAGCGTAGTGTAGGATTTGTAAACCTGGTCCCTATCGCTTACTAGTGGGCGATTCAGGCTTTCATGGTTCGCTGTGGCGGGTTTTGCAGCACAGGCCTTGCTGTGAGCCCTCTTGGGTCAGTGAGGAGATCAAAGATCTCTCGTTCAAGTTGAGCGAAGGAAGGACCCGAGAGCCAGTGTGTTCCTCCTGCGACCAGGCTGGTTGCTGCACATTACAATGGCAATGCTCAAATGCAGTGCTTTATCGCATGAGGATAGGAGAGTCAAACTGAAGCTTGCAGCATTAGGTCTACCTTCCCTGGCAAAAGGTAAGATGATGGGAGGGGGGAGACATTAAGATACATTTTGTCACATCACACACACACACACACACACACAAAAATAGAAAAAAAGGTGGGGAATAAAAATAAAGGGGAAAAAATGGGAGGAGACCTTTGTTTGTTCCTTACGAAAATCGAACCAGATATATTTAGTCTTGCAGCATCAGTTAAGGATCTCATTAATCATCAGTTAAAGGTAATTTCAATTTACTTTTTTTGTTTTCACATTTAACTTTAAAAAATTTAAAAACATAAACATGCATAAAGTAGAAATAAAAATATACATTTAAGTACAATTTAATTTTTTTTTTTTTAATCGTGTTACTGTGGCACTGGTTGGCGGTAAGGAGATTTTACCATTAACAAAGATATAAAAGTGGGCTAAATCAATGAGACTGCTGAAGAGCAATGTGAGTGGGGATCAGTGAGAGTGGGTATCAGTGAGAGTGCTAAAGAGCAATGTGAATGTGAATAAAGAAATCTCTGAGAGCTTGTAATTTAAAGTGAGCTTACCTTACTGCTAAATGTTTTTTTTCATTTGCCGTTATTGAGATCGCTTTTTGAAAGTGTGCTTATGTTATTTTAAGCAGAGCTGTTTCTATGAGAAACACAAAAAATTGTTCTTCAAAGTTTATAATGAAACACACTATAAACAGTGTGTAAAAATTAGTTAAATGTCCAACAGAAATGTGTTCAATTCCACCTGCATATTTTTTACAAATCCAAGGTGTAAACCAGGGGTCTCAAAATCAATTTACCTGGAGACCAGGTTGTCTTTTTCCATGAATGCTGCAGATCCATAACCCCAGAAGCACACAAACACATACAGATTAACACTTTCACACACAGACACTAAAACACATTGCCAGGTAACCCATACCATGCTGCATCAACCCCATACCTCATTAGGAAAAAACCTGCTGTATTAACCCCACATAAACATACTCCCATGGACACACAGTCAAATGAATTCACACACTTACAGACAAACCATAGACACATACTCACACAGAAAAGTGAGCAAAACAGGAGGAGGACAGGGGAAGGGAAGGGAAGGCAGGCCTGCAACAGTAATCAATTTATTGTGGGTAGTTGCCTGAGACTCACTAGATTAATATCATGTGAATGTTACAATCACTGTGACACATTTAAAGTATATGGGGACCCAGATTTGGGCCTTCAACCCAGGTGTTAAGTACTACTGGCTTATAATGCATTCTTGAAAATAAACTTTAGATCTGTCCTAATAAATCCCACCCGTGCATAGCCAATATTTAAAATCCATATATAAAACAAGTTCCCCATGACAAAAAAAAAATCAAGGGACAGAACACAAAGACCATAGCAACAAAAAAAAAATATATATATATATATTTTTTTTTTATTTTTTTTTTAAATATGGGGATCTTCTGGTCTGAAATGCTGGTCATTGGACTATCATTTGATTTTGCTGCTCGGGGGATATTGTTTTTAAATGACATAATAAAATGAACAATTCAGCATTAATACTAGGATGGGATTATGGCGGATAGACCAGAATATGTCTTTTCAAGTTTATGTCATTTACTTTCTTGGTGGAGCTCCAAAACACAGGTGAGTCTTCCCTATTCAAGGATAAGCTGTTTATTTTCTGTGACCTGCGGACTTGTTTACTACATTTATAACGCATCTACCTACATAGTGATATCATATAGCTTCTGCAGGTTTCTCAAAATGACGCAAACCTTTTAACAAATCTTTTGAGAGACACAAGTGATAAAAAAAAATAGCTATGTTTTCAGTTGCCTGCAAACATTGCTGCCATATGTGAAACCCAACACAAAAAATTAGGAAAATACAGAAGCAGTTTTAAGGGATAACCTAAACACCAAAATCAATATACTCTAATGTGGTGGTCTTTGTGCCGAGATACAGCCCTGAAGCAGACAAATGTAAGCACTGCTGTTTGTGAGAGGATCACTAGTTTTAGGGAGATACCTTCCTAAGAGTATCACTAGTTTTTAGGGAGATAGCTTCCTCAGAGTAACACTGGTTTGGGGGAGATACTTTCCTCAGAGTAACACTGGTTTGGGGGAGATACCTTCCTCAGAGTAACACTGGTTTGGGGGAGATACCCTTCTCAGAGTAACACTGGTTTGGGGGAGATACTTTCCTCAGAATAACACTGGTTTATAAAGATGCCTTCCTCAGAGTATCACTGGTTTATAAAGATTCCTTCCTCAGAGAATCACTGGTTTATAAAGATTCCTTCCTCAGAGTCTCACTGGTTTATAAAGATTCCTTCCTCAGAATATCACTGGTTTATAAAGATTCCTTCCTCAGAGTATCACTGGTTTATAAAGATTCCTTCCTCAGAGTATCACTGGTTTATAAAGATTCCTTCCTCAGAGTATCACTGGTTTATAAAGACTCCTTCCTCAGAGTATCACTGGTTTATAAAGACTCCTTCCTCAGAGTATCACTGGTTTATAAAGACTCCTTCCTCAGAGTATCACTGGTTTATAAATACTGCTTCCTCAGAGTATCACTGGTTTATAAAGAATCCTTCCTCAGAGTATCACTGGTTTATAAAGATTCCTTCCTCAGAGTATCACTGGTTTATAAAGATTCCTTCCTCAGAGTATCACTGGTTTATAAAGATTCCTTCCTCAGAGTATCACTGGTTTATAAAGACTCCTTCCTCAGAGTATCACTGGTTTATAAAGACTCCTTCCTCAGAGTATCACTGGTTTATAAAGATTCCTTCCTCAGAGTATCACTGGTTTATAAAGATTCCTTCCTCAGAGTATCACTGGTTTATAAAGATTCCTTCCTCAGAGTATCACTGGTTTATAAAGATTCCTTCCTCAGAGTATCACTGGTTTATAAAGATTCCTTCCTCAGAGTATCACTGGTTTATAAAGATTCCTTCCTCAGAGTATCACTGGTTTATAAAGATTCCTTCCTCAGAGTATCACTGGTTTATAAAGACTCCTTCCTCAGAGTATCACTGGTTTATAAAGATTCCTTCCTCAGAGTATCACTGGTTTATAAAGATTCCTTCCTCAGAGTATCACTGGTTTATAAAGACTCCTTCCTCAGAGTATCACTGGTTTATAAAGACTCCTTCCTCAGAGTATCACTGGTTTATAAAGACTCCTTCCTCAGAGTATCACTGGTTTATAAATACTGCTTCCTCAGAGTATCACTGGTTTATAAAGAATCCTTCCTCAGAGTATCACTGGTTTATAAAGATTCCTTCCTCAGAGTATCACTGGTTTATAAAGATTCCTTCCTCAGAGTATCACTGGTTTATAAAGATTCCTTCCTCAGAGTATCACTGGTTTATAAAGATTCCTTCCTCAGAGTATCACTGGTTTATAAAGATTCCTCCCTCAGAGTATCACTGGTTTATAAAAATTCCTTCCTCAGAGTATCACTGGTTTATAAAGATTCCTTCCTCAGAGTGTCACTGGTTTATACAGATTCCTTCCTCAGAGTATCACTGGTTTATAAAGATTCCTCCCTCAGAGTATCACTGGTTTATAAAGATTCCTTCCTCAGAGTGTCACTGGTTTATAAAGATTCCTTCCTCAGAGTGTCACTGGTTTATAAAGATTCCTTCCTCAGAATAACACTGGTTTATAAAGATGCCTTCCTCAGAGAATCACTGGTTTATAAAGATGCCTTCCTCAGAGTATCACTGGTTTATAAAGATTCCTTCCTCAGAGTATCACTGGTTTATACAGATTCCTTCCTCAGAGTATCACTGGTTTATACAGATTCCTTCCTCAGAGTATCACTGGTTTATACAGATTCCTTCCTCAGAGTATCACTGGTTTATACAGATTCCTTCCTCAGTTTTGGGAGGGCTGCTGACTATATATTAACCCCAGGCAGTAATTATACCCCATTATAAAGCTCCAGCATTAATGTTCAGTGAGGAGGACAGGGTTTGCTGTCTGGAGTGTAATACCCAGTCTGTGTGATGCTTTGTAGACCAGCAGCACTTCCTGGTTAGTAACACTGAGTGCTGCCTCATAGCTGCTTTCTTGTTTTTTATTATTTTCAGTGTCAGCCGACCCTTAAACCCCCTCCCCCCGGCCCCCTCCCGAGTACACACCGGGCTCCCCGCTCCCCGTCTCCCGGAGGAGAGCCTCCGCCTGCAGCTGGAAGCGATGTCTGACTCCCCGCAGCTCCCTGTCTTCTAACAGCGCCGCCATCTTGGCACGGCCGACCGGAAGTGACCGCGGTTGTGATGCCTGCCAGCGTCGCCATGGCAACGCCAATCCCAGCCGCGCTCGGTGTGTTCTGATGGAGAGAGAGAGAGAGAAAAAAAAAAAGTCACGTGGGTCACCTAGAGCCACCTGCCTGACCGCCTGACCCATGGCTCTGGCTCTGGCTCTGGCTCTAGGATGTAGAGACTAAAGGAATGTAGTGCAATCAAATGTCTCATTAAAAGATACCTCACAGTTATTATATTTCATTCTCTGAGAGTCTGTGTGACCCTGTCTGTCATGGCACCCCATGTCACCATGGTATGCAGCATGTGAGGGTAATGCTGGGATAGCATGGCAGCTTTAGGCATGTTTGGGGCCCTGCGGGCACAGCATGGCAGCCTTAGATGGATAAAACGGGTACATTATGGCAATCAGCTTTAGAGGAAGGAACATGGCATATCATGGCAGTTTTAGAGTCAAAATTCTGGGATATTGTAGCAGTTTTAGAGAAAGAAACGGCATATTATAGCAGTTTTTGAGGCATCATTTTGGCATATTATAGCCGTTTTAGAGTAAGAAACTTGGCATTTTATGGCAGTTTTTAAGGCATAATTGTGGCATATCATGGCAGTTTTTGAGGAATAATTCTGAGATATCATTGCAGTTTTAGAGGCATACACTTGGTACATCATGGCAATCAGTTCTAGGGGAATACAACTGGCTACTCACAGACTCCGGGAGACTCAGGCAGAATCAAAAGCACTGTCTCCCACTCTTTCATCCAGGCACCTCACGCCGAGTATCCCAGGGGTGGAACTAAAGAGCGGCCTGGTGCAAGAAAGTTTTGTGGGCCCCCTCTAGTGCAAGCATGTCAGAGAACTCCAATGATGCTATGCCAGCTGGGGATCTACCATGCTTGGGGTCCTGCAGGCTGAGATTGGTGGGAGTGAGTGCAGCTCATTCCAGCCTATCTTCCCCATGCTGGTGCCACAGCCTCCCTTCCTACTGCACTCTCTCAATAAGAAGTTGGGGGGAGTTGAGAGGCAGTCACTTCCCCCCAGTGCAGGCAATATTACAGGGGCCCAGTTGCGCTTTTAAAAGGGCCCCTGTACAGCAATAATACCTATCGGGGAGACCCTAAGTGCGTAGGCCACCTGATGGGCCCCCTGACCGTGCTGGCCACAGCAGTTGTTCCACCATTGGGTCAGTATCACTGTGCCAGCTTCTAAAAACGGTGCGGTGGGCTCGTGGATGCATGGGTCAGCGCAACCCATACTTTGGGAAACCCTGCTATAAGTCACTTGGAGGATTAAAGCTATCTGGTTATGGCTTGTATTCGAAAATTAACCCTTACATTCCAGATGGACAAAATCCAATGAAAATAACTCTCTCCTTGTCTTTTATTACAGCTCTGATCTGTGTGGTAGATTTGCTCAACTTTTGCTTAAAAACTTTAGGAAAATGGTGAGTGACAGAATATTTGATTTTTGAATGTGAAACAACTTACTCATGTTGTACTCTAAAAATTTGAGCAAGAAATCACTGTAATTATTTTTGAGTGAAAATAATAGTACTGAAATATCTACAAGATGTAAATACCATTTTTTTTTTTAGCAAAAGTCACTGACATGATTTTTTCTCAAAATGTGATTTTTACTTTAAATGTAAATAAGGACCAAAGTGAGCGCTGCATGCAGCCATTTAAATCACAGTGGCTGAACATTCCGAGGGAATCCTCGATAGTCTGCTAGAGAAATGTTTTGCAGATTTCTGCAGAAAAGCAATGACCTCTTAGTCATGTATCCTTCTGATTGGAAGGTAAGCAGTGTGCTGTTAGGATGGGGTAACCCAAACACAAAGAGGATAGGATATCCATAGCTAGTATGAAGTAATAGAAAAAGTATACCGGACTTTAGAGTGGCCTCAACTTAACGTGTGCTCTAGACTGGCAAAAATACAGTGTCAGAATGTAAGCCAACTGCAAGGATTCCAGAAATATGCATAAAACGATTAAACAAGCCAGGATCAAGGATACCAGAAAAGCAGAATGGTCTATATGAAACCAGATCAGTAAAAAGAACACCAATAAGTCAAAAAACACTCTCCAGCAATATAAACCACAGTTATCCAAAGTTAGAGGGAAGTATAAAAGCGGATAACCCCAATGTCATCACACTGCATCGAGATGGGAGTAACGGCATATTGAAGTGCTGAGGAGATAAGTGCATTTTATACTTACCTCCACTGCACTCCTTATTCCAACAGGAGCTTAAAATAATTTTCTTGGCTCACAGGGACTTTTGAATAAAATGCATTAGGAACATAAACAAGTCAGATGGGAAGAAAAAGCTATCCTTCCCATGTTTTTGTTTACTTTCATATACTAACACATGTATTGACATTCTTTAACATACACTAACACTGACATTGGTTAGCCTGTATAACAACCCACACACTTACATGCACAAAAACATGCACAAATATACATTAATTACTATGGGGTTTAGTCGCTAAACACTAGCAGAGTGTTAGGGACCAGGAACCAGACAGAGACAGAACGTAAATTCAAAACACCATTATTAAAAAATAGCAAAAAATGAAATAAACCAAAAAGCAAAGTCCAGGAGGCAAGCAGGGGTCAGGCACCAAAGTGTGTAGTCAGACGAGCCACAATAAGGAGAACGTAGAGCAGCGGAGTCAGGAACAAGGCCAGAAGTCTGGAACAAGGAACACACAGAAAACAGGAAGTCTTATGGGAAACAGGAAACCACGCAGGCAAGGAGGTACTGGGACTTGCTGCTTAAAGGGACTCTTCAGTGCCAGGAACTGCAGATCCCCTCTCCCTCTCACCTCCCATCCCCGGTTGCATGCTGCGAGTAGGGACATGTCCCTAAACAAATTAAAAAATACTAGTGACTGGGCAGCTACTGCTGCCCAGTCACTACTGCAATAAAGGGGGACAGGTCCCCCCGGTTCCTCCATGGTGGGGAACACACATACCTAAATTGTGGGTAACATAGTGCCCCCCTATGCCCCCAGCCATCACTCGCGGGTGGGGGCTATTAGTAAAAACGGGGGGACTTAATGAGGGGACCGGTTATGAGTGGGGACCAGGGGGGATATTAGGTTCTCCCTTTTAATTAATTAGGGTCCCCACCCGCCGCTCATGGGTGGGGACCTGGGGGGGACTCTAGGTCCCCCTTCATTATTTATTCATTTAGGGTCCCACCCGCTTCTCATGGGTGGGGACCTGGGGGCACATTAGGTCCCCCCCATTATTTATTTAGTTAAGGTCCCCACCCGCTGCTCATGGGTAGGGACCAGGGGGGACATTAGGTCCCCCTGATTATATTAATAGCCTCCGTGGGTCACAATAGCTGCCCAGTCACTAGTACTTTTAAATTTGTTTAGGCGACATGCCCCTTGTCATAGTGACCCTCATACTGATTTATATTTAGTTTGAAATGACAGTGAGCAGCGAGTCATAGTGACCCCCATAGCTTTTAATGCAGGCCGGGGAGGGGGCAGTAGGAATAGTTATTTATTACAAGGAGGGGGCTGGTAGCGCTGCCGGCTCCCTCCCTGCTTTTTTGGGTTTTTTGCACATGCGCAGTACTTTTTTCATCCTAATGGCCGAAAACTAATATTTTTTTAACAAATTTTGTTTGGAAACGAATGATTTGCGGATGAAATTCGGGATTGACAAATTAAAGTTTTATTTAGTACGAAATTATTCGTACGAAACGAAAATTTCACTGCTGCACATGTCTGCAATTTTTCTTTTAGTTCACTGCAGTTCAGTGTTTAGTGAATAAATCCTATTTTCTTGACTGCACAAAAAGTCTCTCTCTCTCTTTCTCTCTCTCTCTCTCTCTCTCTCTCTCTCTCTCTCTATATATATATATATATATATCATTATTATTTCTCGTGGAAGGTAGACTAATTGTCCGGGTAAGAAGGGATGCCTGGAACTTTCCCTATTACACAGCTGTTCTTTCTGAAAATATGGGAGTTCTAAGATTGATCAACTCTGTTGCAGCTTAAAGTCACTATCAAGTTACTGTCTTAAAATAGAGTGAAAACAATGCATTGGATTCTGTTGCTTGGGGAAACCAAAAGAAAGAGACATTTCCAGGCAACAAAGAGCTATAGAAGGGAGCAAGCAAGGGATGAAAGCAGGTAGATTTTATTCAGAGTACCAGATATCCCTAACTTGTCGTCTTGTTTGTTTTGTAGGCGGCCATGGCACTTGCATGTTAGTAAATAATAACTATTACTCTATTGTCATTTAGGTTTAACCCCTTAAGGACGGAGCCAAATGTACACATTGTGAACAAAACAAAATGTAAACAAAACCTGGCATTTGCGCTACATGTCTGTCCAACCGTAATTCACCTCTTTCATAGTAAATGCACCCACCCTTATTATATATCATTTTATTCAGGGAAACAGGGCTTTCATTTAATATCAAATATTTAGCTATGAAACATAATTTAATATGAAAAAAATGGGAGAAAATATGATTTTTTAAAAATTTTTTAGTTCTACATGACATTTTAATGGTCAATGTCATAATACTGTTTGCTTTTACTGCAATAAAATACACATATTTGTATTCAGCAAAGTCTCACGTGTAAAACAGTACCCCCCATGTACAGGTTTTATGGTGTCTTGGAAAGTTATAGGGTTAAATATAGTGCTAGTCAGGCAGGTCCCCCTAATTGTAATTAATTAAGATACCTAATTATGTAAAAATATTACATAAATATATATGTAGAATTAATATATGAATATGTATATACGTATGTGAATCTATATGTGTATATATATATAATTTTTTTTAAATATTTTTATTTATATATATATATATATATATATATAGTGATATATACGTATATATTTATGTATGTAGATATTATTTCGTTCTACGTGTATTTTGATATAAATATATATATATTAATATCACAATACAGTTAAAACGAAATAACACACATCTATATATTTTTAAATTATTTTTTTAAATTATTTTTGTAATTTTATTTTTTAACGTATTTACATATTTAATTTTTTTACATTATATATAAATATATAACAATAATTATATATATATTTAATCAGTATCAGTCTACGTGTAATTTGATATTAATATATATATATAATTATATATATATTAATAGTAAAATACACCTAGACAGTGTATGTGTGTGTATGTATATGTGTATATATATATACTTAGATCATATATATATAATATATATATATGATCTAAGTATACATTTTTTTTTTTTACACTTTTTAATTTATTTTATTTTTATTTTCAGCCAGCAGGGGGACCACCTGTCATTACAGGCAGCCCCCCTGCAGGCAATGCAGGAGGCAGCCTACCCGGCCATGTGATTGTGAGGTCCTCGCAAGGACCTCACTCTCACATGGACGGGGGGCACCGGAGGAGGAGGATCTGATGCGGGGGGGCTCCCTGGGAGTAAGTAATGAATAACCGGGTAAGTAATGAAAGACCGAAGGGCGTACAATTACGCCCGGCGGCGTTTAGAGCCGCCTAAAATAGGGTGTAATTGTACGCCCTCCGGTCTTACGGGGTTAAACATTGAAAGAAAAAAGTTACTATTATTAGTTTTATTTCCATTTCTATTGCAATCCCTGTCCAGCTAAAGCAATTCATGTATGTAAGGTATACACAGTTTACAAGTGTGTATTTCCATGCCAGGGTAGCACAGACTTGTGAGTTGCAGACTCATGATATACTAAATATATAACCCTCAAAACAAAAATTGACAACATTGTGTGTCTCTTTCTCCCCCAGTTCTTTGTGTAACGGGGTTTTGGGGGTGCCCCCTAATGTCTTTGGGGTCCCCAAACCTAGTTAACTCACTATGCCTGACAGGCGGATCCTGAGCCTCCGCTATCTTGGAGCTGGGGTACATGTCTGCGGCAGTGCCTCCACCCAGTGGAGCATCCGAGGTAGGGATGTGGGGTCCCACTGGGAACATACTTGGTGCAATGAGACTGACACAGTCTAACTGGGACTAACTTTATATGGTAAGTAGCAATTGAACCAACATACATAGGAAAATACAATAGAGTAACACAGATAACAAGGCAAATGTGGATTTCCCTCACTCACCCACCAGCACACCTGCGCCCCACCCCCTTATCTTCGTCCTAGCGGCCGTTGGTGCACATAGGAGAGTTGGGGCCCTTATAAGTCCTGCTTCACAGGGTCACTGAAGCAGCCTCAGATGTGTAATGTCCGTCACGGGACCTCAGAGTCTTTACTGTGAGTGAGGAGACAGGTGCCCTGTGGTGATACAGGGAGAGGCTTGGCTTACCCTCACAACACGATTAACCAGTCAGTCAGCAGCAGTCTCCTCTCACTGGATTCGCCAGACGTCTGGACTCAGTGCTTGTCTTCTTTCCTTTTCTGCAGGTCCCTCTCTCAGCTGGTGTGATCTTGGGTGAAACAAGTTCTCTCAGCCAGGCCCTATCTCTGTGCTACAGTCTCTCACATGTCCTTTCTCTGGCTCAGCATGTGGTCTCTCTTAGAATCCTCCTCCCTCAGAGCTGTGCAGGAAGTCCTGCCAGGCCCTGCGATGATGCCACACTCCTCTCTTGATTTCAGCAAGTCATGTGATCAAAGCTCAATGTTTTATTAACAGCATACTGAGTCCATGTGCCATCTACTGGGCATTTCAGATAATGCAGCCTGTGTAACTTCACGGGCTACATGCTCCCCCTTGAAAATACTTGCCTTCCACTGGCAAGTCCTAGCCAGGGAGCTTAACAAAAATTCAACAGAAAAAGGTTTAGCATACCTACAGTACAGTTAGCACAGTAACATCCTAGCTAGCTAGTTATTTAGGGTAAACAGTCACTAACATTTACCACTTCAGCTAGTGCATGTAGGAAAGTGGCCATTTTAAATGCTGCTTGTGTCAGCGGGGCATAACTGGGCTCTCCTATATTATCATAAACTAGGGCCCTAGGGGGTTGCCGCACTCTGGTGCTGTGTCTCAGTTCTCGCTGGGGGAGAGGATCTTGGGACATCAACTGTGGAACTTCGACTCCTGCCCTCGAAGTAGAGTTTTTAAGGGAAGTTCCAGGCACAAAACAGGGACTTTCTGGATTCAACCTTGGAGAACTTTGTGACCCAGGAGAGGTTCCGGGACTTTGTGAAACCACAGGAGTTAAAGGAGGCAATTGTTGTGTTTCTTCAGCGGGTGATGACCATCACTGATCCTCTGCACTGGGAGTTCCCGGGGTCTCCTCTGCCCCATTTCCAGGACTCTCTGCTGGGGTTTCCTCCAGTTCTTCACTACTCTCTTCCTCTTCATCAGTATACACAACTGGAAGCAGATGGTTTCTATGCCAAGCCTTTATTCTGCCCTCCGGGCCCCGAATGTTGTACACTGGCAGTCCTTCCAGTTTGGACACAACCTCAAACAGGGTATCTTTCCATCTGTCAGCCAGTTTGTGTTTTCCAGGCACACCTAGATTCCGGAGAAGAACTTTATCCCCTGCTTGAATCTCCCGATATCTCACCTTAGCATCATATCTTCTTTTGTTCCGTTCTTCCATTTTTGCTGCAGCTTGGGTGGCCAACTCGTAGGCCCGACGAAGGTTTTGTTTGAGGTTCCTCACATATTGAAAGTGTGAAGTTGAATCTGTTCCATCAGGAGACACTCCCAACCGGACATCTATCGGCAATCGAGCTTCTCTTCCGAACATTAAGAAATAGGGTGAGAACCCTGTAGATTCATGCCTTGTACAGTTGTATGCGTGGACCATGGTTTCCACATGTTTACTCCAAGACCGCTTCTCGATTTGCTTGAGAGTCCCTAGCATATCTAGGAGGGTCCTATTGAAACGTTCTGGCTGTGCATCACCCTCCGGATGATAAGGTGTGGTTCTGGACTTCTGCACCTGCAACATGCCTAACAGCTCCTTTATCAACTTACTCTCAAAGTCTCTACCTTGATCAGAGTGTAGCCGATTGGGTAGTCCATAGTGAATAAAATACTTCTGCCAAAGGACTTTGGCTACAGTCACAGCCTTTTGGTCTTTAGTGGGGAAAGCTTGAGCATATCTGGTGAAGTGGTCCGTTACCACCAGCACATTTCCAATTCCCGCTGTATCGTCCTCAATGCAGAGATAGTCCATGCACACAAGATCCATGGGTCCCGTACTTTTCAGATGACCCATAGGGGCAGCTCTCACAGGCAGGGTCTTCCTCTGGATGCACCTCCTGCATGTCTTTACATGTTGCTCGACATGTTCCCTCATGCGAGGCCAATAGAACCAATCTTGTACTAGGCCATAGGTCTTGTCCACCCCGAGATGCCCATGTTGATCGTGGAGAGCTCTCAGGACCATGCCACGGTATCGGTGCGGTAGCACCAATTGTTTTCTGTCAGGGTGATCATGATACTTCACGACCCTATAGAGTACTCCATCTTCGAGATGTAGTCGGCTCCATTCTCTTCGGTATAATTCTCTTTGATTCACAGGTAGAGAAGTCAGCAATTTAGGATTCTTAGTCTTTATTGCTCTGATAACTATCCCAATATACCAGTCCTGCGCTTGAGCCTTCCTCTTGTCTTCTGTGGTTATACTGGACCACTGTTGAAGCATGACTGGAGCATGGAACACCTCAGGCACAGCTTCGGGAGAGTGGCTAATGGAGTCTATCCCTCTTAGCTCGGCAAATTCTTCTTGACTCTCGGCCACCACATACATCTGACAAAAGGCTCCTACCCCCGGCCCAGGGATCTCTTCCCACTCCTCTTCTTCTTGGTGAGGGGGGAGTCTAGGTCTACGGGACAGGGCATCTGCGCTGACATTCTTGGGCCCAGGCTTGTACTTCAGGCTGAAACTGTAGTTTGACAAGGCAGCCAACCACCTATGTTCTGTAGTATCCAGCTTAGCTGTAGTCTGGATGTAGGTAAGTGGATTGTTGTCAGTCCTTACTTCGAATGTTGCCCCATACAAATAGTCATGCAGCTTATCCACGATGGCCCACTTGAGTGCCAGAAATTCCAATTTATGGACTGGATAGTTCTTCTCTGCACCTGTAAGACTCCTACTTATGTAAGCCACCGGCCTCAATCCTGCTGGATAACTTTGGTGCAGTACACCCCCTAGGCCTTCCATACTGGCATCCACATGGAGGATATATGGTTTCTCAGGGTCTGCATAGGCTAAGACAGGAGCTTCTGTAAGTCTCTTCTTCAGCGTCAGAAAGGCATCTTCACATCCTGAAGTCCATTTCTCTCCAAAGGGGTCTTTAGGATATGGTGCCTTAACACCCTTTACGTCAGAGATAATCTTCAGCAGGTCATGTAACTCTCGAGCAATCTTTGAGTAGTCTTTCACGAACCTTCGGTAGTAACCACAGAATCCGAGAAAGGACCGCAACTCACCGATGTTATTTGGTCTTGGCCAATTCAGCACTGCTTCAATTTTAGCAGGATCTGTGGCTACTCCCTCAGCGGAGACTATGTGCCCCACATAAGTGACAGAGTTCTGGGCAAATCGGCATTTGTCCACTGATAGCTTCAGGCCTTCAGCTTGAAGTCGATCCAACACCTTTAGCAATCTTTGTTCATGCTCCTCTGGTGTCTTCCCGAAAACAATTAGGTCATCTAGATACACTAGACACTCTTTGGGATTCATATCCCCCACAGTTTTCTCCATCAGCCTCTGAAAAGTAGCAGGAGCTCCTGTGACTCCCTGTGGCATTCTGGTAAACTGGAAGAACCCCAAAGGGCAGATGAAAGCTGTCTTTTCCTGATCTTCCTTCTTCATGGGTACCTGATAATATCCAGACCTCAAGTCAAGCACACTGAACCACTGGCTGCCAGATAGGGCGTTCAGAAGATCTTCTATCCGGGGCAAGGTGTACTGGTCTGGCACAGTCCTCTTGTTCAGAGTACGGTAGTCCACACATAGCCGAACTGAACCATTCTTTTTTCTCACTACCACAATAGGTGAGGCATAGGGGCTCCGGGACTCTGTGATGATGCCTGCTCCTTCCATCTGCTGGAGTATGTCCCGGACATCTTCCACATCTCGAGGGGGTATTCTTCTTGACCTTTCTCTGAAAGGAGTAGGATCAGCAAGTCTTATAGCATGGGTGGCACTCTTAGAACACCCCACGTCCATCTCTGCTCTGGAGAACACTCCCTCTCGGGTGGCCAGTTTTGAACAAAGGCTGTCTTTCCACTGCTGTGGTAGGGGAGAATCTTCTAGATCAAAATCTAAAGGTGCTTTCACATGATCCGTCTGTTCTGCACTCACAGACATGATGGACGAAACTTGATCTAAAAGGTGTATTACACCAATCTTCTGATGACGATCAATCCGGATTTCCGTGGGGGTTAAATTCTGTACCATCACAGGAAAACTCCGACACCACCTTTTTCGCCAATCTTTTATCTCAGGTATGAGAGTCCACCCCTTCTTCTGATCCTCTTCAGGCAGAGACTCAATAAGGTATTGTCCAGTTCCCCCCAACATTTCATGGTGCATTGAGGCTATGGCTCGTAAGGTTTTGGTCTCACCAGGCTTCACAAATGCAGGTTCTGTTCCTGAATAGTGGCACAACCCTGGTTTTGTTGCAAGGGCTAGTCGTCGACACTCTTTTCCTAGGACAGGGCTGACCTCCATCAGTCGGTCTAAGGAGACATCTCCCACTTCTGTCAGATAGGCCCTGAATACATCCTGTACCATCTTTGCATTAGTACCCAATATTATTGGGGCACACACTTTCTTGGCTGCAGGGCATATCAAAGCTTCCAGCTCCATAGGACATATCATCCCGGTATTTAACTGGGGAATAGTTATGGTCACTTTTATGCATCCCTCCACAGGTTGAGCTTGAGACCCAACGCCCCATAGCTGAAACTCTCCTGCAGGTTCCATAGGAATGTGTTTCAAATGACGTTCATAGAAGTCTCTGTAGATAATGGTGACTTGAGAACCTGTATCTAGCAATGCTGAAGCATGAATTCCTTCCACTTGCACGTGTATCAAAGATTTAGGCCCAATCTTGGCCCCTACAGATAGACTATATGTAGGCCGGGTCTTCCTTCGCTTGTAAGACCTGGTCATTTGAGTCTCCCCGAGCTCGGTTGCCAGCACCCCCACATCCACCTCCATGGAATTCGCAGGGCACTCCCGCTGAAAATGCCCTGACTTTCCACATTTAAAGCAGTTCCCTCGGCGGGGTGAATCCTCAGGAAACAGCTTTTTCTGAGTCTTCCTGTGTTGCCCCCCACTTCCAGGGGGAAGATCTGCTCCCTCTGGTGGTGATTTGCATAAAAGCTCCAATTCAGCCACCTTCTTCCTAAGAGCTGACAGTTCTGTATTCTCTTTCTCCTTCTGTAGGGGTGGACACATCTGGTCTTCCAATCTCCTGGCTGTATTTATTAATGTGGAATAAGGCAGAACTTTATCATCCAACTTGGCTCTCAGCAGAATCATAACTGGATTACTGGTCAAACCACCTCTCTGAATTTGCTTAGATAGCCGAGCATCCAACTCAGAGGCAGTGACTGCTCCTTTATGGAATAACTTTCCAAGCGATAGCTGTAACCGGTTGATATAGTCAGTGGCTTTTTCGTGCTCCTTCTGCTTAGTGGCTAGGAACTTAACCAACAGATCATCCAAATCTTCTGATTTCCCATAAGCATCCTGTAAGACTTGTAGATAGTCGTGTGCAGTAGCTTGCCCATTTACTCCCTTGTACAGTCTTATCATGTCTGTAGCGGGAAAACGAAGACTCTCCACCAACCGCTGTTTCTTTATGGTATCCGTACAAGACCATTCCTCCAACAACTGCATAGCATTATCCTTCCAGACCTCAAAAGGCTCTTCTCCTGCAGGAACAGGCTGATTCCCAGAAAACACCTTTAGTTTGCGGTAACTATGGGTGTGGTTTGCCGTCACTATGGCTTCTGAGAGTTTCTGTAGTATGTCCGATACATCACTACCTCCTGTAGGCAGGGTGTGTACTTCAGGGTTGTCTGGTTTCAGTAATGCTGTAGATGGATGAGATTCTGCTTTAGGAGTAATCATCCCCTGTCCTCTAGGAGGATGGGCAGCTTGTTTAGGAATGGCTCCGGCCTTTCCGGAGATGGGGGTCAGGAGCTTAGAATAATTTTCTGTGACATAATCTTTCCGTTCTAATTTAAAGGGTTGTTGCAGTGAGACCCTTTCTTTCTTATCAAGGAGAGCGTACACTAAGGAGCATCCTCCATCCGGGGCTCCATGTAAATGAATGTTGGTAGGCATCTCATGGTCTCCCAAGCCCGTATGACAATATATTAACATGTAAGTTTGGCCTTCAGAATCCTGCAGGATATCTCTGATGGTCGCCATTTCTATTCCCAGTCGAATTTCTATACACAAGATGACGTGATTCATCTCACAGCAGGATGGGACTTTGCATAACATCACAGCTTGCTGTAATGGTACATTTCTTTGCTGGGCCCACTGTTTCACAAAGGAGGGAGTGGCCTGAGGACTTAACCTATTCTCACTGGTTGTACCCCAATACATCTCAGCAGTGCCTCCATCTGTAACGGGGTTTTGGGGGTGCCCCCTAGTGTCTTTGGGGTCCCCAAACCTAGTTAACTCACTATGCCTGACAGGCGGATCCTGAGCCTCCGCTATCTGGGAGCTGGGGTACATGTCTGCGGCAGTGCCTCCACCCTTTCAAATACTGGAAGAAGACTGGAATTAAGCAAAGCCACCACCTCATATTCCTCCCTCGACAGAGATAAGAGGAGAATCATGCTTAGTGTACCTGTTACAAAGAAGTGGTTTTAAAATTTGCAACAATAATACCGCACTCACAGTGTCCTTATCGTTGTGTCTCTTTCTGTGTCCCTTGACCTCGGCTATTCCTGACTATTCTTTGGAACATTAGAACCATTCTAAGGTCCGGTATACGTTACCTATTAGTCCTCTGTGTTATACAATTCTACATGCTGGATCATACTGTAATCCTGACATTACAACATGGCCATAGATCCTGTAGCATTGTGTAAGCACATAGCTGCTTGCGAAAGGAAACTAGAGGAGAATGATCACCGCATGGATCAATTTGCCCAGGCCTTTAGTATGCTTACCCGTACAGCGCATCTGCAACCTGCGGCTGCTCCTACTGTCTCACCTCCGCCTTGTGTACCTCCGCCTATAGTATATAAGGCACCAACTATCTCTCTCTCTCCTCCTCTGCATTTTCATGGTAATGTCCAAGAATGCCGGGGTTTCCTTAACCAAATAGAGTATCATTTTGAGGCCTCACTTGGATCTTTTCCCACAGACAGAGCTAAAATTGGTTACTTGATGAATCAATTAAAAGGTAAAGCTTTAGCTTGGGCCAATCCATTATGGGAGAGTAATAGAAGTGTGGCACACAATTACCAGGAGTTTATTACGGAATTCAAACTTATGTTTGAACCTTTAGGCAGAGAGGATGACGCCTCTACTGCCCTGATGCATATCAGACAAGGGAACCGGTCTACCTTGGAATATGCCATAGAATTTCGTACCCTAGCTTCCGAGGTAGACTGGACTAACAGTGGGTTAACCTCTGCATTTAAAAAGGGACTATCTGAAACTATGCTTGATGAGATTGCCGCCAAAGACTTACCCAAAAAGCTTAATGAATTCATCACTTTTGTCATGCAGATTGATAATAGACTGAGAACCAGAGAAGCTACTAGAAACAAGTTCAGACACATGAATATGCCTTTAGCACCTCACTTCTCCAAAGCTATTGTCCCTGAATTTCCTGTACAGTGCGAACCCGAACCCATGCTGTTGGGGGTCACTATACTGTCAGAAGCAGAAAGACAATATAGGAGAAAAGAAGGCCTATGTCTATACTGCGGTAGGAAGGGACATATCTCAAACGTCCGGAAAACTACCGCACCTAAGCACCTTAAGGGGACAGTTCTTAGGTGTAATGGAAACGTCCTCTGGAAAGGATAAAAATAGATTTCTCCTTGATATTTCGATTGCCTTTGAAAAGAAGAACTTTTCATGCAAAACCCTGATGGATTCAGGTGCCACTGGAAACTTCATTGACGTTCAATTTGTTAAAGGTAATACTATACCTGTCAAGGAGAGACTATCACCCCTAGCTGTTGAAGCTATTGATGGGAGACCACTCTCACAACCATTGATAACGCATGAAACCTTACCCATTAATATTTCCATTGGTGCCTTACATAAGGAAGAGATTACATTTCATGTTATTGCACCCTCTTCCTGTCCAATCATATTCGACTTTCCATGACTTAACAAGCATAACCCTCATATTGACTGGGCTAATGGGGAAATATTAGAATGGGGTAAGGATTGCTATGAAAGGTGTATATTGAATGTCGCCAAAAGAGTGGGCACTATTGAATTACCCACTTGTACACCTCAAAACACGGAAATCCCTATACAGTACCAAGACATTAAAGAAGTATTCAGCAAAACTCAGTCGAATACTCTACCTCCTCACAGACCATATGACTGTTCCATTAATTTACTACCCGCCGCTATGCCACCTAATGGAGCAGTCTATGCTCTGTCACCTCAGGAGAGTAGCGTAATGGAGGAATATATTAAGGATTCATTGAATAAAGGCCACATACGAAAATCATCCTGGCTTGCTGGGGCAGGATTATTTTTTGTATCTAGTAAGGACAGTGAGTTGCACCCATGTATCGATTACAGAGCACTGAACAAAATCACCATTAAGAACGCCTACCCCATTTTCCTCTTGTTGCTGAATTATTTAATAGACTCCAAGGCGCTAAAGTATTTACTAAGCTTGACCTTAGAAGTGCTTACAATTTAGTGTGAATCAAGGAAAACCAAGAGTGGAAGACTGCATTTAATACCAGAAGTGGACACTATGAATATCTAGTGATGCCATTCGGGTTGTGCAACGCTCCAGCGGTTTTCCAAGATTTCATAAATTATGTACCCAGGGATTACATTTACTCGTTTGTCTTGGTCTATCTGGATGATATCCTTATTTATTCTCCTGACATTTAGACTCACCACGATCACGTTAGACAAGTTCTGCAGACTTTGTTAAAAAATCAACTTTATTGTAAATTGGATAAATGCATCTTTGACCAATCTGAAGTTCAGATTTTAGGATATAATATCTCTGCCTCTGGGTTTAAGATGGATCCTAAAAAACTGGAATTGGTTCTACAGTGGCCTTTACCCACTGGGTTGAAAGCCATTCAAAGGCTCATTGGTTTTGCCAATTATTACAGAAGGTTTATAAAGGAATTTTCTTCAGTAATAGCCCCCATCACCAATATGACACACAAGGGGATTAGCAGTACGATATGGTCTAAGGAGGCAATAGAAGCCTCTGAAACTCTCAAACAGCGGTTTGCCTCTGCCGACATATTGATACATCTTGACACCAGTAAACCTTTCATACTGGAGGTTGATGCATCAGAGACAGGGGTAGGAGAAGTTCTCTCCCACTATCCTTTCATTGTCCTCTCCGCTGCTTGGCTCCATCATGGAGGCTCAGTCTCAGGCACCCTGCGGTAAACCTCAGGACAGATTGTTCGTTCCATTAGGGGAAAAGGTTAATATCATGAAGGTGTTTCACGACAACGTATCTGCCGGCCACCCGGGTATTACTAAGTCCACTTCTGCTATCATGAGATCATTTTGGTGGGATTCCCTCAGGAAGAATGTTAAGGAGTATGTGCAGACCTGTTCTGTTTGTGCAATTTCTAATGTTCCTCATAAACCCCCTTGTGGCTTGTTGCAACCTCTTCCCATTCCTGAGGTTCCGTGGTCCTACTTGTCCATGGACTTCATTGTCGAACTTCCTAATTCTAAAGGTTATACCATGAATCTCATAGTTGTGGACCATTTTTCTAAAATGGCTCATTTTATCCCACTCAAGAAATTGCCGTCATCTCAAGACCTGGTACTAATCTTAATACGAGAAATTGTCCGTCTGCATGGCATTCCTCACAATATAGTATCAGATAGAGGTTCTCAGTTTGTGCCCCGGTTTTGGAGAGCTTTCAATAAACAATTAGGGATTGAATTGTCTTTTTCATCCTCTTACCACCTCCAGACTAATGGTACAGCTGAAAGGGCTAACCAGTCCTTTGAATTATATTTGCATTGTTTTGTTAATAGCACTCAAGACAATTGGTCCGAATTACTACCATGGGCCGGGTTTGCTAGGAACAATGCTGACCATGACAAATTTGGACATAGTCCATTTTTTCTTAATAATGGCCGACATCCTACTGTCCTCCCGGCTGTTTTTTCTGACACGGCTATTCCTGCTTTGGATGACTGTCTTGCTTCTGTTCGTGATACCTGGGTCAAAGCTCACTCCGCACTGGGGACTGCTGCTGACCACTTTAAGCATTATGCTGATAAACGGCGAGGTGCCAACCCTGTTTACCAGCTGGGTGAGAGGGTTTGGTTATCGTCACGCAACATCAGGCTTAAAGCCCCTAGCATGAAATTTGCTCCCAGGTTGATTGGGCCTTTTCGTGTCCTTAGAAGACTCAATCCTGTTTCATACTCTCTGGCCCTTCCGGGATCATTGAAAATTCCTAACAAATTTCATGTCTCCTTACTCAAACCTCTTATTTGCAATAAGTATACTGTCCCAATTGTTCCTCCTCCTCCCTTGGTTGTTTCTGGACAGGAAGAGTATGTGATCTCTTCCATAATTGATTCCAGGTTTTCTCAGGGCACTTTGCAGTACTTGGTGGATTGGAAAGGTTATGGACCGGCCGACTGTTCTTGCATCTGATATACATGCTGGCCGCAAGATTCGCTATTTTCACGCCAAGTTTCCTCTCAAGCCTGGTCCTGCCCGCCCAGTGGGCGTTCTTCAGGTGGGGGGTAATGTCACGTATTCATCCGCATATAAAAATATGATTAATAACATTTACTGTTCTGACAGGAAAAGTTGTGCCGAGCAACATTACTGTCCTGACAGGAAAAGTTATGCAAAACAGCAATCAAATCCACAGGAGGCTTTGTGCTGAGCAGCAATTATGCAAATGGTAACCTGATAAGTGCCTTTGGGGTCAAAGGCCGATTACAGCCTATCAGATCCAGAGGAGGGGTATTTAGGCCCAGATCTCATCCTGCTCAGTGCCCTGTCGTGGTTTCCCTGGTGGTTGTCCGAGAGCGCGTTATTGATTCTGGTCATTCTGGTATTTTGACTTTGGCATTGATTTTGACTTCCCTGTTTTCTGGCATCCCTGACCCCTGGCTTTTCCTTATCGTTGTGTCTCTTTCTGTGTCCCTTGAAAAAGAAAACAAATGGCAAAAATGTAAAAAATGTGCACAGAGAATAAAGTCCTTATGTATAAATGTTACGTAATTGGGGGGCTCTCACCAGTAAGAGCTGAGTTTGTGTGTCCAAGTCCAGTGTCCAGCATCACCAGTGCCATACCATTTCTTAAAGAAGAGGTTTCAACAAGGAGGTGTGGAAGACATTGGTTAAATGAATGTTCCTAGGAAGATCCAAGGCATACAAAACAGGATTA